GAATTCTGAATTTGGGGAATTTTGGGATTTGGGAATTTGGGATCTGGGGAATTTTGGAAGTGGGGACTTCTGGATTTGGGAAATTTGGAATTTAGGGAATTTTGGAATTTGGGGAATTTTGGGATTTGGGGAATTTGGGATCTGGGGAATTTTGGAATTGAGGAATTTTGGAATTGGGGAATTTTGGAATTGGCGAATTTGGGATTTGGGGAATTTTGGAATTGGTGAATTCTGAATTTGGGGAATTTTGGAATTGGTGAATTCTGAATTTGGGGAATTTTGGGATTTGGGAATTTGGGATCTGGAGAGTTTTGGAATTAGGGAAATTCTGAAATTGGCAATATAGAGATTTGAGGAATTTTGGATCTTGAGAATTTTGTATCTAGGGAATTTTTGAATTAGAAATTCAGAAATTTGAGAAATGAAAATGTTAGAATTCGTAACGTATCATATTAGTGGCTAATAAACTATATCATTTATACCTCACTTTTAAAAGCATAAAAAATTCTAAAGATTTTCAGTAGTCCAATAGCCAGGATCTGTATATTTAATAATATAAAGATTTTATAAAAATAAGAGCGAATTTCGGAACACGATATCGTAAAAGCGGCACGGGGTCAGGTATGGAAATGAAGCCAATCGAATTAGAGTCATTTGCCCCGAAATCTGTAATGAACAAAGAGATTCGACCGTGTCGGATTAATGAACTCGGCTATATGCCCGCCCACGTTCAGATCCTCTCAATATCTGGCCGATATTCATAATGGAAGTTGAAGTTTCGGGTTTGACGTAGCGATGAATATTGATGTTCTTTGTGGTAGTTGAGACTTTCGGGGACTTTACGTAGCTTGGAAAATTAGAAAATGAAAAACTACTGTTGGAAATTATAATCATTAATTTTATATTTTTGTGAAAAAAAATGGGAAAGCAAAATTGTCAAAGAAATTATGAAGTTTTGTAGCATTTAACGCGAACGGTAATTACAGGTGTTGGATCAACGAAGGTAATTACATGAGCGTGCTAGTTTACCCCGTGTGCGTTTCCACCCTGTTGAATCTGTTGTTTCTCTTCAACATCGTCCGTGTTTTATTGATGAAGCTCCGAGCTGGTCCCGCGATTGGTACACAGCCTTCGAGGTCCATGCGTCAAGCTTTTCGGTAATTAATATCACTAAATTAACAAGTATTTTAAGTACTTAATACTCTAACTTTACTCAAATTCATATCTTCTATAAAACTGCATTTTTAGATAGAAGTACACTTGCTATAATTTTATTATTAACATTAATTTCACTTGTAGAATCTCTATAATATTGCTGTTAAATATAGTAATTCTAACAAAAATTCTCTAACAGGGTACTAGAAATTGGTACCGGCATATTTCAACTTAACGCTTTACCTTTCTCGCTAGAGCAACGCTACTCCTTGTACCTCTATTGGGTCTGCACTATCTCGTCATCCCCTTTAGACCGCCAAAAGACCACCCCTGGGAACAATTTTACGAGGTTCTTTCCGCTATAACGGCCTCCTTTCAGGTAAACCGTACTTCTTTTTCTGAAACTTTTCACCCGTCATCAAATATAATTAGTATGCTTTAAAATAATCTTTCCAAAGTGGTACATGGTTACTGTAACATGGTTTACTAAATTTTATTATCAAACATTAAATAAAGAATAAAAGAAAATCTCAAATAAAATTTCACTGATAAAATTAACTTAGAATAATCATTATAATAACTTAAACTGCAACTGATTCCGCCATTTTGTTTTTTCACAGGGTCTTTGCGTGGCCATCTTGTTCTGTTTCTGTAACGGCGAGGTAAGTTCATACTTTTTACTAATTTCATCTTGAAATCAAGATGAAAGTTTAATAGATTTGTTTTTATTAACGAAGGTTGTTTTTTTTGTAGGTGATAGCACAATTCAAGAGGAAATGGGAAGGAACAGCTCTTCTGAGGAATCGAGCCAATTCTTGCACAGCGACGACCGTCTCGGTACGAATTCACAGGATATTTCAGACTTTGCAAGTGGAAAATTCTGGGACTCAAGAATTTAGGAATTCTTGTAGGACTTAATTTGGGGATTTGAAAGTTTAGATATTTGGGGATTTGGATGATTGATAGTGCAAGGACTAATAACTTCGTCAAATTATAGATTTACTATGTTCTTGGTGTTCTTGTTCTTGTTCATGCTGTACGCTGTACTTTAGCTTCACCATAACACATCATTGCTTTATCGTACTAACTTCTAGCTTCATATATTGTTTTATTATAACTAATCTTTCTATGGTATATATCATATCATTACTGTACATCTAACCATGTGCTTACCTTTCCATAATACAATTTATAACATAATCCTTAGACAGCTAAAAATCCTCAAGTCTCTGCAAATTTCTAGACCCCCAAATGATTCCCATATCTGTAAACATCCAAATCTACCTCACATTTGCAAAATCACCTACAGTACAAACTCCTAAATTACCTAAACAGCAAGTCCCAATATCTAGAACTTCCTACACAAATGTTCAGTTTCCCAAAAGCACCTGTCTAAATATAAGTTAGGTTAACCATCTCTGTAACACCGCTATACCTAATGTACATATTCCCGCCTTTGCAAATATCCACGCTATGTGTAGAATCGCATAACCGCACGACAGGTCAATGGCGCGATGCGGACCGCCATTCAAAGGTAGAGAAATTACTAACACGATCCCTAACTGTACAGCACCACCTGCTCAACCGTGTGTTAACAGCTAACGGGTTGTCCGTGTCGTGCCAATGGCAACGTGCCCGAGTCAAGTCCATTGTGGGACCTTGACTGTTTCAGTTTATCCGCTCGACCGCAGGTCCGATGGCGGGAGAGGAGAAGGTATGACTGCCGTCAATCGTCGCCGGAAGTGCTAGACGAGAAACACGTGGACGTGCAATTGGTCGATCCTTGTCCCGTGGCCAATAATCTCAACAATCGTGCCAGATTACTGATCCAGTCGAACGAGGCGGAGAACTGCGAGCAGACGCGGTGTTGATAAGTTTGGAACATCAGAAGTGCAGGGATTATGGGGAAACTGGTACGAACTGGAAGAGATAAGAGCGTCGAGAGGGGAGAGGATCAGGCTTTCTTTTTGACAGAATTAATGACAGGTTAAAGATCTGATCTCTGTCCGCCACGAGTTGAAGATGAATGATCGTTTTTTAATGAGCTGCGTGGAAAGTGTGATATAGAGTATGCGAAAGTAATGGCTATAGTTTGTGAAGAGTTGTGGGAAGCTTTGGAAATTTGGAAGTCTTCTAGTTGTATATGAGAATTTATGAATTTGTGAATTTAAAAATTTTGACATAGGTGTATGGACACCTTAAAAAATTCTAGTTGCTTCAATAATTATGATTGTAAATTGATATTGTAAAAGTCCAATTTGATGAAAAAATTATCACAGTACTTAACTGTCTTATATGCATACAAAGTTCAAGTTGTATAAAATAAAAGTTATAGTTACCGAATGCTAAATTTTGTGGCATATGCCATTACTTTTGCATACGCTTAAATTCTATAGTATTTATTACAGTTGCAAAGCTAGTAGTTCAAAAAGTAATTTGTTAATTTTATTTGTTTGACACCGGTCTAAATAAATTTTGTAATTTTGTTAAATGTTTGAAAATAGCATTGCAAATAGTTAAGAGGATTTTAAAGTATGTTTGTACATTATAATGTAATATATTATTAAGTGTATTATATGCGTGTGTTATGTTAAGTTTGTATATTAATAATGAAATGTTGCAGAATCAAATTTATAAAAGAATAATATTTTATTTCAGTGAATAAAATTGAAGCTGAAAAATTGTATATAAATCTTTGAACTCGCGAATTTTCAAGTATTTTTTAAGCAGAAATTCGAACGAAAAACAAACTGTTATTACAAGTATATCCTTGCGTGTGTACATTTCATTGTTAAAGTCTATATGATCGTTGTTTCCGCTCGTAGAGTTAGGATTTGCCGGGAGTGTAGTTTGAAACTTCGCGAAAGAAAATCTGTTGTACAAACAGATTGTTTCCTACTTCGTACAACCAATCTGTATAACAAACATTCATCTTGCTGCTGTCTCTTAAAAAGAAAAATTTCGTAGATATATTCCGAACATCGATAGATAACGAAAAATTATATTATAAAATGTATGCAACAGTTGACGAAACTATGGATTATCTTTTACACGAAATTTTATTGTACCGTTTTACAAAATAAACTCAAACTAGTAAAAATAATATTTTCCTCCGTCCAGTGACTTCTTTTTAGATGGGTTTCATTAAACTGTATTTATTAAATTTTTACATTGTTTTTACTAAAAATATTTTAATATTAATAATATACATAATTCTGTACGGACGGTTAGAAACGGAATTAATATAAATTAATATATTTCTTTGTTAACATAATATACATAATCTAGTTACAATAATAAAACGTAACATATAAATAATTACAAACCACTTAAATCTTTCAGTGCCTATACCAAAATGATTCCAGTTTGGTAAATTTTATAGTGCAATTCGTTTTACTTTAATTACCACATATTATAAAACGAGTGCTTAAATTACGTATACAATTTGTTATAAAAACACGTTCGGAGATAAAAATATATCTATTTAATTAAATATTTCAATAAATATATATTGTATACCCTATGTCACTAAATTAATTGCATTTTATTTGATATATATTTATTCAAATATTTAATCAAATATATTTAATTATATGTATCTTTTAAGGCCAAATTAATTTTGCTATTCCTGGTAATATCAGAGCAGTAATAACGCTTGATAGAAGATTGACACTGTGGTTGTCCAAAATTTGTCTGCCACATACATGTTTCACACCCTTTCCTGGATGTTCTACTATCATCCCTTTTTCGTTCACTCCTGCAACAGCAGAGTATGACTCGTTGCAAACAGGTAAGGTATACTTTTAAACTATGTGAACTTACCAGAATATTGTAAGGTGGCTCCTAAGAGAGAATCTATTATGCTACCAACGAAACCTCCGATTCCCCCAACAATAATAATAGGCCATTGTGGTGCTGCTAACTGAAGCACAGCCGTATCTACAGTGAGTAGTATGGTTAAATAATCAAACAAACCTACAGTCATACCACCAAGTGCAGAAGCAGCAAGACCTACCCATGAAACACCACCATTTGTTCCTATAAAAATATATATATTAATTTATACTACCTAAGTGCATTTCAAAAATTAATTCTATAACTCAATAATTCTGACTTAATAGAGCTTTGTGTAGACCAACCCTTGCCAAGGAAATCCAATTCCAAAACATATGGTGCACTTTCCTTCAGCTATAAAGGAGTAGCACAAGGGAGAGCACATTGTATCTTTTGGAACTGAATTTTCTTAGTTTGAGAAGGCTCTCTGTCAGAATAGTTACAGATACTGTGCTTAATCTTTTGTATTATAATAATTTTACCTTTTGGAACTCGTTTGAACGATGTAATCAAAAAAGGATCTTTATTACCAATGACTGAGCCTATTTCTGATGCCCAAGTATCTCCGTTGCAACATGCAAAGGCTCCTAAACAGCAATTTGTAGTTCTAAAATTATTCTGTAGATTTTTAAATCATTTTATAATCTGAAAATATGAATCTACCTAAAATTCCTATTGACAACCAGGAGCTTCTGTAGTGTTTGTCAAAATGAATCGGTTGTTCTACGCAACCCACATCCAGCAAGTATAACAGTGCCAGTTGAGTTGCCATACCGCCGTTGCAAAAAACTTGAATCCAATTTCTCTGACCTCCATCTTTGAAATCTGCTTCAAACTTTCTTTTCTGATGGGCTCGAAACTTTGTTGCTTTGGAGGAGGTGACAAAAAATGCGAAGAGACCAGCCAGATGGACAAAACTGGTAAGTGTTAGGATGAAACCCATAAACAGTCCTGTAATATACAATTTAAAATGCAGATAAAGACAAAACCTATGCAGAAGAATTGTACTCTCTTTTTTTATAACTTGTCCATATAACTTGTACGTAAATAAATTTTGAATCGATTAAGAAATAAAGTAATAATACTAAATACTATGGACTTAATTTTCAAGTAATAAACGTATACAATATTTTCTTTTGCTTGTGATTTCTATTTCAGTCTTGTATCCATTTTCTTAACAAATTGAGGAAGTTGACAAATTGAGGAAGAGTTGTATTACCAAGAACAGCTCCGCTGACATCGACGCTTTTCCTTTTCAGACCCCAGAACGCCATAAAAATTGGGATCACAACCGCTGTTAACCATCTCCATGGTGATACCACCAGATGTTCTGAAATATAGGTTATGTTTATCAAAACAATGGAAAGAGAATAACAATACAGGGTCAAATAAAGAAATTAACGATAGTTGTTTAACATACCTTCAAAGTGATTTTCCGGATTCAAATAAAATGTAGAATAGAGTACATTTATGAACCAAAACAGCATAGAAATCGGAATCGCACAGGCACTAAGGAGTGCCGGCATCAACACATGCGATTGCTGATTTTCCTTTCTTGTAAATGAAATCATGCTTCAAATCGTGATGCAGCTACTTATTAAACAAAGTCTGCTAACAGAATGTCGAGGCGCTTAAAAAACTTTTTTTAACGAGTACAAACGTATTTTGTACGGATTCATTTACATTCTTTCTACGAAGCCAACACCAGCTGTTGGAGGATATAAATTCTGCATATCAATAACAGATGGTAAAAAAATAAAAAGACATACATACATATTCATACTTAAATGCAGATAAGATTCATCGCGAACATTAACAGTAACACAAACTTTCTCCGATCAATTGCGACATCCCGTGTACCCGTTGAGCAGGACTACGTTTATCACTAGGTAAAATAGTACACCTCACGCTTCCATGGTGGAAATGGTAGCCAAAAGAGAAATTTTCCTAAAGCAAATAACATCCATATATTTATAGACATTTTCGAAATCATTAAATAATAGGATATTTTAAATTTGCTTTTTCTTAAAAGAAAGCTTTAGTGCACACTTCATATTTAACACTGTCATTGAAACGCTTAAAAATTGATTAATTTACTATTTTTGGGCATATTGTGGTCATATCTGTTGAAAAAGTCAATAATTGATACATGGGTATGGAATTCATGGGCCGATTCGAAAAAGTACTACTAGCGCCATCTAGCGGTAGGAATCAGGAACTAATTTTCGAGTAACAGGAGCGCAGAAAAGTAAAAGAGGTATGCGGAGTAAGAGGTAGCTCCCGCGCAAACCGGTGCGCATGCGCAGGAGTAGGTGGCCCGCGCAGCGACGCGCATGCGCAGTAGCGGCGTCGCGTTATACATACGATAATTATATATGCAAAAAACGTTAATTATTCATTTTCTGGGCATAGTTTATGAACTTTTATGATTGAAGAATGACGACTGATCCCTTAGCTACTTTCTCGTATCCTGTTTGTACAGAATTGTGCCCTCAGTAATTAGTTATTAATGATTTTTGTATCGCATGTCGGCGCATCATACGGCGCACATGCGCAAATAAAAATTATTAATTACACGTTTTGTGAGCATAATTTATGCACTTTTATGATTGAAGAATAAAGAGTGATCCCTCAGCAACTTTCCTATATCATATTTGTTCAGATTATTGCTGTTAATAATTAGTTATTAATTAATTATGCAACCGAAGTCGGCCCGTCATATGAGCTAATACGAAATAATTAATTACGCGTTTTCTAATTACTTTTTATGCACTTTTATTATTGGAGAATGTTCACTGATTGCACAGCTAATTTCTCACGTCGAATTTGTTCAGATTTTTATTGTAATTAATTAGTTATTAACACTCCACTGCAACTGCAATAGTAGATCACTATATTAATTAATAATGTGAACAAATATGGTATAGGAAATTAGCTAAGGAGTCACTGATCATTAATCCATCATAAAAGTGCATAAAAAGTAATTAGAAAACGTGTAATTAATTATTCTAAATTAGCTCATATGACGCGCCGACATCTGCTGCATAATTAATTAATAACTAATTACTGTCAACAATAATATCAACATATATGATATGAGAAAGTTGCTAAGGGATCACTCTTTATTCTTCAATTATAAAAATGCATAAATTATGCTCAGGAAATGTGTAATTAATTATTTTAATTAGCGCATATACGCCGTATGATGCGCCGACATGCGGTACAAAAATCATTAATAACTAATTACTGAGGGCACAAATCCGTACAAACAGGATACGAGAAAGTAGCTAAGGGATCAGTCTTCATTCTTCAATCATAAAAGTTCATAAATTATGCCCAGAAAATGAGTAATTAACGTTTTTTGCGTATATAATTATCATATGTATAAGGTGACGCCGCTACTGCGCATGCGCGCCGCTGCGCGGGCCACCTACTCCTGCGCATGCGCACCGGTTTGCGCGGGAGCTACCTCTTACTCCGCATACCTCTTTTACTTTTCTGCGCTCCTGTTACTCGAAAATTAGTTCCTGGTTCCTACCGCTAGATGGCGCTAGTGTCGCTGACCTATAGAAAGCGCGCTAAAATTTGAATTTTGATCGCATAGATGAATTGATTTTCGGAACTACTACAATATTAATATTCTAATAAAACTATTTATAGCAAAATGAAATTATTCCCGTTATATCCCGTTAGTCTTTTAACTTCTATGGGTCGTAATAAATATAACAATTACGTACAGAATAAAAATTAATTTATTAAATTCAGTTTACAATAATTCTCTGATAAAAATATATTTTTCTACAGTAAAAATTACAAAATGTTACTGTCAAATATATAATTCTCAAAACCTATTTATTGACATTTATATAGTATATTGAAAAACCTATCAAACATATTAATACAGCTAAAATCCAGTATTTAATATAATTGCTGCCGGTTTCTTCCTGCAATTGTCTCCTATCAAATTTATCTTTCCCTTTACGTCGAGATTTGAATTTCCGTTCGAATTTCTTTATTTCTTCTTGATTACGCATTTCTTCGGCTTGTCGTTTTTGTTCCAACAACGCGGCCTCTGCTTGACGCTTCTCGTTCTTCAATTTAATACAAATATCGTCGCAGTTTATACAAATTTCTTGCTTCTGCACCACCGAGCATATATAATCTTTTTTAATACGTTTGCACGGACAAAATAACTTAACTTTCTTGTTACATTCATTCTCATTTGTACATGGCCCAGAATGGCAATTGTTCATGCATCTATGTCCACAAGCATACTGTAAAAAAAAGATTAATAAATAAATTATTTCAACTTATAGTAATAATCTGAACAGAAATTTCATTACATTTTTTGGGCACTGGTTTCCACATTTCAGTAATTCATTACGCTGTTCGCTTGTAGCTGATGTTAACTCTGAGCATCTTCTGTAAAGAGTTCCTATGCCACAGTGACAGGACATTTTGACTAGTTGCTTACAAGGACTGCAAGGTGCTGGATGACATGGTTTTGGACACAAATGCGTGCAGCCTTGTGGTCGTGGAAATAAGCATGGTTTTTCACAGTCCATGCATGGAATACTATTCTTAACATCTTCTGATGGTACCCTATGACAAACTAATTCGCACGTATGATTAGTACACGGTAATATTCTACCACAAAGTCTTCCACAGGAAGTAGGTCTAGCTGCATGGCATGGCCAAGGACGTGTTTCATGCCCTCCTAGGCAAGTGACTGGTACAGACACTTCACATGGAGGACATGGCAATGTTTTAAGTTGCATAGTTTCCTTCTGTATCTCCCATGGTCCCATGGGTTGTGTTTTGCCATCGTTTTTGTTTACTTTTACCCAGACCTTTGTGTGGCAAACAGCAACGCAGGAGTGACCGCATCGTTTATAAACTAGAGCACATATCTTTTTACAGGGTGGACATGGACCTTGATGACACTTGTGCGTTTCTCTTTTAGGATGATGACAAATTGGTGGTACTTTGCATGGCTTGTTACAAGGTGGTGGTTTGATCTTTTTCATTGTACCGCAGGGTACTGTTATTTTTTTGTAACCACATCTGCATTGAATAATATCTGTTCTTTCGCATGGGTAGCAAGGACCGCTGTGACATGGAGCAGCACATTTGTGCTTACGGCAGTTCAAAGTATTGTCGCATACCTTTTCACATATATTGTATATATTCTTGGTAAGGCAGTCACAACATTTTTTATTGCATAAGTGCCTCCCACACAGGCGCATTTGTGTGCACTTTTTATTGCAATGAAATTCTTTACCGCATGCAATTTCTTTTTGGTAACTACCGCACCGACACGATTTTGTTACTACTTCTAAACATTGACCGCAGCGATCCGTGTGGCATCTCATGTTACAATAATGTGAACCACAGTCTAGCAATTTACCACATGTGTCTCCACACGTTGGTAACTGTTCTTGTTTGCAAGATACCGCGTATCGCTTCTTTCCACAAGGGCACGTTCTATTTTTTTCTGAAGGGCAGTTCCCACAATCACCAGGTAAATGACATGTACTTTGGCAGATATGAACGTTACAGGAGAGTGGTTTGCGACAAGGTATGTCACAAATCCAGGAACCCTCAAAGCATTGCCTAATTGCTTTGTTACTCTTACAATGACACTCTACTAATAGTTCTTCTTTACAAGGAGGACATTCGCCTGCATGACATACTTCTTTACAAGTATGTGAACATAGTTTATACTTCTTATTGCATACAGTACCACAGCTCCATTCTTTTGAATTACATCGCCGTGGCTGGGGCATTTGTTTGCCACAGTAACATCTTATTGACACCATTTTTGCACAAGGAGGACATGGTCCTGGATGGCAAAGTAAAACACATTTGTGACCACATTCTGGTTGCAGAGATTTTCCACAAGTATCTCCACAAGAATGTGGAATATTCCATGGGTAATACGAAGGATCTACAACTTTTTTACAGAAACATTTATAATTATAAGTAACTTCTTTTTCGTCATATTCCTTACGACACTTTGGACTGAAACACAGATAGAAATATGACAATACTGCATTATAGTTGATATAAAATACAATATATTTTATTTAAGATACTGCTTACCATGCCCATACTGGTGCAATTCCTTTTTCGTGCTTAACATTTAAACTATCCCGGATCCAATGTAAAATACATGATAAATGTAGAAAAGCATAACACTTATCACAATTCCAAATCTAAAATGTTTACATCAATTATTTTAACAACAATCTTCAAAGATATTTTTAACATAAACATGCACTTACCGCATCTGCCTTTTTTACAGTTGAAATACAAATTAAACAAACTGCACTGCCAGATTGAAAAATATTAACTAAATATGATAAAATCTTTTCTGAATCTTCTTCTTTCCCTTGATAAGCAGATAATACTTTTTCAACCACATTTTGCATATCCTCCTCATTTCCATCATCTTCATCTTCGCTGGATGATTCTAAATACGCATTAGCTTCTAAATGCTTATTAATTGCTATTTTATTTTCTACTTGAGCACGCCTGAATTTTTGCATATTTGCTTATTTATAATTGCGCCTAATACTAATGATTCTTCTGTAATAAAAATATATTAATGATTCTCCTGTAATAAAAATATGTTTGTGATAAAACGTGCTGTGTGATATGAAACATATAAACGTAAATATGACATACTGTTATAATTTATTTACCTATCTATATATTTACATATAAATATATATCAAAAGAAAAGATATTTCATTCTCATGTAATGTAAAATCCAAAGGAAAAGAGAGAAATGATTCGTTTAAAATACATTGCATTCGAATCATTCTACAGTTCAGCCATGTTTCTTCTACGCACTTCTTTTTTTGATTAAAGTAGATAGTGAAATTTGCAGGTTATTCATTTATAGGTTATGTATTTTATAATAAAGTACGCAAGGACGCAAGTGAACCAATCATTAATGACTAAACCACTTGTTAATTTAGCCCTGATAACAGAATTTTTTTTCAGATTTTTAACAGTTTCGAATGGATTTACAAATGTGTGCCTCCCGATGCCTTTTTAACCTAGTCAGCGTTTTCATCAAGAGTATGGTTGTTTTTATATAAATTGTAGTATCAAATAATATCCGAAATTACGATTGAGTTATTTCAAATTGATAAACATTATTGGTTTTCTTACAGGTTGTAGTAATTAAGAATCCAAAGCAATGAAAAAATAACGAAGAATGAATGTTAATTAAAAAATGCTAACCTTTGATTGTCATGTAAATTTAATCGAAAACGAATATGTCAAATGTACAGTGGCAGAAAAAATTATACGAAAATTATGGATTGCCAGATAATTATACAGATAGTTCATTTTTGGAACAATTACGTAAAAATGTAAAACCGAACAATATAACATTAATTGAGGCAATAACTTTTGGTGCCAGTATATGTATTCAATTAAATATTGTGATACTTTTTGTTATTATATTCATCTGGTTGAACAAAGAGTGGACTAGCCCAGATGTTATATTTATTTTAGGTGTCATTTGTACAGTATTTGGTTATTTTATTTATTGTTTAAATGAACCGATCATTTTGTATAAGTTAACAGGAGATCTCAGAACTGCATTAATTTTTCTTACTTTTGGCTATATTTTGTCACCGGTTTTGAAAACCTTAACTGAAACTATTAGTACAGATACGATATATGCCATGACAATATTAATGTTCCTTGTACATTTAATATTTAGTAAATATGGTTCTTTACAAATTTCTTTATCCGATTCTTTATCTATTACATCTTCAATTTTTGGTTCCTTAATGTTAGCATCTAGATTAGTATCTCCATTTCATGCTTTTTCACTTCTTACAGTTGCAGTACAATGTTTTGTTTTGTTACCATTTTTGATATATAAATTAAATAGTAAAATATTTATTTCAACTGTATTGACATTAAGTACTTTATACTTTCTCTTATTTCTTTCACAAACTCTATCATTCGTGTTCATTATAACTACAGTATTTTTACATTTTATTTGTCCATGTTGGTATATACAATGCCAAAGATACAAAGATAACATTTATGGACCATGGGATGAGGCTGTTATCAGTTCTTAACTATTTAATTTATTTGTAACAAACATTACAGTTGAGCAACAGAATGTAATCATGATGGTATATATTTACAATATATATTGTCCTAACAAATTTTAAAAAATGATGTACATAGACAATTTTCTTTAAACGATTGAAGAACATTAATTTATTGATAATGAAAAGTACATTGAATCTAATGAATTATGTTGTACATATACAGAAATGAATTATTAAAAATTATATTTATCAATTGACGATTATTGTTTCAAATCTTGTTTCATAATAAATACTGTCTATACGAGTTTGGCAGTCGATTGTAAATATACACAAGTACGTAAAAAAATATGTCCTTACACATTTCAATTAATATGAATCTTCCATTATTCTACAATTATAAGTAGGCTTTTAATTCTTCTCACAAGAACTTCGATAAAATTGCGATCCACTGTTGCATATTCATTATCTATGTTCAATAACTGTGTAATAAAACTATGTGTAAATGTAGAAACAAAACCTTGCTTTAATTCCATTAATGTTTCTGACGATACTTTCCATGCTACCATGTCTTCACCAATACCTCCCGAGGATACTAAAAAATAAATAAATTGTACACTCAGTTACATAAAAAGTCATCAGTGAAGTCTTATAATAATAATGCATGCAATCGTACCTTGCATCCGGCTATGCCGTGATACTACTTGTATCATGTAGAAATCCAAGTGACTCCAAAGAATATATAAAGCATGCTCTATTATTAAAGAACAGTATTTTATGCTTTGGCGCTTTTCCTTTATCCAACGATTTAATCGTTGTTCAACTATTACCCGTTGCTTTTGCGTGTCGAGCTTTGCTTCTTCCTCTGACATGTACTCTTTTAATTCTGTCGTACGCATTTCTCTTACAATAGCTGACTTTTTTATGAGAGTATCAATATGAGATACTTCAGTGTGTAACAAATTTGTAACAGATACAAGCTGATCAACGATTATTCCTAAGTGTACTCCACTCGATGAATTTTTCATTCTGTCTTCCCTTCCTCCTGATTTTTGACTCAAATGAGGCTCAAACAACACGTTCCTTATTCTTTGATCCATTCTGCTGTGTTGCATCTGATTGCGTGTATACAACATGATATTCGCTACTATTTGAACACAGAAAATATGTTGCTGATTAGCATCAGTTTCTTCGTGACTCAGGCGAACAGGAGGTGACTGTAACTGGAATTTGCATAATAAAGATAACATTAATTTCTGTAATCGATAAAGATGGCCATGAAGTTCTCTGATTCCAGTAGAATCTTCAAATTTACGATCGTCGAATTCAGACTTCGCTAATTCTTCATCCACCAATTTATACATATCAATGTTTGCAGATCTGGATATCACTCCTGTAAGGCAGGCAATCTCTTTCAAGAAAAGAGCGTTTGCTTTTGGCAAAGCATTTCTTAAGACCGATTCAATGATTTCTCTGTGGCTCTGTAGAAAACCACAGACTTGTATGGCACATGATTGATTCTCTGTTCCCAGGGTGGTGAGTAAAGCATCGCAAAGGTATAAAGCAGGCAAGAAGATTTGCTGGTAACGTTGGCCAGTAGATGGTATGAAGGAATTATCACCTCCTTCAAATTCTATGTGAACATCAGGATGATTGTCAAAAACAACCATACTTGACATACATGACAAGATCTTATTTTCTAGAAGACTCTCAGCACCCAATCTCGTAGAAGCCATTCTACAAAATGTTGCCATTTTTGCTTCGTACAAGTATAGTGGTCTTAATGATGGAGGCTCTGGTCGTAACATACTTCTCAACATATTATCAGATTCTAACAAACTGTCTATCATATACTTTAAATATCCTCTACGGGTCAAATACATTATCCAAGCATTTTCATAGTCCAATTCCAATATTTTGTCTAAACAAGATAATGCTAACATCTTGCAGATATCATGGCCACCTGAACAATTGTGACATAAACTGTCCATCAACTGATTTCCAAAACTGTTTATTACTTGTATTGCAGCATAGCGATGCGAACGTTCTTGAACAGACATTATTCTGTTAACAGTATTATCTAATTGACTGACATACATCAAATCCAAAATATTTGTAGTTTCCGGCTTTTCTAAGCCAATCACGCAAAGCAAATTCAATAATGCAGCGTACAAATGAGTGACTACTTTCTGTGATGAAGCACCAGCATTCAAAATCCATTGCAATATATGACTTAAAATAATCTTCATTGTTGTCGTGTTCGAAGGTGACGATGGAAATTTGCTGTCCATTTGTGAGATAAAACTGTTTCTCAAATGCACCAACAACATCAGGACTGTTCCAGACACTAAAGTCTTGATTTCGCTTAAAGCTTCGCAGGATGTCATTTTTTGTAATAAATCATGTGTCAAATTTAATAATAAATGTTTCCGTGGTGTAGCCAGTTGCTGATTCGTCGCAACGCAAAAGAGTATCTCTGTTATTTGACACCAACCTTCCACAAATTTTACTGTAGCATAAGCCAATAATTTGGTTTGATTCTTACTTAAAGCATATCTTAGAATGCGTTGTTTTTCACTGTTGCTCCGTTGCATTAAATTGCGCTCGGCCGCAGTTGCACCACCCTGAGTAACTGCTAATTCTGCTCTGAGGTTAGATTGTAATTTTCTGATATCTATCAGCCGAGGACCTCCTATTAATGTGGCTGGAACACTACTCCTTTCAAAAAGTAGTTCAATATCTCCCGGACCATAGAGATCTAAAGACGGTGGCGATTCCTCTTGTAATTGAAATTCAATGTAGTGTAAAAGGTCCATTAGAAGCTTCTGTGAAGGGATAATCTGACCTTTCTCTTGGTCAAAAGTCCCAACTAATCTTTGAACAAGCGAATTTTGTAAACTTCCACCAGCAACACGCAATTCGATCGCAGCTATCTTCAACAGCCCTGACATACAACCGAGCTCCGTTGCTTTATTTTGACCTTCAAAGGGTAATTTTGAGAGATGTCGTTGCACGAAATCTTGATTGACACTCGTTCGCAAGAATCTCAATACTGTAACAGATGTTTTGTCGTTAGCAGCTAATGTGTGGAGGAAAGAGTAACAAGCTTCTGTTATTTTATCACGGCCACGCTCAAGAGATTGTTCCAGAATTCCTAATATAGAGTGTATACATGTTCGAGGAAAGCCAAGAATACCACCAGGTTGGTGTAGTATGGTCTTCTTAATGTCTTTGGTAATTTTAAATCCTAACAAATAATGAGCAAGATTTGGGGTAGGTCGTGTAATACAGTGCATCATCAGAAGGAGAATTCTCTCTTTGCAGCTGCCTATGTATTGCTTTTCGGTTGACTCGCTATCCTCGTCAACAACAATGTCTGCGTCCAAACATTCCACGAAGCCGTGCCTGATGTCAGTAGCTAAAGTTGGAGTAGCTGTGAACGTGGAAAGTAATTCAGAATCAGCTCCTGGTTCGTTCGTTACTTCATGAATTATACCCACAGCATAGAACGCATGCTGGGGAAGCCAAGAACTGTAAGAAACATATTTGGCAACATTTATCATGTAATCAGGCTTCTTTGATTGTGGATGAACTTCTAAAAGTAGTCTTGATAATCCAGTTAAAATTTTATGCGTAGATTTTGCTGAAATCGACATGTAACTGTGCTGAATTTTTAATCCTCTTTCCAGGATCTCCAAACAGTACAAGGTACAATGTTCAAGATTCTTTTTACCAGCAAATGGTTCGTAGGTATCGAAGTTACAGCATCCTTTATCAAGTACATATAGTATAACATGCAATAACTCCGACTTGGAATATAACTGAGTCATTATACGATATCCAGGAACAGGATTGACCGATGTTCCACTCAGAAGTTTTAATTGGTTTCCTGTAAAATCTTCTACTGTTGGTTCATACTGTTTGACAAGTTTTGAAATTATTTTTAAACAGGCTTCTGCAACTTCCCATTTCTCTGCTGGATTTTTGTACGATCGCGTATGGAACTTCAAGAAAACTGTGTTGATGATAAAATATAAATACGGATCCAAACCAGGACTGCGCTGACCCATTCCTAGTAATAGAGGTATTGAATAATCAGTGAGAACGTCTAATAGTTCTAGCATTGCTCGTGTTAGTGGATATTCATCTTTCTTTGATTCAATCTCTTCCAGTTCTGTTTGAACGCCTCGTGGTTGGTAGCTGCTTATGGTAGGGATCGTTGAGAGTATCTGTGCAGCTTCCAAACTTTGCCATATCGTAGATGAACTTTCGAGTGATCTTGCTAAAGCGGCAAGAGTTCGTATAAGAACAGCTTTCAAAGGTATTGGTATTCCACAACTGACTAAACCAATCAAAGACGGTATTACTTTCCACCCTGGATGATCGCATATTGCTATCCTCGACATTTCATCATTTTTTGCAATCACTTGAACGACCAAGAGTACTGCTTCAAGACCTTTAATTTCTTCGGAAGCGATACCTTTCGGATGACTTCTCTGACGATACACGGTGTCTTGACTGGGTGGTAGTTCTTTTCTGAGATTAATGTAATAGCGACCTAGAGAATTGAAAAAGTGATCCCAAGAAATTGTTGTTGATCCAGAAGTTCCTACAAAGTTCATACACGATAATTTTTATCTTGATTTTCATTTCAAATAAACTAACAAAATGTTTTAAAATGTCAGAAAAATACTTACCATTTGGCTTAAGGAAGTTAAATGCTTGTCGCGCTGCTTGTGGCGAAGATGCAAGAGATGCTATCATTTTAAGATATGGAACAAATAGTCCTGCTGGCAATATTTCTCCAGCAAGCCGAACAAATTTAAATAAAGCAACCTGTCGGGACGACAAACGATTGATATACACTGGTGCAGATACATGCATAGAGTCAGAATGATAACACCAATAATCCATAACCAAATCCAGTTTTAGAGGGTCTTCTTTATATAATTCAGTTACAGTCAACATTAAATATTCAAAGTGATTATCTAGATTCAAAGGTGGTTCAAGACCCCCCTGTTGAAATGGTTGAATTAAACGCATATATTCATCTGCTCTATTTCGTAGATCTTTCACTTTCAAAGGCATTAGCAATATAAAATCAGAAATTAGAGAGTGAAAATAACGAAGATAAAATTCTTCGTAGTAGATGCTCTTATTCTTAAATAATACTTCAGCCATGAAATGGAAGCATTTGTTTGATAAAGCTGCTTCCAATAAATTTTCATCTTCTGTAGTAATATTTAATTGCTGTATACTAGTTACAGTCTTGATTGTTGCCAAAGCAACTGCAAAGGCAAATTGTATTACTCCACACAACCCAGGATTTTCCCAACTGTCATTAGCTGATAATTTTTTATATAATTCTTCGTGTGCTCTTTTTGCGATTAATGGCATAGAATTTATAAGTTCTGGAAAAAAATAATGAATTGCATAACAAACTACAAGATGAAAATTGTTTTTAGGAGTAATAACAAATGTTATTGCACCTTCACCGTTCTCACGACTATGTATTGAACTAAAGTTAATTGCATTTAATACACTCATTGTAAGTGCAAGAGTGATTTTATCTGGACCTTCTTCATTTGCATCGAATACTATTTGTCTCGTTTGTAGGAAAGAGATCAAATGAAATAAGATTTCGTTTGGTAATGAAGATTGAGCAGACCACAGATATAATATATCGGCCAAATCCTGTCTACAGTCATTGTAAAGTTTCATCACCATATAACAATGTTTTGGTCCTCCTAGTGCACGATTCTTTTCTAACAATTCTTGTTCCTATTAAAAATGAAGTATAATTTAGTTACTACAGATTTATAATACAAATTTTTATACATGTTATTAATCCTAAAATACCTTTAAGGGATCCATGCTTTCCAATAATGACAAGATTCTTTCCAATAAACCAACTTTTTCTAATTCATTTGTATATTTAGTAATATGTTTTAAGAGAGCAATCGGAGCATTAATTTCCCAGCTGTAGCCCAATCTAGCTTGTACAAGCATTCTTAAAGTTGATGTGAGTGCTTTTTTTCCATCATAATATAGGAGAATAGCTGTTAATCCTCGAGGTAAACCAGGATGATGAGGCATTTGCAATTGAGCAGTACATAAAAGATCCAATGCCATAAATTCGTTAAGCTGATACATATCTGATATAATTAGTGTTTCATCTACTAGTTCTTTTGATAACAATTGATACCCTAAACCAGGAAGCGTAATACCCTCAATTGCTCCCTTTTTAATTTCTTCTCTGTTATTTATATTTGGAGGCTGCAATTAAATTCATCTTAAATCACATAACATACAAATATGTAACGTTTTTATTGTTACTGTTAACACTGATCAATTGCCATCATACTACCACTTACAGGATTGTTTAATAAGGCAAGAAAATTTTGTTTATGGTTTCTTAAAGCTTCTGTAAATTCATGATACTGAAGATCATGTGTAGTTGGAGGAGAGGTAATATACCGTTCCACAAGACTTTGTAGTTCCTTGTACGGAGTCCACATGTCCTCCGTCGTTGCTTTTTCTATAATGTACAAAATAAAATAGATACAGCTTTTTAGAAACGTATCTTCATGCATTACAGTTTGCAGGTTATACATGTCATTTAATACCGAAAATATAAATATGATCGAGTAGATCGAAAATTACCTTCAGACATATTTTCGCGGTACATAGAACGTTATAAAAGTGTAAATCTCGTGGGACAAAATATAGTACTTAAATATAACGGAATCAAACAAATCTCGTGCAACATAATCCAAATACCGGTCCTCTGGCGGGAATTACAGACTTATCGATAATTGTTAATCATTGAATACTATCCCAGAACAAACAGGTAGATAGTTGCACACGATGCAACATTTCACATGCATTTTATTTTAAAGAATTGTACAAGAGGGCGCAAGAATCATGCACACGACAAAGTCAATTTTTAATAAAACATAATATTATTATATTACTTAGTAGTAAATGATACTTAATTACTTTTAAAGTAAATACTTTCCTCTTGTTTCTTTAATTACTATATTTATTTAAACATTTGCTGATTTTCTTAATTTTGGCAAATACCGTATGAGTAGGATAACTAGTTGATAATTTTAATCTATGCTTTTTTTCGTTCGAGTCGCGATGTTCTGAGTTAGTAATTTAAATGACATTGTTATTTTATTAATTTTCTTGTATTGTAAAATTCACAAATTCGTAAGTTCACATTACAGACTACGTAATATTTATAAAACTACAAAAATATATGATGCGGAACAGTAAAATATACGATACAAAATATACATATGTCGCCGGCCGGTAATTTTGTGTACGTGGTCAGTTTCTGGAGAGACGGCATCATTTAAATTCTCGTAATTTGTTTCTTCAGCATGTTAATGCTATGCTTTATTAAAGCAGTATGTTCATCTTTGTATTAATAAGGGTTTGACACTGATTATCGAACACTTTTACTCTTTACATCTTTAAGAAATCATAACCTAACGTTGAATGACACACGCCATGTGTTTTTTATTATAGGTTCTGTTATTACCGTTTTATAAATATACATCAGAAATCCTTTTTGTACATGTTTTTAAAATATTTCATTGGTTTTTGCATGTGAGACAATTACGAAATAAAAATTATTAGTTATATTAAGAAAAATAATATACATTTCTCATTTTGTGCAGATGAATTAAAGGAACGTGGTGCTTGATTGCTTAAAAAGGTACCTCCTAGTCTTAAGATGGCTATGTTGATGAAAACAAGAGGTTTGCGTATGTCTGCACAAAAGCAGGAAACGCTTTTAAAATTGACTGTGTTATCTCTTGCAGCAATACTATGTAAGATTTGTAAATAAGCATCAGAAATATTCTTGCAATGTTGTGTGCATTAATAATACATGTTAAAAATTCTTTTTCAGCATTTGCTACAAGATTATTTTCAGTTCTAAGGTTTGAAAGCGTTATCCATGAATTTGATCCATACTTTAACTATCGCACAACAAAGTACTTAGCTGAAAATGGGTTCTATAGTTTCCACAATTGGTTTGATGACCGTGTTTGGTATCCTTTAGGTAGAATAATTGGAGGTATGTTCCTTTTGTATTAATATATATATATATTCTGTATAATGCAGATACAGCATAAGTTTAATATTCATTTTTTTCACAGGGACAATATATCCTGGCTTAATGATAACATCAGCAGCATTATACCGTCTTTCATGGTTATTGAATATTACTTTAGATATACGTACTATTTGTGTCTTCCTCGCTCCATTATTTTCTAGTTTAACAACAATAATTACTTACTTGCTTACCAAAGAACTGAAGGTAAAAATTTCTCCAAGATACTTGTATCTTAATATAGTTCATTTAATGTTCTTTTATGCTTAATTTGTAGGATTCTGCATCAGGGTTGTTTGCTGCAGCTATGATAGCAATTGTTCCTGGTTATATATCACGATCTGTGGCAGGATCTTACGATAATGAAGGCATAGCTATTTTTTGTATGTTATTTACATATTATATGTGGATAAAAGCAGTTAAAACAGGAGCAATTTGTTGGTCAACATGTGCTGCCCTTGCATATTTTTATATGGTGTCTTCTTGGGGTGGTTATGTGTTCCTGATTAATTTAATCCCCTTACACGTTTTGACTTTAATGGTAACTGGTAGATTTTCACATAGAATCTACACTGCATACAGTATTTTATATTGTTTAGGAACAATTTTATCCATGCAAATATCATTTGTTGGTTTTCAACCTGTTCAAAGTTCTGAACATATGCTTGTAAGTATGAGCTATAGTTGCATGCGTCCTAACGAAAAAAGCGTGTTAGACAAGTCTGAATTCTTTTTTTTACAGGCATTAGGAGTTTTTGGGCTATGCCAGATTCATGCTCTAGTTGATTACTTGCGCAGTAGAGTATCACAAGATGACTTTGAAGTATTATTCCGTGGACTTGTTATTTCTGCAGTTACAATTTCATTTGTTTTGGGTGTTGTTTTAACTATTACTGGTATATATAATTAAGTTTACCATAAACTATAAAGCGATTTAAGTATTAAATTTAACGATGTTGTTTAAGGAAAAATATCACCATGGACTGGACGATTTTACTCTCTATTGGATCCGTCTTATGCAAAAAATCATATACCAATCATTGCTTCCGTTTCGGAGCATCAACCAACATCATGGAGCTCGTTTTATTTCGATCTCCAGATTTTAGTATTTTTATTCCCATTAGGTTTATACTTTTGCTTCTCAAAGTTAACAGACTCTAATATTTTCCTTATTTTATATGGGGTTACGAGTTTGTACTTTGCTGTAAGTATAATTGTACTTGAAATTTATGTTACAAGGCCTGAAGTCAATATTTAAATATTTATTGAACTGTGCAGGGTGTAATGGTTCGTTTAATGTTGGTTCTTGCTCCCGTGATGTGCATTCTGGGTGGAATTGGAGCCTCCTCTTTATTTGTTACTTATATGAAACAATTGGAAAGAGGAAAAGTTAGTGATAAAAAATCTAAAAAGTTTGAAAATAATTACATACTTAGAAGCGAGGTAATAATATCAGACACCATACTCTATAAAATGATACAATGAAATAAGAAGTATACAATTAGATATGTGCTATATCAAATATATGTTCATTTTCAGATTGCTACGTTTTTCATAACTTTAATGTGCATTCTGTTCTTTTCATATACCATTCACTGTACATGGGTTACAGCAGAAGCCTATAGTTCACCTAGTATTGTACTATCAGCACGTTCTCCCGATGGTGGTCGTATGATTTTCGATGATTTTAGAGAGGCATATTACTGGTTACGCATGAATACACCAGAAGTAATTATAACATATTGACTATTTGAATAAGCATACAAATCCTTATTTATCGATATTCGAAATTATATTTTTTAAATACAGAACGCTAAGGTGATGTCTTGGTGGGATTATGGGTATCAAATAACAGCAATGGCCAATCGTACGATCTTAGTAGACAATAATACATGGAATAATACTCACATATCAAGAGTTGGTCAAGCAATGGCAAGTTCTGAAGAGAAAGCTTACGAAATAATGAGAGAATTAGATGTTAATTACGTTCTTGTTATTTTTGGAGGACTTACGGGCTATTCATCCGATGGTATAATAAAAATTACATATTTCGCATAGAATAATTAAAAGCTTAATTTTAAATGATATCAAATGTCAATTTTAGATATTAATAAGTTCCTATGGATGGTTCGCATTGGTGGAAGCACTGAGAAAGGGAAATCTATAACAGAATGGGATTATTATAATTCAGCAGGAGAGTTTAGAGTTGATAAAGAGGGTTCTCCAGTTCTGCTCAATTGCCTTATGTACAAAATGTGTTACTATAGATTTGGTCAAGTTTATACCGAAGGAGGTAAGCTTGTTATCCATTTATCGTGATATAAATACAGCATGATATTTCATTTATAATTTGTTTTTCGAACAGGGAAACCTTCTGGGTATGACCGGGTCAGAAATATGGAAATCGGTAATAAAGATTTTGAGTTAGATACGTTGGAAGAAGCCTATACCACGGAACATTGGCTTGTACGTATTTACAAAGTGAAAGATTTGAAAAATAGAGGAATCTAAAAACTGTGAATTAGTAACAAAGGATAATGCAACTTTTGTAAATTTTTTCATAATTCCACTCACTTATAAGTTTTATAATTATATATAAAATAACAACGTGGCACTAAATACAGAATTACATATTTCCATGAATAACAGCGTAATCGAAACTTTTATAAAAGACATATAAAAATCCTCGCCATAAATGTTAATTTAGTAAATGTATTTATCGATTTATAAGATATTTTAATTTTTGAAGTAATATTTGTATCGAATGAAAAAGGTGAACATCATATTTATTTTAATAGTGTCCATTAAAACATATTCCAGTACTTGTGTAATAAATTATATTTACAGTACAATTTTGTTAAGTTAAATATTCTTGAATATGCATTTATCTTAATCATTGATTTAATCTCTGCATTTAAAATTAGTTTTCGCAGTTATTTGTTTGCATACACAGTTTTATTCATACACAAATGTTGTTAGAAGGAACTTTGATTAAAAGTTCCGGACTCATTTATAATTAATCAGTAATCGTTTAGATTTAAAGAAGAAATTTGTATTAAAAATGACCAATTTTTTTGTAATTAAAATTATATATCATAAACTTAACAGCTGTGACATGTTTCAATAGTATTGTATAATATAAAAAAATCAATTGATTTCGGATCATTCGTGGTGCATGCATATACATATATACGTGTATTAGAAATATGTACCAATTTATGGCTCATATATTTCAAAGTGCATGTCTGTATCATGTGTTGCTTAAAATTATAACTTGCAGCTTTTGTTTTGTAAACGTGTACAGACATGTATGGTTACTGGTGAGAGTGAAAAATAAATGTGAACAGACAGAATTTGTTTTTATACATATATTTTATTTCAGATTTTTATTTATCTTGCAGACTGTAAAATCTTTAAAACTTAAATATTAAGAAATATTTGAATAATAAGTCTTTTTACTTCAGAAATATCAAGTTAATTATGAATTGCATTGTTTATACACTTGCCATAATAATAATCTTATTTTTTTTATTAGTGTTAAGTTTAAAAACAGGAATGGAAATGTTCAATTAAATAATAAATTTATTAATTGGTGCATAGCAAAGTTTTCTTTGTAAATATACTTGATTATCTTCTAATAGACCATAAAGGATCTAACTGACTTAGAGGGTCAACTGCTGTTCCTTCTTTAGATTTTTCTTGAATCGATGTTGAAGTTGAATGAGCTGCACCAGTATTAGTAGAACCTTTTTGTCGAGCTAGGGTTGTAATCAATGTTACTACGACTTTCTTTGCCACAAATAATTGCGTTGATTCTTGTAATATACATACCTTGTTCAGCATCCGAACGCTGGGCATTAAGACCAAGACTCTGAAGAAAATCGTCGGAGGGATGCATTTTTCTCAATGTCTTATCCTTGTTTCCTTTGAATCCTTCAAAGTTTTCAAACGTCGAACGAGTGGATGATAATATACCACCTATAATTTGAAACACACTCTATTTTATAATTAATTTAAATTATATCGACAATAACATAAAAGAAAACAATCTTTACGTTTCATCAAAATATCTTGAGCATGATATAACACTAGTTGATACGCAAATAACAAGGACTCCTTATCTATATCTTGTGTACGACACTTTATGAGTCCTTTGAATACAAGTGGTACATCGACTATTCCACAACCAGCACGTATATGACATACTGTTGCTGCTGCTACAAGGAATAAACTACTTAATGTACCACCATTCCAACAGTGTACCACTATTGGTTTCGAACAATGTCTCAATGCTTGCTCCGTCATTACGTCTGTTGCAAATGTAAGGAATGGTCCAGGACTACTAGGGAGGTCACTAAAAAGGTAAAACATATAAATAATGTTTCACAAGTTCAATTTCCAAAACCTAATAGCATAAATGATATTTCATTTTGAAGACATACGTGAGAGGCCATGCAAGAAATTGCATATGTACGACAGTCTTTTCTAATTTTTTCTTAGTATTATGTATAGAAATGACCCTTTGAACATAATAAATGTGATTTACACTTTTCTTTAACGAAATCGTAAAACTACCAACATTTAGAATATCTTCTTTATTTGTAGGCCAATATCTTTCATTGTTTGTCTATAAAGAAAAGGACATTAGTTTCAGTTTTATATGTATGATTATCTACTGTATATTTACCATTGTGTCTGATAACAAAAAAGCGATTATCTCGCTTTCTTGTTCCCAAATCATTGTCCAAAACACTTCCAATGTCGGTTCAATTGGGAATTGGGTAATAATAAATGGCATTGGTATCCACTGTGTAATTTCCGTAATATAGGAAGCATTGATGTACTTTGAAGGATTTGATGATATTTGTACCCTTGTTGTATCATAAGGAATAGCGTCGCCCCTTACATTTATTGAGGAAGGCGCACATGCTATTATTGATGATTGCCTTTCATTTTCTTTTTCCTAAAATTAAAATATATTCTTTAATAATATTATAAACAGGGAATTTTATATCCATGAAAGTACGAAAAACTGTACCTGAAATTCTTGAATTTCTTTCCATTTAATATCCAAGATACTTGCTCCACTTAGTGTTTTGACAAGTAAACTATCAACAAATTTTTCGTATTTTTCAACTTCACTAACAAACTTCTGCAACGCTGCTGGATCTCCTAAAGGGTCCTTTTTCGGTTGCACATCATTGTACCACGTATCCCACACAATTTGTAAATTTTCATTCTCTGTTTTATCTTCAGTTGCAACAGGTTGAATATTAGTTTGTTCAGTTTCGTTTTTCTTTTCTTTATCATTTTCATTCGCCACATCTTTTGTTACTGTTTCTTCCTGTGCTTGAGCTTTATTAAGAGGACGTACTTCTGGTACTAAGGGCGCATGGTTTATAGTTACATCAAGATCAGAAAGTAAATCCACATTGGATTTTTCTGATAATTTTGTAGCAGATTTGGTAGGATTTCCGCTTGTCGTTGTATTCGTTCCATTATTAACAGCTTGCATGTACGTTTGATTATAATTAGTAAAATTCTCAGTTTTATTTGTAGATACTTGATTTTGCATTTGAAGACCATACTGCGTGGAATAATAAATGTCATTTGAACCTTGAGGGGGATATGGCTGTCCTGAATATTGAGAAGATGGAGTCTGACTAACCATAGAATTATTGCTAGCGTTTGTGTATCTTGCGTTGCTTTCTTGCTGTTGATAAACATTGTTGAAACTTGTTTGCGATGTTGAGTCTGTTGGTTTCTGTGACACTTGAAGAGGTTGCGAACCCTGAATATTGTTAGGATTGTATTCGTAACATTGGGTGGTAGAGTTATATGTATAACCCATATGATTTTTATAAGGTTCTGTCATTACAGTAGTCATTTGAGTTCCTTGCATGTAATTATACCCTTGATTATAGGTATGAGGATAATCTACATATCCAGAATAATGAGATTGTTGAGGATATTGGTATGTCTGCGAGTAATTTTGGATATTCGTGCTGGACTTTGTATGACTCTGAATTATATCAGCATTATTAGAATTTGTATATGTATATGTATTACAAGCTTCCGTAGGTAGCATGGATTGTGAATATGAAACTGCACTTCCATGCTGTAAACTGTTATAAGTATTAGAATAATTTAAAGCAGTATCATTGATAGGTACTTGTGATCCATATTGATACGTTCTGTCCGTATAAATTTGCTTATTTTGTTCTGTGGCATTCTGTTGTGGATATTGTGCAATATTGGGATTGTGTAAATTTGAAGAATACGAAGTAGGTATGTTGTTCATTGGAGCAGTTAACGAAGTTGTAGAATGAACGGACTGAGGAACGTTCGTATTCATGTACTGCGTTGGTATGTATTGAGCTGAAACAGCAATATTCGTAGTATCAGACGTATTCTGAGTTGTCGTGATTTGCTGAGAATGCTGTTCAGGCATGTTATAATACATTCCAGGACCGTAATTCTGTGCTATTTCATTTTGATTTACTTGTGGAAGAGTATAATTTTGTATCTGAGAATTATCCACTGGTAGTACATGTTGGCTTCTCACAGTTTGAACAGGTTCTTGTGGAAGGTTTTGTTGAGGCTCTGGCGTATACTGTTGTGCCGGTTGGTTTATGCTGGGATAATGATGCGGTTGTATGTCTGCTGTTTTGTTAACTAAACTCGAAGGCATAGGTGTCTGTGCCACTGTTGACACTTGAGAAAGCATTTCATTCTGAATAATATTACCAGTCTTATCCACATTAGAATATTGCTGTGCAACATTGTATTCATTATAATTGACTGAAGGTTGATACATATCATATTGCAATGTACTACCGGGATAGTTATATTGTGGTTGAGTATTAGAATATGTATGTTGTCCATCTATAGTTGCAGGAAACTGTCCATTGGGTACAAAAGAATTTACTGGATATTGTACTGTAGTATTTGCCATATCTGTGGTTGTACTCGTTGCAATTTGTGGATAAGTACTTGCAGCGTCTGAATTATTAAGTTGCATATAACTTTGATTTAAGCCACTGTTCATAGCCGGATTTTCATTATATGCAGAAGGTTCGTGAGAATACGGTAAATTTGTCTTATAATCTGTGTAAGTTGCAGGATAATACTGCTGCATTTTTGCAGCTGATGCTACATCTAATGCAGACATTCCACTCGAATGAACTGTGCTCTTATCCACTACATCATTCATGTATGATTTTACTGTTGCATCTACTTGACCTTGTTTTTGACCTTTGTATATATTGTAATATTGATTTGAAGCAATCTCTGTTTTATTATTCAGATAATCCTTCAATTTAAGTCCGCTGCCAGATCGATTACGACTCTGGTCATAAGTAACAGGTATCACTGTATCGGTCTTTTCTTGAGAATTTTTATTATTATCCTGAGCAAGTATATGTTCACGTTCTTCTTCCTGTACTTTACATGTGCTTTTTACTCTCTGAAGTAACTTTGAAACGTTTATTTCTAATTTTCTATAAAATTCGAGTCCTTTACTAGACTTCGCCAACAAATCTTCGTAAGCGTCGTAAGAACTGATCAAAGAAGAAATGATATGTTCCCGACGTTTTAATATCTCTTCTACTCCTTTTCTTACATTAGCAGTTTGTGCATATGCATCAGTTAAGGCTGCTAAAATATTATCCTGTGCAGCTAAATTTTGGTCTATTAATGTTACCTATAAAAATAAAGTTTTTAAAATAAATAATTCTATAATGTATTAAAACTAACGGAGAAAAAATAAGATAGATTCGAGATACACATATGTACTAACTAAAGTTTGATGTTTGCTAAGCTGATCTGCAAATAAACGATCTAGAGGCCCAGAATCTGACGTGGCTGTAACGAGCAATCGTGTCAAATCATCTTGTGCGACGGAATCCCGTAATTTTGTATGTAATTCATTTCTTTGTCTACGCATTTCATCCACTTTATTTAAAATACGTTTTAATTCTTTAGTATGCATCCGTTCTAATTCGATTGCGGTGTGCGACTTTTCAGTGTTTTGTTCTACCGAAAAGATTAATATAAAACAACTATATTAGCTTGTTTGTGATGTACCTTTCTCACATAAAATTAAATGAGTAAGCATATAAAATACCTGAAAGATATGCACTCGGTGAAGGTATATGGTTAATAAGCTCAGCAAGTGGCTGAGAAAGTATTTTTAAATTTTTAACATGCATTGTTATCGCTTTATGAAGGGCATGATTGCTTTCTGAAGCTTTATTATGAGCTTCTTCATATTTCTTAGCTTCTCTAGTTAAATCAGTAGCTACTATCGATGGCGGTCTTTTCCCAACTGCATCCTGATACTGTTTTTCCCTGTAAAAATAAAAACAATGTTAGTAAATAATTATAAGATTGATTACCTTTTTATGATTTGATAATAACTTCAATTCTTCGTCGAGAAGAAGTTTGTTGATTTCCTTTAATATTTTCTCAACGTCTTGACTGGTATTCGATAATTTTTCCATTATATCAACTAATTCTTGAATAACGTGCTGTTTGGCATTTAAAGCTGCACATCTTTCAATTAATTCATCGGGAAGAGGCAAACGTTCCCATTCTGTGGTTTGAACATCAGGATCCCATAAACTCAAATGTTCTAATTTTAGAGATGTCAAATATGTATTAAGCTGCTGATCTTTCTCCTCGATTTTACCGCCAACGGAACGTAGTATTTTTGCTTTCTCCTCAGAGTACAAAGAACTTGCTTCGTGAACCTTCATAGGTACTAATCTGCAACAAACATAATAATACCAAAAATTATAAAATAAAATGCAAAGTCTTCAGTAATCTAACAATATCTACCTAGCAAATATATCAGGGCCTGAAACTTCAGGATCATTAATACTGAATGAAATTCCTTTAACTAATGAAGCTCCCTTCACTGTGGGTAATGTTTCCTTTTCAGGTACTTCCTCATGGTATATAAATTCATTTTCATTTTTGGCTGCTTTACGTTTCCCTTCTATCACATCATTCGTGAATGTTAGTGCTTCCTCTTCAGCCGAGCCAGATGCACCCATTGAACCTTTTGCACTTGTATAAATTAACTGTGCTTCGTTTAGAGATGCTAATGCAACATTGTAAAAGGCTACCCTTTCTCCCATCTTTCTTTGTTCCTCAGCTGCCAGTCCTTGATATAAATGTGTGACAGCTTGGTGATAAGCTCTTTTGAATTTTACATAACGTTTCCAGCTCTAGAAAAATAAATTATTTGTTCAGTAATATTGTGGGATTTAATTAGAAAAAATATTCTGAAATGTACCTTATAAATTTTTGTACCAACTGTATCTGAAATGGTTCCATCTTCACTTCCACCTTGTTCAAGCGTAGATAATGCCAGAGTAAAATAATCCACTATCTGTCTCGCGACTTTTGCTGCATGATACATATATCTTGTAGAATGATACACAAGAGCAGACAATTAAAGCCAAAAAAGGTTTAATATATCTATGCACTTTCTATTTGTTTCATACTTACCTACAATGGTAGGTTTCCGATTATCAAGCATACTCTTTTCTAATATACATTCTTGAGCTTGAGCTAAACAAAGCTGATGCATAAATGTCATTAATTCTGGTGCTAAATCTACACCAGATGGCTGTGGATAACTATTTTTCAAATGTTCAAATGCCCATGCTGCACACTGAAAATGAGCACAAGCCATTTTCATGCCATCGGCTGATGTTCTTTCTGTACGTGCTCCCAGCTGAGTATGCATTGCACCAATATTATACAAGATTGAAATTATTTCAAAACGGATATTTGCCAGTGAACAAACCATGTTTGCATACGTGTCCCTCCTATTTAAGGTTAAAAACATTTAAACTATAAACCTTCTCTAAATTTGAATAACTAAGAATTCTTTTACCATGTGAATGTAACTGCTGCTGCACCATCTTTTCCCATAGGAAATCTACTTTGAAGAAAATGTAACTGACAATAATATTTTTTTAATAACAAACAGCCAGCCATATCTATGGGGGGTCGTATAGCCATTGCGCGTAAACTTTCCAATTGATGTATTTCATTTGTATATGATTCTGCGTCTTCATTGTAAAATTCGCGTATATACTGTAACATAAAGTATAATAAAATTTATTCTAATTTCAATTAATTTGGATGATTGCTATGAGGAAATAAATGCTTATGTAATTAAAATATATAAAAGAAAATTTTAAGTAGTTTAGTACCATGAATCATAAAAGTAAATAATGAAAATTAATAAGTGTTATAATTTAGAGTGTCAATTGTTCATACCTGTTTCAACTTTGATCCAAATGTAGTAGGTTCAGGACTAACTTTTAATTGAAAGGATATCATAGGTAATCGCGGTACTGCTTCCATTGTAAATTGTTTATTAAATTATTATCTGTTTAAAATCTTTGAAAACTGACAGCTGATTATCTGTCAAACTCGTAGAAAACGATTTGTTCATTGAACATACTTTTCGTTACCACCAGCTATCACGTATTTGTGACGATCTGTCTTTGGGCAAATACCCATGTTCGGAGGTAGTTGCGTCACTTAATTTTTCTTTAAAAAACTTCATATTTCATCAAAAATAATATACTGTAATCTCTCATATTGTCAGATATTAACAAGAATTTAAGAAACAATTGAACATCGATTACAAATACATATCTTGGAATATCGTTTTCTGTAAATTGTAAACAGATCAAACAAGTATATTATAGTATGTATAGTGTATTTCATAAAAGAACTATAATGTCGAACAACGAGTTTTCGTTTCTTCTGCGCACAATTATGTGTGTCATCTAAGTGAACTACTAACACGGAGCGCGTATGTATATCTAGTGATCTTTTATTTTAGTATACTTTCGCACGTTGTTACTTCTTAAGACTATTCATAAACTTTCGTTCACTATGTATATGATCATAAAGTGAAAAGCAAACCGTAGATCTATACCACACCGAAGTTGAAAAATCCTCTGAACTTAGCCGAGATGCGCGAATTATTATGCTTCTTTCATGAAATGAATAGTAGGCATGTCGCCGAATAAGTTACATCGGAATTTACCAACGGTTTGTGGTTACTCGTGAGAACAGGTACCGAAGATTGAAGGTGCAATAAATTGTTTATTTCTTCGTAAATAAGGCATCGAACAATGTATGAGAACGAATTAGACGACCATTAATAAAAATCCTACTATCGTTCTCTTACATTATTTGGTTATTGGTACGAAGCATCACATGTGAAGCATAACTTATTTTCGTAAACGTTGTGAATGTGGAATGTTTGCTTTTCATTTTTCGTTTGTTCCTAATTATGTGCAGAAAAATATTGATTAAAAGTGAATAGACTTATGTATAATATGTCAGAAACTAGACTTGACATGGATATTGATAATCAGAGCGAAGACGGAGAAATAAAAAAAAGCCCATCGAAGGATATGGAAGATTTTAGGTATAAAAAACGTGATATTTTTTTCTGATTAATTTTATTTTCGAACTAAATTGGTTATGATTAGCTCTTCATCACGTAATTTGAATCTATTTATGCTTTTTCAGATAATAACAATATTTTTAAATATAAAATATATTCATTAAAAATTTATTTTAATATATCACTTTTGTGTTTCTGTATGTTAGTCATTTTGAGAAAAGTATACTTAAAGTTTTTCAGAGGAGGATGGTGGAGATACAGCGGATTCTTTGGATATAAAACCACCGCAGGCTGTTGTGCGGCATTATAAATCTAATTCTTCAAGGAGACGAGATAAACATGGTGAGAGAAGAGATCGTAGGGAAGAGAAAGAACGAAAGTCTCGTCATCATGAACGAGGAGAAGACAGACACAGAGATAAACACAGACATCGAAGACACGGTATAGATATTCTAGAAAGATCAGACCGCTCAGACAGTTCTAAAAGAGATAGGGAACGATTAGAAAGACTAGAAAGAATGGAAGGTCATAGAGAAAGAGAATCTAGACATGATAGGAAAGAGAGAAGCACAGGAGACCGTGTCTTGGAAGATTTGAGAGAAAGGTAAGAGAATTCAATACTTCAGTTTTTACATTCTGGCTTTTTTTACTCATTAGTGTATTTGATTTACAGATTACTAGATAAAAGACGAGAGAGAAGAGAAGATTCACGAGATATACGAGATTACAAAGTAGAAGCTCGTCGAGAAATTCGCATAGAAGATACACGGGAGTTGCGCGACACGCGCGAACGTAGAGAAATACGTCTAGAAGATATGCGAGAACGTCGTGAAATTCGTACCATCGCAGATGATGTGAGGGAACGTCGCGAAATTCGTATAGAAGATCATAGACACTTGAGAGTGATAGAAGAACAGTACTCTGAAACAGAGCTCATGGAACGACCCGAAAGAAGCGAGAAACGACACAAGAGATCTCACAAACACGATCGACTTCGCGATAGAGATAGAGAAAAGGCGGAACGCGAGAAAGAACACAGGGAAAAGCAGTTACGCGAAGCAATGGAAATTGCCACGGAAGAACCTGATGATATGGAAATCAATGAAATACCGATGCAACCAAAAGATCCAAAGGAAATGACGGAACAGGAACTTAGAAAAGAAAGATTGTTAGAAGCTGATAGGGAAATGGCTAGGAGGAAAGAAGTCTCTAGATTAGAATTGCAAGCACGTCGAATGAAAAGAGGAGAAAAACGACCTTTAAGCCCTGATAATAATCAGGACCCATCTATCGTGGAATTATCCGATGAAAGTCCAAGTCCAGTTCATTCCGATGAAGTTCGTTCCAAATCTATCGAGTAAGATTTTATTGTTTTTCAAAAAATGTTCTTAAAGGAAAGGAACTAACTGTTGGTTTACAGGTCCAGACACTCATCCGATGGTCAAAGGAGTATACGTGAACGATCTTCGGACAGACATTCTTCCGATTCGTCAGAGTCTAGTAGCGAGGATGACGATGAGTCGAACGATTCAAACAAAGGTTCTAATGCTGATTCCAATGACGGTTCCGATTACAATAATCCAAGTCCTTTATCAGTGGATCGGTTAGCTAAATCGGATCACTCTGACGGAGAATCACCTGGACACGTTGATTCGAACGGCGCCTCCAAAATTGTAGAGGAAGAAGAAAAGAAGGAAGAGGAGCCCGAACTGCCGCCGTATTTACCAGCAATTCAGGGTAAATGAGCAAACTTTATTGCGCTGAATCTTCATGTTATAATGCAAAATCTTTTTTTTTATTACAGGTTGCAGAAGCGTGGAAGAGTTTCAGTGCTTAAACCGTATCGCAGAAGGTACCTATGGCGTAGTCTATAGAGCACGAGACAAACGTACGGATGAAATTGTTGCTTTAAAGCGACTGAAAATGGAAAAAGAAAAAGAGGGATTTCCAATTACCAGTCTTAGGGAGATAAATACTTTGCTACAGGCACAGCATCCAAATATTGTTACTGTACGAGAAATAGTCGTCGGTAGTAATATGGATAAGATATTTATCGTGATGGATTATGTGGAGCACGATTTGAAGTCACTGATGGAAACAATGAAACAAAAGAAGCAAGTTTTTATACCAGGTAAATGTTGCAAATGTGATAAGAAAAATAGAACATGAAGTGTTAACGCGAATATCTTTTACAGGAGAGGTTAAATGTCTTATGCAACAATTATTGCGAGCAGTCGCCCATTTACACGACAATTGGATATTGCATCGAGATTTGAAAACATCGAATTTGTTGCTAAGTCACCGCGGTGTTTTGAAGGTTGGTGATTTTGGTTTAGCTCGAGAATATGGTTCTCCTCTAAGACAATATACTCCAATTGTTGTAACACTTTGGTACAGAGCTCCTGAATTACTACTTAGCGAAAAAGAATATAGTACTCCAGTTGATATGTGGTCAGTCGGGTAAGAAAAACTTTCTACATTTAGAGTAAGAAATTTTTTCTACATAAGCATTATGATTAGTATTACTATTAACGAAACAATATCTTTTTCAGGTGTATCTTCGCAGAGTTATTAAGAATGGAAGCACTGTTTCCAGGTAAATCAGAGATTGATCAATTGAACAGGATATTCAAGGAATTAGGTACGCCGAATGACCGTATATGGCCAGGGTACAGCAAACTGCCAATGGTACAAAAGATTCCATTTGCTCATTATCCCGTAAACAATTTGAGACAACGTTTTAGCTTGTCTCTCTCGGATCTGGGCATTGAATTATTAAACAAGTATGTTTTTTCTTTTGATTGAATTAATTTAAAAATTAATATTATTTGTATAAATAATCGAATAAATGTTTTCAGGTTCCTTACCTACGATCCTCAACAACGAATATCTGCAGAAGACGCTTTGAAACACGGTTACTTTACGGAAGCACCTTTACCGATCGACCCACAAATGTTTCCTACATGGCCGGCCAAGTCGGAGCTTGGTTTGAGGACAGCAAATGCTTCTCCAAAACCACCGAGTGGTGGAAAAGAATACAAACAATTAGGGGACGGTGACGATGCTGATTTAAGCAATTCTGGTTTTCACATGGGTCTTATGGAAGGTGGAAGGCAACCACCTGTAGGTGGCGGTTTTCATTTAAAATTTTAGATACACACGACAATTTCTATGAATTAGAGCAGTTGCTTTTCTACGGAAACTACTTTGTATATAATTCTTTAAATGATTCACATTTTGATTAAATGAACATTGAATATAAGTAACTAAAGGACATCAACAATTTCGTACAAAAAAAAAAATTGTAACAATGATTTGCAAGCATTTAAGTTTGCTTTCTATTACATTTTATTATTCCTTCAGACGTTGCTTCATACAACAATATTTCTAGAAGTATATTATTTTATTTTGGTTGAATATTTTTTGAAACAGCTACGAATAGGTGGTTGGTTGATAAAAGGTCAACAACGGCAGCATACTCTTTTACATTTATTTATTACTAATAAGCTTTTATTAGGCTGAATAAATTTGTTGAATGTACATGATAAATAAAACGTAGCTGAATTACTACTGAATTTTATGAAATATAATACTGTCTTCAAACGATTATCCGGAAGTTTTTATTTTCCACTGATGTTCACGTTTTTCGGTAGGCCCAGCAGCGCGTTTATCAGCTCAGAATTGCGTTTAGGATGACAAAGCCATTGCGGTAAAAGCAAGAGTCTAGCAAGTTGTAAGTCGTTATTCTGTAAACACGTTAACAACATTTTACTTATTGGTACAAACGTTGCATATTAAGGTTTATTAATTATTTATATGATCTCTTTACCAGTCCTCTAATACATGGACGGCTCAGATCCAAAAGATTTCTATTAGCCTCTTCGGGTACTCCCCAAACTCCAGATGATATTGCCAGCACCATAATTAGGATCACCACGTACTTTGATGCCATGACTTCTTTTTAAATGCGGCGCTAGAAACTTTTCAAATAGTTAGGTAATTTATTATTTAATTCACAAAGTAATTTTCTAAATTCTTTAGAGTCACCTGAACAACTGTTAGCAGAATGTTTCTACTCGAGACGGTAGACACAAGTGCTCTGAAATACCGAAGCTGCATACTTTTATACTGGTTAATCACGACGGTTAAAATCTGTTTGCGACAGACGAGTCCTGAGAGCGACAGCTATCTCAAGGAAATATCGAAGAAATTTTCCTTCCGTTTTCTCTCATTATGTAAATCTTTATTCTGTCAATGACAGAGTTTTGAGACTGCCTGTCACATTTTTTTCTTTTTTATAATCTCACTGCAATGTTTCATTTTATTGTGTTTTTTCACAGGGATCTTAAAACTTTTTGGAACTTGTTACTAACACTGGATCCGGACCATAACATCCTTATCCTTCAGTCCCATGATGATTCTTCATTCTTACAAAGGTCCTTTTACATTCTTAATCTTTTTATTAAAAAATCTAATGTGGAATGAAATTATGGTAGGAAGAATAATGAACAGAAGCAGAGTGGAGCAACAATAAAATTACAGTAGAAGAACAGTGAGTAGAAGTTGCAGAGTGGAAGAATAAAATTACAGTAGAAGAACAATAATAAGTAGAAGAAGCAGAGTGGAAGAGCAATAAAAAATATCAGGTACTTTGCTACAGTACTTTTTGCATTAAAAAGAAGGATAAGATTTAATGGTATGTAACATTGCTTCAGCAACCCTTAGCGCAAGCGGAAGACATAAAAATGAAGCTCAACGATTGGCGAACGAAATTAACATCGACTAACAGGAATAATCTTTAAATGATTAAGGGGATTGTATTTATTCATGAGACACCTACGCGAAGATCGACAAAGATAAACGGAGTGAAGATAGGGCAGAATAGAAGAAAGAGAGAAAAAGAAAAAAGGCAAATGGGAAAGAAAGAGGAATGGAAGGAAGGAGCTTAGAGTCCATGCACGATAATCGAAATCTTGGTGTCCCGGGATGGGCGTGGGTCACTAACCAGCAACCAGAAAGCGGTTTCAGACTGGTGTAGTGGCCTTGATTCGTTCTTAAGACCCTTCGAAGGCATGTGTCGCGACGTTCGTGCTTTAACTTTGCCGACACCCGAGTGTTTTCTCCTTCCTCTTAATTGTTCACCTTCGCGTTGATTATACATGATCATTAGTGTCGATAACATCTTGTCTAGTTAGAAGCAGAATCTAAATCATTCTCCCGCGTAAAAAGATTTAAACATCTTGGTATATCCTGAAAGAAAGGGAAAGGATTAAAACCATTGTATTATTTAAAAATTTTGTAAAATTTATTACATAATATGTACTTGAATATAATTGAATATGTCTGTAATAAATATGTAATTAAATATACTTTGTATTTTATCTCACCTTATCTGTATTATAGAATCATCAGTGTTCTTGATTTCAAACGGTAACAAATTACCGCGCAATTGAATTGTAGCTTTTCGATCATTGATCGAAATAATCGGAAACTATAATTGTAATCGTATCGATCGAGCAAGTTTAGGAAATGGCGGGGGATGAAGCCACATGCGAGAAACTATTGCGTCTTACGAAATATCCATGTTTGACCTCGAGACGCTTTTTAGCGAAATGTCGTAATTATAATCAGCATTGAAAGGATCATAATGGTTTCTGCAAACTTTCCCAAGAATATTCCTATCAATTTCTAAAGTGGTGAATAAATCACGTGATCATGGAATAGACAGATATCAAAATAGTACGGAGAACAACTCACCGAATTATCTATCCTCTTAATAGCTTTTTCGTGTATACATTTGTGGCAAAATAATGAGTGATCGTCTAAGGTTTTTTAAGCGAAGATGCACTAATGGGTCGACTAGTGACAATGTGTTACGGTATCGGGTCAAGGATCGAGGTATAATCGGTTGACAAAAACTGTTTATTTCTCTGGAATAGCTCATTCCGATTTCTCTTCTCTTCGCAGATCAAAGCGCAAGTTTCACGTTGGACGAGATGAGAATCATAAAAGGAACGGTATATCTCATCCTTCATCGAATATGGTCTGTCATAACCGTGTCTGGTCTGTGATTTAATTATGCATTCCTTTAGCTATTAAAATGCTTTAACAGGTTCTACGTACGAAAAACTCATACAACCTGTATCTGAAAGGCTTTACTTCCCGATGCCAATGAACTTCCAAACGCTAATGTTCATAATCCGTATCGACGACGACGTTGAACGAATTCGATCAATCCGGATTCAAGGGAAAACAATTAATTTTCAAATATCAGATTTGAATACTTGTCTAACTCCTTGTCATCTTTCGTCCTTGTTCCGCTAATCTCTGAAGGTAACGGCTCTTTTGCTATCGATTTATGCGTTAATCGAACAGTAACACTTCGATCTTTCCCGGCAACCCTCGGTTGTAAATACATTTGAACCAACGGTTCGCGCAAGCGCAGTAATTATTTTTCATTCGAAAGTCGGACGTTACTAATTAAAGGAGATTTCATTCTTTTTAGAAAGAAAACGATGGAACTAGTCTATAAAACGAATATTCGCAAGTTCAAGGTGAATCTTGGTGTTCCCTAAATACCTTGTTTTTAGGATTCTACAGGTTCTTGGATACCTGGCACTACGATCGACTCTCGAATTCTGCAATGGGACGAGTCTCCAACTTTCATCGTCTTTTCTAACTTTTTTCTTTCTTCGGCCATAACTTCGGTAAGGGTTTGAAGACCATATCGCGTCCATTCGTTAAGCATTTCTTTACGATCCGCGAATTCGTTTCACACTACTTTGTTTTTTGTTTTAGGACTGATCTACAGGACGGTGGATGGATGTACCTCGGTAACGATGGGCACTTTTTAAGGCCTTTTAATGGCACTTTTTAAGGCCTTCAAAACTGATATTTTTAAGTCCGTTGTTAACTATTAAGTTTCAAGAACATCAATTGTTTATCTTTTCTGAAATCTTTTGTTTTAGGAGATGGTATTTAAAGTAGCATCTGTGCAACTAATAAGAACAAAATATATGAATTTTGTCCAAGGTAATCGCGGCTAGTTTATTCGAAATATCGCATATGTGACGTGAACGCAAAACATCCTCGACCCGCAACGAATTTCAAAAATTGATGTCGAATATTCCTCTCTTAAAATTTCACTTTCCTTCATACATTTGTCTTGCTACTGAAAATATCAGAGTATAAATACACAGTATTTTACAAGTATTGCGCTGTATATTTATATCAGCTTCATTATTACATATTAAAAATTCATTCTTAATTATTCTTATGCTTAATAATTATTCTTATTCTTAATAATCATTATCTATTTTCAGGTAGAGTCCAATTGTCAGTCTCACGTTTCCTGCATCATTAAAATCAAGGTGCCAAATGGATAAACGAAGAAAAACGATATATCTTAGACTGGTCATAGCATTGAATAGTTCCTAGCGAATATGATCCTTCAGACGATAATACACTTTTAAGCCAAACCGATAACCGAGTATGGTTTTTATATTGCTACGTTATCACGATTAGTTTGGGTGTCGCCATTGGCGTAACTAGTACTTTTGTCCGAACAGTATGAGCCTTGTCCCGGCGTTATATTACCACACGTTAGATAATGTCGCGTTAAATCACCGCACGTTGAGTCGCCGTATATTACATTAGCACGTGTTGTACCGTCTTGCATCACCACGTTAGATCACACGTAATATACCACATACAAGGGGAAGGTTCCTACCTGGTTACGCTAATGAATGCTATCGAACTCGCGTACGGAAAATACGTAAAGCTAGGCATGCTATATTCTGTCCATACATTGCTAATTTATTTCAGATATGCATAATCTCCGCGAGCACCGTTTCAATTACGGATAAATCATCATCTTCATTTCCACGTGCACGGGAACTCCGACTCTAGTATCAAATAAACAACTATCTAAGCAAATTTATGCGCGACGAGGCGAGCGAAGGGACAGCGTGGAGGGTTAAATAGGTGGCAGAACATGGACATTTGGCGAGAAGAAAAAAGAAATATCGGAAAGATTAGAAGGCGAGGTGCACGATGCAGGATCACTGCGAGATCACTCAACGATATTCGAACGTTGCAAATTTTTAAAAGGCAAATATTTAAAAAGATAAATAATTTGATAAGTTTAAAGATTTGCAATGAACGAATAATTTTGGAATTATGAATTAGCGATTACAAGACCACATGGTATCGTCCGAGAATTGGTGTATGTACACGGTCGCGTTCCCGTGGTCAAGGACGTTGGCGACATGGTCTGTAGGGTGCGGGTCGAGGGGTCCCCGGCGATGGAGTAGGTATATATGGGCGTCCTCGCGCGATCAGAATACCAGATTCATGCAAGTTAGCCCTCCCCGCGAAGCGGGTGGTGCGCTTTTAAAAATTCATCGCGAACCACTTGCCAGAGGAGTGTACGGAGGGGCCGGTCGCGGCTTCTCAATCATCGGTCAGTGCAGTAGAATCAGGTGCCATTGACGCTTCGATCCAAGCAGCTTACACGAAGAACGATCCTCTTCTTCTTTAAGCCAAGGTTCGTTCTAACATATCATTCACAACTTTCTTCTTCATCGTTCATTCATATACTCTCTTTCTTTTTTGAAGGTTCACTCATCTAGTTAATGGGATCTATCATGTTCCATGATTAGAGTAGGATAAGAAAACTGGAAAGATTATAAGGTTTTATGGGTTCATTCTAGACATCTAGTATGATCGACGTTGTAATTACTTTGTACACTAAGATTGCAGTGGTAGGCATATTTTTATATTATAGTTAAGATGAGGAGTTGAAAGGTGGAAGGATACAGGTTCTATATAGGTTCATTCATTCTAGATATCTAATATGATCAATGTTACAATTACTTTGTACATTAAGATTGCAATGGTAGTCTTATTTTTATATTATAGTTAAGATGAGGAGTTGAAAGGTGGAAGGATACAGGTTCTATATAGGTTCATTCATTCTAGACATCCAGTATGAACAACATTGTAATTACTTTGTCTACATTAAGATTGCAATGGTATTCATATTTTTATGTTACAGTTAAGATCAGGATGAGAAAGGTGGAAGTTTATACAGGTTCTATATAGGTTCACTCATTCTATACATCCAGTATCAACAACATTGTAATTACTTTATGTCTATGTTAAAATTGCAGTGTTTATATTAATTATCAGCATGGTCTATGGAAAGGACTACAAATTGTAGAACTTTGAAGTAAAATTAGTGGAGTAATTGTCTAAAGAGTGGTCAAGTTTGAAGGAAGTAATGGTCCATGAAAAGTACAAGAACTACAAGACTCGAATTTATTAACTCATATCATAATGCTGTGGTCATCAGTGACCCAATATCGATCCACATATTAATTCACGCGTCCATATTCACTGTCAAGCGAATCCTTAACATTAAAACCGATACTCTATCAGGTCAATTAGTAGATTTTTCCTCGAGAAACATCAAGGAACTGGTTGGAGCACTTACAGTCGTCGGAACGTTCTCTTTGAAGATAAGACATGGTCAGTTATTAACAATCATTAAACAATTGCATTCTCGTTAATGTCCAGCATTTCAGTTAAGATGATCGCGGTTTTACGGTTTGTTTTATAGTGCAATATGCAGTAAGACAATCTTGTAAAAGCATCAGCTATGTAGTCGCTGAACAGGTTTCGTCAACTGGAATATCAGGTGTTTGACAATTAAATTTTTCTGCCGTGTCTCATTAGGAATGTTTCTGAAGAGTTCCATAAAATAAGAATCGGAGATTGAATTGCAAGTGAGGACTCGAATGCCCATCGGTTGGCCTTACGGTTACTTCCACCTACGAGTGTCGCATTTTGAATGGTTAAACATGATCGCGAAGATCGAAGCAACAACCGCGTGGTCTTTGTCCTTGGGTGAATCAGCGCATGATTCGTCCGCATAAATTTCAATTTCGCGGCATCCGCTGCGACTGAAGAGTAAAAGTACACGAATGCCAAGGTTACATTTTGGCTAATTCCACCAGCCTCTTGTTTATACAAATATAAAAGAAAAGAGAACTGGAAACACGTTTGTAAAGTTTCTTTTTTCTTCTGTTGCATTCTTCTGTTCTTTGCTTAATGACAAAGTTCATTGTCAAGGTGAAGAGAGAATGCCCTTGTTTACAACTGTTCTCCACTTATTATGATCAAATCCTCGTAGAACAGCAATTATCGCGAACTGGTAGCCGTTGTAACGCGAAGCCCACCTCATTTTGTATTCTTCTTTTTCGGTGTACGCGTGTTCAGACTGCAGGACAGGTTTTAGTGGGAAGTATGCACACATTCTCTTGTCTTATTTTATAAAAGAATTGCTGCTGATTTAAGTGACGAAGTGCAATGACATAAATATACCTCAGACTCCAATTTATTGCAGTCTGGTTCTGAATGCAAGAGGAGCAGGAAAACAATAGAAACATTGTTCTGAAGGTTACATGATTAGTATACAATAGGTAAAGCAAATTAATTGATCTTGAAGTGAAGGCTTGACTTTGGTTGCTGAAGGAAATTTAAAGACATTAATAGAGGCATTTAGTACTCCACACCTTGTTTTACTGCTATTTCATATTACTTTTTTGCAGATGTTCTCTTGGCTCATGCTACTCCTGGTTGGCCAGTCGGTCGCAGTACCCTTTTACCGAGTGTCCATTCAAGAATATTTATTACCACCACCTCCGTGGAACCCGAATGAAAAAGAAGCGGACGTAGAGTTCATCAACACTAAAGGTTTCCGAAGAAACGCCGTGGAGAATCCGGTGGTAACCGAGAATACGTTGGACGATACGATCACTCATGCGGAATATGGATCCGAAAGATTCCCATTGCGTGATGCGGTCGAAGCACCGCCAGCGAATAAAATAGACTTCCATGCAGCCAGTCTACCTCTACAAGATAACAGAGAGTCAGTGTCCTCGAGTAACTTTATACACCTATTCCATAAGCGTCCGCTTGTTTATCGGTATCGAATTTCATTCATAAGAAACCGATGCCTACTTGGTGTTCGTGGTTAATTCTTCACCTTGCAATGTGCAGTCAGTTACCGAAGACAAGACCACAAATTTGCGTGACATGACCACAGATTTGTTAACCTTCTGTAGGCAATGTAGATTGTTAGCTAAAAATTATTTATTTTAAAGTTTGAGATAAAAGATTATGAGAGATCTAGTTTACCTACAGAAGAGATTTTGATTGACTTATGATACCTACTGATTTATGTAGGTTCAGTGGTCGAGTACCTTTGAGGGACGCTGTGGAGCACCGAGAGGCACCGTTCTTCAGCAACATTGATCACGAATCGATTTGGATAGAACCTTTGGCTCCACCAACCCTCACACGAACACATCAGATCGTTGATCCAAAAGTGGTGTGCCATTTGGACTCCAGCGCGGTTCACAGAGTGGAACCGTTCTCTCTGTTCCCTCAGTCTCTTCCGGATCATAAGTGCAGTCATTTAGTATACGCTGCAGCCACTTTGGGTAACTATTTTAATAATAGATATTTTTCTGAATATAACACGGTATTCATATGAGTTTTTTTCACTAGATCCAGAGACGTTGGACATAGTTTCTAAGGATCCTGAATATGACGAGATTAAAGGTAATAAGAAACCTTGGACTCCTTCAACTCGACAGTACAGTTCATAAATAATTTATGATTAAATATTTCACATATGATTCATTATATTATATGCATTATTATATTATTATAATTACATGCATAATTCATTACAACGTAAATTCATAAATCGTTAAAGGGGTTCACACAGCTCTTTCAATGGAGTTCGCGCGCTTTTGGCGGGAAACAAACCAATTCAAATACAAAGAACACAAACTTGACATTTTAAGTCAGTATACAATAATATAATTTTGCAAAGAGTATTGCCAAGTAAAAGAAACACTTGAAAGCTTATTTATAAGAACACCCTGTATATGACACTGTTAAACGCGTCCTATCAATCAATGTACCGTTAATTTATTCGAACAATTCCAGGTGGATATAAAGCGGTAACGGGACATCGATTAAGGAACCCGGCTTTACAAGTGCTCGTCTCGATCTCGACGCCAAACAGAGGAAAATTGTTCACCGAAATAACAAAGAACCACTGTACCCTTCGTTGCGAGAGACTGGCGAAGTCCATCGTGACTTTCCTTCAAGACTACGACTTCGACGGGGTTGAAATCGATTGGGAAAATTCAGCGGAGCATTCGAACGATCTGAAGCTTCTCCTGAAGACGCTCAGGAAGTTCTTGGAGGAGCACGAGTACATCTTAGCGGTTGCGCAGAGACCGGAGGATCCGGTGGATCGGGAGATCACCTCCGTCGCTGATTTGGTCCTCCTGAGAGCGTGGAGGGAAAGTCCAGCGTTCAGACGGGAGAAACTAGCCCTTCACCCGGCTCCCTTGAAGTATATCGTGCGTGCAACCAACAGGTGGCTCCAACGAGTTCCACAGGAGCATAGGTCCAAGATCATTCTTGGTATACCGCTCTTTGGACAGGGGTACACGCTTAAGTTTGGCAACTTCACCGATGCGGGGGCACCCATCGTTGGTCCGGGCATCGAGGGAGTCTATAATAAACAGCAGAATGGACGGATGGCTTATTATGAAGTAATTTTTATATATTTATTACTTGAAATGGTTCATATGTGGAGAACGAGGTTGTCAAACTTTCTGTATGGTTTAAGATCTGTGAGAAACTGGAGGACGGGTCGTGGATCTCAGGGAGAGACGAAGAGGGACCCTACATAAAACGCGGCGACCAATGGGTGGGCTACGAGGACCCGCTGTCGGTGAAGATAAAGGTTGCTTATGTCAGATCAACAGGACTGGGTGGTGTTTCTTTATGGTCAGTCGATTTGGACGATTTTCAGGTACAATTTATATTTATTAAAGTGTATATACCCACTAGTGGATATAGCAATGTATCTTACAAATAGTGTGTACTTCAAGTTCACTATTAAACCATGTATTTTCTCAGGGTATCTGCGGTAATCCTTGGCCAATGCTGAACGCCGCAATCGAATCAACAGGATTCTACGACAAGCGACGAGTAAAAGACTGCACCACCGAAGGCCTCTTCATCGACCCAGACAACTGTTCCGGATTCTACTCCTGTTACAATGGTAAGATCACAGCTGAGAAACTTTCAACAGATTACTATATTTATACACTTGAATAGGTGTGCAATATCAAGGTCAATGTGGACAAGGAAGATTCTTCGACTCCGTCAACGGACGTTGCGTCAAAACGACACCAGACACGTGCAAAACGAGACAAGTGGATCGGTTTCAGGAAGGGTCGAGTGACAGACGAGAGACTCAGGAACCGCAACATTTTGAAATCTCCACAGACAAGGGGCCACGCGTGGTCTGTTACGTAACCTCGTGGTCCCTGTATCGTAAAGGGGATGGAATGTTTGCGCCTGAGAGGCTGGACACGAGACTCTGCACCGATGTGATCTATGCGTTCGCTGGGTTGAATCCGGACACGCTGCTTATACAACCGTTTGATCCCTGGGCCGACATAGAAAACAGTACTTATCAGCATCTGTCCCAGAATTATTCCAATTACCTGGAAGATTAAATTTTCTATTCTTTCAGACTTGTACGAGCGAGTGACGACGATGAAAGGCCCAAGAGTGCTGCTGGCGATCGGAGGCTGGACGGACAGCACCGGTGACAAATATTCCCGTCTGATAAGCAACGGGGCAGCCCGTCGCAAGTTCGTCGCCGCAACGATAAACTTTCTGAGGAAGCACAATTTCGATGGGTTGTCCTTCGAGTGGAACTACCCGAGATGCTGGCAGAGCGACTGCAGGAAAGGTCCCGACACCGACAAGCCAAACTTCACCAAGTTGATACGAGAGTTAAGAAAGGAGTTCGATCAGCAGGAACCGAAACTCACGCTGGCCGTCGCGTTGTCGGGGTACAAGGAGGTGATCGACAGAGGCTATGAAGTCCGCGAGATTTCCAGAATAGTGGACTTCATGTCCGTGATGACGTACGACTATCACGGCGCTTGGGAGTCGAAGACGGGACACTTGTCGCCATTGTTCGGGAACGCTCTTGATGTTAATCCATACTACAACGTCGTAAGTTTCAAACTTACTACTATTGCTATAAGAAGATTCATCTTGAATCCTTTCTTTCAGAATTCTACCGTGGAGTACCTTGTCAGTCTTGGAGCAGATAAATCAAAACTTCTGATAGGCATACCCTTGTACGGACAAGCCTACCGATTGTCCAGCGAAGATCTGAATGACCTGGGTGACCCTGCAACTGGACCTGGAGCTGCTGGAGAATTCACCAGACAGCCTGGCATGCTCGCTTACTATGAAATCTGTGACAGAGTCAAGAATAAGGGTTGGAAGATTGGTTCAGGTAAGAGTGAGATCAATTGATAGTTCTTTCAAAAACAAACTTTCTTACAAACGTTCTTTCTGTAGGCCCGAGTGCTCATTACAGAGATCAGTGGGTGGGCTACGACGACAGAGAGAGCATCTTCGCGAAAGGACGATACATTCTGCAAAATGGTTTCGGTGGAGCCTCCTTGTGGACAGTGGATTTGGACGACTTCTTAAATCGCTGCTGCTCAGAACCGTTCCCCCTGTTGAAAAGCATTAATCGTGCTTTAGGTTCGTTGATAAGGTCGATCTAATTTTATGTAGTAGTTTAGTCATTGTTATAGACGTCTTTTTTAGGACGTTTAAAAGGAAAAGTTTCTGAAGGCTGTCAACGACCACCCGAACCGGTCACACCTCAGCCTCCAACGTTGACACCTCACAGTGACGCTGTGGACGAAACTCCTCGACCGACCACACCGATGGGGAAGCCAACCACGTGGCCGTCGTGGAGCGGGAAACCGAGTACCACCACTCAGTCCACGACCAGAACCACCTGGCCAACTTGGACTTGGACTCCGAAACCTACCAGTGCGGACACGACTAGTAAACCAGATACAACGACGAGGAGCAGCACCACGTGGACTCAATCGACCAGTAGCTCTTGGACCTCGACATCCACTAGGTATGGCACTTCCATAGCTAGCATTTACCATCATTTTTAAATATGAATACTTTGTAGGCCAAGCAAGGAACCACCAGAAAGCACAGAATCCACAGAAGAGGATTCGGATTCGAAGCCAGGAAGTCCTTGCAACGTTGGAGAATACGTACCGGACCCTATCAGCTGTAGCAATTACTTCAGATGCGTGCTGGGAGAACTACAGCGCGAGCAGTGCGCGCCAGGACTGCATTGGGACGCAAGACGGGGTATATGCGACTGGCCAGCTGCAGCAAGATGTCAAATGCAAACAAGTATGGCAAGAAAGAAATTATTAAGATAGTGTATTGTGATATTTAATCTGATTGTCCAGGTTCAACAACGCGAAAGCCAATGTGGAGCACCTCGAGGACAACCTTGAAACCAACAACGACGTGGTCGACTACGAAGCGTCCGACTCAGAAGCCGACTACAGAAAAGCCATTTCAGAAACCGGGGAAGCGTTGCCAGCACGGTCAATACTACGCTTATCCAAATTCCTGTACAAGTTTCCTAGTTTGCGTGAACGGAAACCTGGTGTCGCAACAGTGCGGTCCGGGACTGAATTGGAACAACGAGAAGAACATGTGCGACTGGGCGTTCAAGACTCCTTGCACCGAGAAACCCATAAAAAGCGCCTCGCTAGTCGCTGCTGGCTCTAAATCCACTGTAAGCTTGAATTAATTCTCGAAGTTTTCTATTTAGAGGTTGACGACCATTGTGTTTTTAGCCATGCATTCCTGGAAGCTACTCCGGTGTCCCAGGAGACTGTCAGAGCTACCAGGCATGTTTGTGGGGTCGTCACGAAGTGTTCCAATGTGCTCCCGGCTTGCACTTCAATCAACAAACTCGAATCTGTGATTGGCCTTCGCGTGCTAATTGTCAGGAGAGTTCGACTGAGCAGGATTCGACGAGCACTCTGAAACCTACCAGCCCTACGGCTTCACATACTGAAGAACGTTGGGAAAGTACCACTCAGTCTACTTCTACCACACCGTCCGCTATGATAGACCCTGACAAAGTTTCTCCGCTAACTGGATATTATAAAGTAACTAATCTTGTATTCGTCTACTAGTCTTCATATGAAGGATTCAACATTCTTGAAACACCTCTTATACTGGAATGGTTGTCTGCCACGTAGGTAGTTTGTTACTTCACAAACTGGGCCTGGTACCGAAGAGGAGTCGGCCGATACCTTCCTGAAAACATAGACCACACTCTGTGCACTCATATCGTGTACGGTTTCGCTGTCCTGGACTACTCGGACCTCATCATCAAGGCCCACGACTCATGGGCTGATTACGACAATCGTACGTAGCTTATTAAAATAATATCTTATTAAAATAACATTGGATATCTATATTGATTATTCTAAACAGATTTCTACGAACGGGTCGTTGCGTACAAGAAGAGGGGCCTGAAGGTGTCCCTCGCGCTGGGAGGCTGGAACGACTCTGCCGGGGACAAATATAGTCGCTTGGTGAATAACCCAGCAGCCAGAAAGAAGTTCATTTCCCACGTCATTCAGTTCTTAGAGAAGTACGACTTTGATGGACTTGATTTGGACTGGGAGTATCCTGTCTGCTGGCAAGTACGTGCATGTAACTGCAAGGATACACGGTTATTATAGCCTTGGGTAACTGCAAGGATACATGGTTGTTATTGTAGGTCGACTGCAAGAAAGGTCCAGCTTCCGACAAGCAGGGCTTCGCGGATCTACTGAGAGAACTGAGCAGTGAGATGAGACCTAAGGGACTGTTACTCAGCTCTGCAGTGTCGCCGAGCAAGCAAGTGATCGACAAAGGCTACGACGTTCCAGCTTTGGCTAAGTACTTGGACTGGATCGCAGTGATGACCTACGACTTCCACGGCCAGTGGGATAAGAAAACCGGCCACGTAGCGCCGCTGTATTATCATCCGGACGATGACTACTCGTACTTCAACGCAAACTATTCCATCAACTACTGGATAGCGAAGGGTGCTCCTCGCAGGAACATCGTGATGGGTACATAATTGCTTAAAAGATTTAAACCAGTCTCGATTACTTACTGGTTGTTTCAATAGGAATGCCACTGTACGGTCAGTCGTTCTCCATCAACGACCCCAGTGCCGGAACAGGACTGAACGCCCCTGCCAGCGCAGGACACGCCGGTGAATTCACCAGAGCTGCCGGCTTCCTCGCGTACTACGAGATCTGCGACAGAATTCGGAACCGTGGCTGGACCGTCATTCAGGACCCAGAACGCAGGATGGGTCCGTACGCTTACAAAGGCAACCAGTGGGTCAGCTTCGACGACGTTGAATCGATTCGAAGGAAGTCTCAGTTCATCAAAGACATGGATCTGGGTGGTGGAATGGTCTGGGCTTTGGACCTCGACGACTTCCGCGGACGGTGCGACGAAGGGCCGCATCCTTTGATGCACACCATTCAGAAGATGCTGGCGGAGACTCCGAACAAAATTGACGAACGTAAGGTTTATCTTGTCTGAGCCATTTTCTTGTTTTAACGGCAGTATTTACTTGCAGCCAACTATCCAACTGACGAACAGAGTGTGGAGGAAGATAGAGTACCAGTAGCAGCACCTACGGTAACACCTAGTACCGTCACAACGACTGTGCGTTCATCGACGTCCAAGGATCACCTGCAGAGTGACAGTGGATACAAAATGATCTGTTACTTCACGAACTGGGCCTGGTACCGACAGGAGGGAGGGAAGTTCCTGCCTGAGGACATAGACACCGACTTGTGCACCCACGTTCTCTACGGTTTCGCCGTGCTGGACGGATCGCAGATGATCATCAAGTCACACGACCCATGGGCCGACATTGATAACAGTAAACGAAATACCATAGCATTCAGTGATTCATCACTTGTATGTTTTTTCCTTTGTATGTATCATTCTCGCTCGTTTCCAGAGTTCTACGAGAGGGTAGCAGCTTTGAAGTCCAAAGGAGTGAAGGTGTTGATGGCCATAGGAGGCTGGAACGATTCCGCAGGCGGTAAATACAGTCGTCTCGTGAACTCCCCGTCTATAAGACGTAGATTCATTGAAAACGTGATACAGTTCATTGAGAAATATGAGTTTGAGGGTCTGGATTTGGACTGGGAATACCCGGTGTGCTGGCAGGTAAGGAACATTTGTATTATCTTGAAGAAAGGTGGATGATCAAGAAGTTTTTAGGTGGACTGCAATAAAGGCCCAGCTTCAGACAAGGAAGCCTTCGCTAGCTTTGTGAAGGAATTAAGCGAAGAATTTCGACCGAAAGGTTTATTGTTGTCCGCTGCGGTCTCCCCTAGTAAACGAGTCATCGATGCTGGCTATGATGTGCCTGTCTTGGCCAAATATTTCGACTGGATATCTGTCATGACGTACGATTATCACGGACAGTGGGACAAGAAGACTGGACATGTTGCTCCTCTGTATCCTCTGCCTAGCGATTGGGAGCCGACCTTCAACGCGGTAGGTATATGATTTCTGAAACCATCCAAATAGTGCAATTTTTATTATTTAAGTCACCTTACAGAACTTCTCGCTCAACTACTGGATAGAAAAGGGCGCTCCTCCCAACAAGCTTGTGATGGGGGTACCTTTGTACGGGCAATCTTTCTCCTTGGCAGACAGAAACCAAAGAGGATTGAATGTACCTACTTATGGAGGAGGGGAAGCTGGAGAAGCAACGAGAGCCAGGGGTTTCTTGTCGTACTACGAAGTAAGTTTATCTTAACTCTTTCATAATTGCAAGATTCTATCTCACAATGATTACAGATATGTGAGAGGACCTTGAAGAGAGGTTGGACCGTTGTCGAGGACAAGAAGAGACGCATCGGACCCTATGCTTACAAAGGTGATCAATGGGTCAGCTTCGACGACGCAAAGCAAGTGCAGCTTAAAGCAGAGTTGATAAAGGACCTCGGCCTGGCGGGTGGCATGGTCTGGGCGTTGGATCTGGACGATTTTAAGAACAGATGCGGCTGTGAACCGAGTCCACTTTTGAGGACTTTGAATAGAGTTCTAAGAAATTATCCGGATGGTCCTTTATGTCCAGTTACAAATGGTAAATGTTTAGCTGATGATTAAATTGAAGTGCAGTTAATATATCAGCATTTTTCAAATAGAGTTTACAACAATCGACGACGAGGATTTTACCACAACGACAACCACTCAAAAACCGAGTTGGGAAGCTACTTCTCCGAGACCAACGTATCTGCCACCATCTCCCACGACTGAAGCATCCATAGACTCTGACGACACAATCGAAATAGACGCAGAGTCCCCGGCAGCAAGTGTACCCGAGGACTGCGGTGGTCGTGTGTTCATTCCGCACAAACAGGACTGCTCCAAGTACTTCCTGTGCAATTTCGGCAAGCTGACCGAACACTCGTGTCCACGGGGTCTGTACTGGAACGAGGACCGCTGCGACTGGCCGGAGAACACCAAATGCAGGGACACCCAGCGACAGGTTAGTTCATCATTACTTGCAAAATGGATTCGTTGTTAAAGATGTCTCAATACACAGTCGAACGAGTTGCTGCCTCTCATCTCTTCTGTGGAAACTAACGAGAAGAAGGTGATCTGTTACCTGATGGACTGGGCAGCGAAACGAGTAGGAGCAGGAAAGTTCTCGCCGGAGGATATAGAACCCAATTTATGCACACACATTATTTACGGACTCGCCAAGCTGGACCCAAAACAATTAACTATAGAAGATAACAGACAAGAGAAGTTTCTTAGCCGGATAGCAAGTCTAAGGAGCAAAGGACTGAAGGTGCTGCTAGGTCTGGGTGGCTGGGACGAATCTGGGGAGAAGTACAGCAAATTGGCTCACAGTTCGTTTGAAAGACAGAAATTTGCACGCCATGCTGCTGAGTACGTTGTAAACCACGGATTCGACGGGCTGGATCTTGTGTGGGAATATCCAGTATGTTGGCAGGTATGTGAAACAAAGCACAAAGTGATTATTTTTATACTGCATTAATTTTTTAGATGGACTGCAACCGAGGACCATCCAGCGACCGAGCAGCCTTCGCAGCTCTGCTAAAAGATCTGAACGCAACCTTCAAATCCAAGGGCCTGTTACTTTCAGCAGCAGTGGCAGCCAGTAAAGACGTCATCGACGTAGCTTACAGCATTCCAGCCTTGGTACAATACCTAGACTGGATAGGCGTGATGAGTTACGACTACCACGGGTACTGGGATAGCAAAACTGGTCATATCGCCCCTCTCTATGATCCATCTGACTTGAACGTAAACTTCTCGATGACGTACTGGATCGAGAAAGGCGTGCCTCCGAGCAAACTGTTAATGGGTGTACCAACCTATGGACAAAGCTTCACATTATCGAGGGAAACGAACACAACGGGTGCACAGAGTTCTGCACCTGGTTATCCAGGAGAATTCACCAAGTCTGCGGGAATGCTTGCATTCTATGAGGTATCTGTTCAGATAGTTAAATGCCTGGAGGTGGAATAAAGTTTGGACGTGATACACGAGTTTAGGATAGCAAATGGTTAGAGGAAGTGGTCCAAATATGGACTGGTTGAAGTATAGAATCATGTTAGGAATTTTACCCTGATGGAAATAGTATGAATTCAGGGAGTTGAGGAGAGCAAATAGTGCTAGACCACCTCCACATCTTATTATATAAAAACTCTAACAGTTGAGTTATAAATCTAATTCCTATTTTCAGATATGCGATAACGTGAAGTATAGAGACTGGTCAGCAATCAAAGACCCAAACAATGGTCCATACGCCACGAAGGGTGATCAATGGGTCAGTTACGATGACGTGTCTACTGTAATGAAGAAGGTACGGTAAAATATTGCGCAACAATGTCAACATTGTTCAATAAACGGTAATTAACCAGACACGTGTTCCTTTGTAGGCTGAAGTTATCAGAGAGCTGAATCTTGGGGGCGCGATGATCTGGTCTTTGGACCTGGACGACTTCAAAGGCCAGTGCGCATGTGATAGGTATCCTTTAGTCACGGCGCTGAGTCAAGGAGTAAGAGGAGAATTGGATCACAGGATGGACTGCACTTGAAGCGAACGTGCTTCGAGGAAGATACGCGAATGGTTTACGGACAATAATTCTTTGACGTGCGTTCCACTATCATCGATGTCGATAAATCTCGGATCGCTTGAGAAAAAGTATCATCTAACATAACCACTATCGTTGCAGTACCATCGTGTCACAAAAATTGCATTACGAAAGAGAAATCTACTGACGTAACTTTGATAAATACAGAACCGCGTGTTTAACAAGAGAAAAATACGAGTCGAACGATTGCGAAATTTTTAAGTTCCTTCTCTCACGAATAGTTACTGCTATTCAATGTACAGTTAGATGCAATGTAGACTTTCTTCAGATAAAACGCAAAGGCGTTTCTACTTGAAAATCAAATATGTAAACTTTGAAATTTCTAAATTTTCAAATTCTCAAATTTTAGTTTACATGTTTAATCTTCTGAAATAGAAAGCAAGTGGGACACTGCGTTCTTTGAATTATCTGAAAGGACGCCTACATTGCAGCCAATTGTATGTACATATGTACATATGCACATCATGTGGCACTGCAAACGACACATTAAAAGATAAATATTGTACAATAGTTCGATGTAGCAGCTAATTATGTAAGTCGAATGTAACGTTTCAAGTTCATCTTTAAGAAAAAAGAATTCGTAGAGATAAATAACGCAGACGGAAAACATATGCGAGAAGAAAAATTTTCTTGTGTGAATGGTAACTGTCGCAGAAACTCTTCCAGGTGACGTACCGGTAATGTTACACATGAATTGAAAAAAATTGTTAACGCGTCCTCGAGGAAGACGATACTTTTAATCGATCTCGTTAGAGCACGATATACGGGCGATAACTTACTTAATTATACACGCAATTTTCATGGAATATATTTTGCGAGTATACGATTTTAAATACAACGTGTCGTTAAATAAATCCATTATGTATTTCACTTATTTATCCCTTAACAAATTATGTTTGAACGATATACACTTCAGATTAAATTTTTGCAGCTGTTAATAGCAACTAGTATACAGTATACTAATTTCATACGTAAACACAAAGTTTCTTCGCGCGAATTTCCCGTGAGAGTGTTACTCAAGGTTAGAATTAATTATACACGTAAAGAAATGCGTAATGGAAGTTGATAGGAGAGGGTAAAAATGGTGGGGAGTTTCTGACTTCAGAAATCATTTAGAATATTTGAACTAGTCCCACGCAAACAGCGTGACGAAGTACCTCGTTGTTTGTGTCTCGTGGATTTCGGATCACCTAAAAGGAACCGTTTGTAAAAAAAATTAGTAAGTGTTAAATTTTCCTTATAATCGAAAAATTATCGTTTCGTACGCACCGTATTCGCAATTGAATATCATAAAAGAATCTGCAAATATTCTTCGTTTTCACGTTGTCACAGCATTAAAAACGTCAACGATAACGGTTCTTTCGAAACAAAAGTGAAACGTCAAAACAATTTACGACAACGTAGACTTTGTTGAAATTTGCAAAAGTGTCGTGTGATTCTCAAATTACGTTTTAAAACTGCTACACAATTGACGATGTACATCTTTAGAAAGTTTGAGATACTATTGAATGAAAAAGAGAAAATTATACTCTGTATCATTACAAATCCAGTAGTTAATATACCTGAGAAAAAGACGATGGTTTGAACGAATCATTGGGAGTCACTGACCACTGGAAATATTCAAACTCTCGAGAATTTCAGTTAGAGATCGATCGATAAATTTCGATAGCAGGAATTATGTTATCGATATGATAGGCGACTAAGCCGTGTTTAAACTGTGCTCGGTGAACTTAATCGTAAAAAATAAAAAGTTTATAATGATATTCGATTGTGAACATCTGTTTATGATTTTCAAATAATTTTTGTATTTTAAGAATTACTTTCCTTTATGTAGATCACGTTTCACGCATTGTCATTGAAACCTTGGAGACATGATTGATGAAGGTACGTACAAAACAATCGATGCGATATTTATGATCGGTAATAAATCGAAATTAAACTGTTGAATACATCGATATTCAAGCAATATGGTTGATATTGTTGCTGTCAATAACATATAATAATTGCACATTTCAATACTTGATTCAGGTCAAGCTTATCAGCAAAGCTGTTCCTAAACATTTGTACACATTATTGACCTTAAATTGTGTTATCACACACGAGACAATGACTCTCTAAAATATTCCAGGAAGGTAGTCAGATTTTCGATACATCAGATTTTTACTTTATCAAATTATTTTCTAAACGACGAAAAATAGTAAAAGATGTATTTATATATTTATTTAATGCGATCACGTTTTTGCACTTGATTTGCTGACATTGATACTTTTCTTTCTGTAGAGATAATGCGTGCACGTGCGCTACTATCCTCAAATAACTTCAATGTTTACACAATTGCAGCTCCGGACGATATAGAATGAGATAAGTGAAATCTTCATCCCGGAAACACCTTTCTACTACCGGAAGAATGATATCGTTCATATATATACAATTAGTTGCATTCGCTAAAAAATTTAATAGAAAACTAGATATAAAAGACACATGCAGCACATTAAAAATGACTCTTGGAAGAGAGAACATGTCGTACAGGCGTTAACTCGTCATTTATTACTAACAGAATTATATTCTTTCTATTATCTTCTACGAAAACATCAATCATGCATTATATTTGATGTTTTAATAATGTTTAAGTGGTGCATGTTTAGTAAAGAGAGTCAAAGTCCTTACGCATTATAAATTACGTTTTATTGACTGTGTGAAAAAGCTTGTTCGAAAGTGCAGCCAGAACGAAAATCTGCATTGTTTATTTTGAATGTAAGCTTTTCGGTCGTTCACATCAAACACACAAAATTATTGCAGGAGTAAAAATACACTCATTCGCAATTACGTTGCAAAGTTTATAAACTTTGCCAACCTGTTATTTCGTACAATAATATTAAACCGAAGCCAACGCTGTCGTGTTGCAGTCGGCGACTAGTGTTTCGTGTCATTTACCGTTCAGACATCGTGTCAGTGACACGTGCTGTACAAAGCATGGCGTTGGGTAATATTTATTTAAATATTGTGCCTTTATTTAAGTTCCTTGCTAGTGTAGTACTGAATACTATGTTATTATTATGTATTTTTTTCATAGAAGCGTTTTTCATTCAATCAAGTACATTAACCTAAATCTACGTTTCAAGATGTATCTAGAAAGGTCGTATACTTTTATGAGTTGATAACGTCATGTATATAGCACGAAGGTAATTTGTTCGAATAATCATTAGATGTTTATATATGATTATTAATTGCAATTGCAGATAGTCATGCTGCCGTACTCGTGGACGATGAACGTCCGCATCAATCAACCTCGGGTAATCGTGACGAAAGATCGGTAATTATATTTTATTTGGCAAAAAATCAGAAGCATGCACAGCTTATTAAATTCACTTTTATTATAAACATTAATGTAAAAAGACTCACAGGTTGTTCAGGGGTAAAAATATCCTTGCCATTGCTGCTTTACCCTTCATATTTTAATAATTGAATGTTATATTCATGAAAAAATTATAATGGCCTTATGTATAATTTTTAAGTGCCTTAAATATCTCACAATTTATAATTATAACATTTGTGTGTTACATGATATAACAATATTTTTATGTACTGTTCCCATTTGAAATTCTATTAGTGGTGATAAATGCATGTAATTATGTACGAATAAGATACAAACATCTGTATTATTTATGAGTTGCAATAGAAGTAGATACATGTATTACTGTTTTATCAAAGAGCATAAATACTGTAACATGTATTTATGTAGCTATTATATGAAATCTGACTGGAAGGTTCATTCATAATGAGAGGTCAAGTTACTTTTCATTATCATATATCTTGAACTTGTGCTTTTTCTATACGTGCTGATTGCATATAGTGTATATGATAAAAGTGTACACAAACGTAATTTCAATGATATACACAAAGTGATGGTACAAGCAACAGTAATTATTAGATTTATTTATTTTCTTTTTTTTTTGTTTGTTATCCATTGCAAATATAACAGTGTAATATTATAAGAAGTTTTAATAATGGATGTTGGTTATCTAAATAGTTTCCAGGTATACCAGTGATGTGTGGTTTTATTGAGTTTTATTCCATCATTCCATCCAGGCTTTTCCGTTTTATCACTGATTGATCTGTCAGGGTGCAACACACTATTGCTTAAGATGCTTAGTTATTTGAGTGGTATGGTTTTCTAGTTTACACATCTTTGTTTTTAATTGACAGAGGGGTTTGTGAAAAGCTTATGACAAATAATATACATAAATCTACGAGTATACACTTTGTATTATATTACTTGCAGTATTAACCATTAAATTGTTATAAGATTTGTCACATTGTACCTCTTTACATCTCACAGCACATACTAAAATATTTTAATGTTGTAGGTGCAGTTGAGTTTCATTCGCTTCATAAAATTTTATGTTCTGTATGAACAGATTTGCTGTTATTTTTATTTTGTACACATTGTTTGCTTAACATTTTTTCTAAATTTTGTATTATATTTCATTTTTATATCTAATAATTATCATTTATTTAATATGATATAATTGCAGTTAATTTCAGCAATCTACATACCTTTTTTTTTTTTTCATGTAATTTATGAACAATCTGACTATTTTTAAGTGCACTAATTGTTCTTTTTTTTATTTAAAATATATTGAGAAATTGAATTCATATTTCATTTGAATGTAGTCACTTTTGCATTCTTAGTTATACCTGTAAAAAATTACAACTACTAACATTTTTTCAAACTTGTTTCTTTCAGACACCGGGTGGATGGACTTTTCCCTTAATCTTAGCAGGTGTTACTTGTTGTCTAGGATCAGCTGTACCAGCAGGATTTAACATAGGAGTATTAAACAATGCAGCCCATGTTAGTATTTATATATTTTAGAGAATTGTAATACTTTATTCAATATACGGTTTAATTTAATTACATATATTAATTGCAGTTGATAGAAGCATTTTGTAATGCAAGTATCAAAGAAAGATATGACGTGGATGTTTCCCAAAATAACCTAAAAATAATTTGGTCTACTGTTGTTTCAATCTTTCTAATTGGTGGTGCAGTTGGTTCATTTCTTGGCAGTTGGGTAGCAGACAGATATGGAAGAAAGGGAGCACTATGTATTGGAAATATATTTGGCATTGCTGGAGCTGGAATGTTTTTCTTGATACGAAAATTGAACTCAATTGAACTGCTGTTAGCAGGTCGATTAATTGTTGGTAAGTCTCAGAGTCCTATGTGTAAACACAGTTTGTATGAAATAAATTATATAAAAAATGATTGTTTTTCAGGCTTTTCTGGAGGTTTTGCAACATGTGTAGTACCAATGTATATGGCAGAAATTGCACCCCTTAGATTAAGAGGTGCTGTTGGAGTCTTATGTCAGTTAGGAATTACATGTGGAGTGTTTCTAGGTCAAATTGCAGGACTTCATTCGGTACTAGGAACTGAAAATTCTTGGCATTACATGTTGGGAGCTTTTGTTCCATTATGTGTATATGCTTTAGTTCTTACAAGCATTGTTTTACCAGAGAGTCCTAAATATTTATTTATAATTAAAGAACAGAAACAAAAGGCTTTGGATGGTTAGTAAATACTGATATATTTATGTATAATTGAATCATATAGTAATAAGAATCATTCCAATATTTTAGAACTCAGCAGGATACGTAATATGGATATAATGCTTCTGCAAGTAGAAATTTCTAATCTCCAGCAAGAAATAGAATCAAAAACATCAGCTGAACCTTGGACAATGAGACGTATGATCAAAGATCCAAATTTGAAGCTTCCTGTATTCTTAGTTTGTTTAATACAGTTTGGACAACAAATGAGTGGCATAAATGTTGTGTTTTATTATTCCAATGCCATCTTTCTTAATGCCGGACTTGGTATCGCTGGAGCACAATATGCTACTCTTGGTACTGGAGTAGCTAATATTGCCATGGCATTGATTTCTGTACCAGTGATGTCATCTTTAAATAGGAGGGTTGTTTTACTCAGCAGTATTTATTTATGTTTTGTATGCTTGATAGTGTTGTGTATTTCAATGTTGTTAAATGTAAGTTCATTTTTTATCATACATAACTAAATTCATTAAACTTACATGATAATGGTTGGTAATGCAATTATTTATTTTTTTACAGCATGTATCATCATGTATGCCAGTTATCTGTGTTGTAGCTGTAATGGCTTATGTGATATTTTATGGTATTGGTCTCGGTCCGATCCCATACTTCATTGGATCTGAATTATTTGATGTTGGCCCTGGTCCAGTAGCAATGGCACTGGGTAGCATTTTTAATTGGGGTGGAAATTTCATGGTGGGCATGATGTTTCCAACACTGGAGAGTATTATAGGCCCATACACTTTTCTAATATTCGCTGGGGCTCTTTTACTTCTTGCACAATTCGTTAGGTATGTAACATCAAATAAATTCGTAATCTGATTATTTTCAATGTCATTTAATAACAGTCACGGTCTAATGTCTCATTAATGTACTTAGGATATTTTTACCTGAAACAAGAGGAAGAAATACGACGGATGTCGCGGCATCGATTAATCAAGGCTTCAGTTCTAGACCAAATTCAATACCGCATTCTATGGCAAATTCCATTTTTGCCGGTTAGATTAAGAGAGTGATATATTGCATATTTGTTGACTAAAAATTTTTTAATGATTAGGTAGGTTTACAATTTTTTAAATTATAAATTTTATACAAATATACAATTTGTTAAAATTGTTTAGCAAAACTTGGGTCTAACTTATACTATAAATAAGGAACTTGTTCTAGTTGCATTCATTGTTCAAAGTTATTTAAGTTATTTAAAAATTAGGACATAAACTAACATTTTAAGGTATCGTGCAATGTTGGTATCATTGCATTTTTTTATCAGGTTTTGTACGGCGTAAATTGTTAAGTATTTGGACCATGCTGGAATATTTTCGGATCTCAGAAGGACTAATTTTAAGGAAAACATAAATATATTGATTTGAAAACTATCATAAACTTAATCGGCAAGCAATTTTATATTACTAAATTCGTCACGATCAAATCACAAAGCACATCACTGCCCGTGTAAGAAATTAGTTTATTATTTCTTGCTATATCATACTTATACTATAACTTTAAAATTACAAAATTTTTTTACTATTATACAATATGTATACAACGAAATTTAACATTAACGTTCATAAATTTTATATTAATGTCAATTTCGAAATCTGTTGTATAATTGATCTAATTTTTCATAAAAGACTAAACACAGCACGGTGTGCGGTGCTATTCTCATCCATGTTGGAAAAATTCCTTTGTATAAACCAGTCAGTCCTTCTGTCCGTGATATTTTAATAAGTGCGTCCAGAAGTCCATTGTATAACGACCCTTTTCCGCCTGCATCCGTCCCTGTGTTTTTATTGTACAATTATTATTAACTGAGATTAATTAAAAGCATTCAACTGATTGAACTTACGTTGATTGTACAGTCTGGTTGCTAAAACATCAAACGGTTGCATGGTAAGAGCCACACAACTTCCACCGATTAAGGAAGCCAAAAATGTTAAAAGTAGTGGCTGATCTGTAAAGATCTGAAACAAAAAGAAAACATCAGAAACGCTTTAAATTATGTGGTCTTAATATTTGCTCAAATACTCGCTTCTAAAGAACGTAGCCAATCCGCAGTTAATCCAAATGTAGTCAACTGTGTCGCAGATCCAACAAAAACGCGTGGTATGTTGGCATACCAGCCGCGGTATAAAGCAAAGAATCCACCTTCTTTCCACAAAGATTTAAACGCATACCAGGTACCAGAATAATTGTGCTGATGTCCAACAGCTATGGACTGTGCTGATTGTGCTTGTAATTGTGTTTTTACCTGGTACAATGATAAGTAATGCGATAAATTATATAACTATGTGTCTTCATATATCAACATATCAATTATTACTATGCAGTTATGCAAACTATTAACATATTATACAAATTTACTTCTATATAATCTTATAGTTAAATAAGTATTATCTACAAGGGCACAATAAGCTAATAACTAAACAACTATGAAGTAAATGTTAATAGATAGGATTTACCATATAGAAAGGACTACCAAGTACAGCTCCTATGCATCCAGCTGTTCCAGTTACTATCACAGTCTTTAAAACGTCGGTGTTCCCTTTATCGTTAGTAATAAGTTCATACTTTTTCGCTGTATTATAAATACCTAACCGTATTCCATTGAGCACCACTTGAAAATACAGGGCGGGTACAATACCAGCTTGTAATGCAAGTATACCCTCATGTTTTGCTATCAGATAAGCCGCATGCACGGTATTTTTGTATATTTTTTTGTACGAGTTTCGTGCTTCTAACTCTCCTTGTAACTGTAGACGTACTTTAACTACGTCAACTGGATTTGTGAAGAATCCAGCGCCTACTGCCGCTAACCCTCCAATTGCGAACTCAATGCCTGGACTATTAAAACAAAAACATAATAAATATTATTATTAATTACAATAATCAAATTCTTTTATTTTAAATAACCTTTTGTTATACCGAATAATTTTCAATTTCAAATTAACCGCGAAAATTCAAACGAGCATTCGGAAGTTACAACCGGATCCAACTTCACCTTTGCTTCCGTTGGACTTTAATTAATTTATGAAAACTAAATGAATTTTTTTTTTAAATAATTATGCTAAAATGTTATATAAGATATCATTAGTATGAAATGTACATAAATAAGTATATGCATCAGATCACAAAAATAGGTGCTCATTTATATTTCATCATTAACTATTTAAACAGTGGTAGTGAGTCATTAGTAAATAAAATACATTAATGATACAATATTCCAGTTATAACAACATCGATATACGTGTCAATGTATATACAACGCATTTTTGTGTGGTTAAGACAACAATTTTGGTTACAAGTTTAGAAACGGTATTCTAAGAATTAAAATAAAACGGTTGGCACTAAACATGTCTTACCAAAGTTACAAGTTAGGTGTTACATCTATTTAATCTAAACAAAGTGTAAAACATTAAATAAAAATCGATCAATGCGAGTAAATACTTGAAGCATCACTGACCATCTGACCGTATTCATAATTATAGTATAAAACAATAAAAATCGAACATTATAACAAATCGTAAAGTAGTGACTATAAAGCGAAAGTGAGATGTTACACACTGGAAATATTTCGCGAAGAAATTTTTAATGATATGCAAGTAATTACTGGCCGGCCGGCCATCATCGCGGAGTTTATTGCATAACTATCATGATCATGCGTATACGTATAGTCAAGTTATTAAAATTGTAATGAACCGAAACTATGAGCAGTTAGAAACGTGTAATGAACAATGAAAACTCTCACGGTTTGTTTGTGCGTGTGTTCGGCGCTGCAGTCATTTTCCATATGAAAAAATTAAATCGGCAGAAACGATTTTAAATTAAATCACTCCTGTCAATTTTAGCGCACCAGTGCCTTTTTATACCTTTTCTGAACTTATCATTTCGAAGAATGAAAAATTAATATCACTCCTACTAATTCTATGCAGTGGCTATTTAACTATGAGTAGTTGTCATTTCAAGGTCGTGATAAGAAATTTTTTTCACAAACACGTGATAGAAATAATTCATTGAAAGAAATAAATGATACTTAACCATTCGCTCAATGAGATCCCTACATTTCAGAAAATGTTATTGCGCATGCGCTATTGCTAATAGTATCTAGAATTTTATAAAACTTTTCCGGATATTGTTTATGCGCACTACGTTTGTTTCACAAGATTAAGATTAAGTATACAGAATTTATTAATTTTTTATATATAAATTTCTAACAGTATAAATTGTCAATTATTTTGGATAGAGTATTGTAAAGTATGATGTAATTTTTAAGGTTTATGAAAGTTTGTCGACTTTTGAATTCGCAGATGTCGTGTGATTTAGCGAGGCAACTTCGATATCTTAACGTAGAATTTTTGTAAAAGAAGCAGAACGTTAATTAAACACTATCGCTCGGATGTGCGTGAAATAAAAGTAAGTATCTCATTAAAAATACAATTTTTTGATATATAGTTGTAGCCGGATATTGCCTCTCAGCATCGACGATAGTGCTGTAATAAAATTTCATTTTGATATGAAATATATTATTCTTACATTACACAGATTTATTTTAAACATTTTTATTACGAATTTGTGATCTTATTAGACATATATACAACTTAATTATACAAACAGAATTTTACAATCTTCAGAAAAATATTTTACAATGTTTTTAATTAATGATTTAACATTCTAGTTATGTGACAGACAAACTTCCACCAGCTTTAGAGATCTTGGCAATTTCTTCCTTGAATTTAGCAATTGTTTCTTTTGCTAATGTCACTTTTTCTTTAAGATCAATCACCTCCAGCCTTATTTTGTTTCGTGCTTCCATTATCGCTTTCATTGTGGATTCCTTTTTTGCTTCAACTGTAGAAATATAACACCATTTTTATATGTAAAAATAAATAGATAGAAAAGTTATTGCTTACAGTCTGTATTATGACGCCATACACCCAGAGTTATAGGCCTACTAGAATTTAATAAATGTTGCATCAGTGCTGTTGGATCTTGGAAAACTATTTCTTCGTAAAATTCAGACACCAAGCTTTTCTTTCCCAGTTGTATTTCAGGAGTTGTTTGAAATAGTTTTAATATATGGTATATAGTTACCTATTTAAAACATTAATAATGCAATATGAATGTATAAACTTTCTCTTCTTGAAATACTTACAGGCCGTTCATTAGGATCATGGAAATATATTTTAATAACAATTTCAAATTCTCCCCAACCAGTTTCAGTAAGTTCATAAGGTGGTTTTGTCATAATACGATTAGGATTATTATAGCTTTCGTGTAATTTGAAATGGACTTTTTTTACATATGTTGACATATCTTCATTGTGATACGGCTTAACATAAACTGTCCACTGATGAGTATGCCCATCCTCTTCCCTCTTTTTTCCAAAATATCGAGCAACATTACCATATACTATTGGTTTTACTATCGTAACTCCCTGTAATCCAATTCAATAATATTTCAGTTAACTTTTATTGTTTGTAATGTAGAGCATTTATTTGTCAATAATATATGCACTGAATATTTGTCTGTTTATCATCAATTATATTTGTAGGTTATGAATATACAAATATTTTATTTTTTTTAAATTACCTTCACTCTACCACCAGAATCCGGTCCAAATTCATTAGTTGTTGCCATCATTGTGATTACATGATTATTTTATTGTAAACAATTTTAAAACAAAAGTGAAAGAACGCCGAATTTTCATACAATGTTTTTGTTAGCGCTCTACTGTACTGCCATCTACTCCAGCATTAAATCTTCAATTCGCGCGCTTTATTCAATTTCATAATTACGATTATCACTTATTTATTTGTCGCACTTAGATGCAAAGGTAATATTGAAATTAAGATATGAAAACAATTTGTTTATCAAGTAAATTTATTTTTTCTGTCATGAAGGACATTAAAAAAATATGTACACTTCTCTTGAAATAAATTATGCTTCAAAAAGTTGTCGGTCTTTTGCACTGCGTAATCATTTTGACAAAAATATTCTGGAACCTATTTCTTCATACAGGCTACTACATTATAGTATAAGACAATAAATTCTGGAAATATGATTCTTGCTTAGGACAATTGCCCTATGTAATATATTAATGATTCTTAATTATTTCCTGATCAATATACACAGCTCGGTAAGTTGACGATTGCCGGAACATTGATAAAATACGTCTGTATAACACATAAAACGTCATTATATAACCACTATGTACTTAAGAGATATCTGTGGCGATTAATTACGATTTTTTTAACAGCAGCAAAGTATTTTGCAAATTCACCGATCGAATATGAAGCAATTAGTCCTATTATATTTTTCTCGCTAATTCGAGTACGATCATCACGATAGATTCACTTTAGTTACCTTCGAAACTAATGTACGTAAGTGGTTACATGCTGTCTCGAGTTTCCACCAGGTACTTCCCCGTGAATTTCATTACATAAAATATCCTAGTGTTCTTTCAAAGGTGAGCTCGACGATGTAAAAGTCAGAAATATACGCGTTCACATTTATGTTATGTTCACAATTACAGTGCAGTCTCGCTACATGCCTCCGTTTCATGTGGCTTATTGAGCAAGTTCCTTTTACGCACGCTAGGAATAGACCTCCCTCTTTTTAGTGTACAGAAAAATTTAGTAATTTCAAATTCATGGACTTCCAAATTTTCAAATATTTCATGTGAAGAATAATAATCTCTTACAGTCCCGTTTAGTGAGACTCCACTGTATTAGAAAAGAACCTTTCGGTCGAGTAACTTGTACAAGGTACAGCTTGGATGCTGTTAGGTATATTTCGTCTAAATTGTTTAAAATAGGAAGTAAACAGATGCACGTTGCATTGAATGTGCAAAGGCAGCCAGCTGCCAAAAGAATGCGTCTTCAGCACCTCGTAACAATCGTAACAATTAGCTCTGTCGTGCTATAAACGTTGTTGTTATCACGTGCGAAGTAAATTTCCTTTCCTTTTGAATCGTTCCTCTAGATATCCTGGGATCTGAAAAGAGTTTCACAAAAGGGCCGTTACATTGTCTTCATAATGGTCCAGCTAGATTAAGCGGCAGGTTCTATATTACTAGGCACGGACAGTACAGATAAACAAAATGACTTGCTACTATAGTTTATAAAGCAGATTTTAATAAGGAATATTTTATGGTCACGTCGTACCGCTTGACAAACAATATATAATGTGTTCAGATTACGTCACTATACACAAATTTTTGTTCTCTACGTTTTACAACACTTATTTACTACTAATAATTTACATCCATACCAATAAATATTTACCATCCAGTATACGATTTATTTAAAAGAGTAATTGTAAATAATTGTATTTACAATTGTTTCCCTCTGACGATGGTGTCCTCTAATTGTCGTAATTAACAAACTATCAACATCTATCATTACGCATATTTATACAAAATCATTACCACCTTATTATCGAATAATAAGTACATGCATGGTACGACGTCTTAAATGGTACCCGTATCATGTAATAAAGAAATGCATGCACTATGTTTTTAAATTCGCAAAGCTTGAAAATTGGAGGAAGAGCAGACAACTTTAGAATACGTTAGTTCAAGATTAGATACGAGAAAATGGTCCTAATCCACTAATGGTCAGGCACTCTGGGAACATTAAAACATAAGAGAACATGAGGAATTTTATTTAATGAATAGTGGAGAATAGGAATATCTCGATTGTATCATTTCTTTTTCTAATCAGCAAAACTGCGCAATAGGATATTTACAGCGTGAAATGAGACAACTATACAATTCTAAATCATTGCTACCTTTGGTTTCGGTCGATGTGTATCCACTGCATCAATAGGTAATCGAATGTGCTCCACTTTACAACCATAAGCGACCGGCGTTAATTTGATTATAGTATGTAACGGTACTTGCAAATATGGCAATTCATCTGTAACAGTACAAAAAATATAGTGAGAATTGTACATATGTTTTCACCAAATTGTAATAATGAAGAGAGGAAAAGAACAGCGTATTCTTTGAAGAGTTTACAGTTTACTATGGCTTCCTTCTTAAAACATCAAATGGATTGTGTAAAACCAACGCTAATCAAGTTAAGTAAACTGCGCGCAATTTGCGGTAATAAAATTATGTAAACAACTATATGTGGGTATCTTGAACTTCCATTGCGTGTACAACTGCGTCATCCACATCTTGATCTCTATTTTTCTATTTCATTTCAAAACGTAATGTTACGCAACTTCGTCAATTTGATATTCCTAATTCGCATTTACATGTATGTGCGATGCGATGTAAATGAATTGGAATACGTTATTTTTTAATCATGGTACGATACAGGGATCTTTTTCAGATTTTTATGTAACAATAGTACTATCTGATCAAAGAAATACTTACCCGCACTTTTATCTAGGAAATAAGCAAGTAGACATCGCAAAACCGCTTGGTGAGTAACTACCAGAACATTACCCTGACGTTCTAGCTCCATGATCACCGGTTCCAGCCGTGCAACTAAATCCTCGTAACTCTCTCCTCTTGGATAACGATATGAAAATTTATTTTGATCCCTAGCAGCAAAGTCTGTTGGATACTTCTCCGAGATTTCTTCATAAGTCATTTCTTCACAGATACCCTATGCATAAATATCATTCAATCACTTGAACAATCCATTGTAATACAATATCTAATGTCAATATTCTAGTTTCTACAATCTGTAATATATTGTTACATAAGTTTTATTGAATTTCCTTGTAGATAAAATAAAGATTTTATCGTTTTTAATCCGCTTATTGACGTACACTCAATTTCTACGCGGGGTAAGACTAATCTAGTTTTGCTGATAACATCAAGTATGACTAAGTTGTTTTGAAAAAACTTAGAATTTTAAGGAGAGTTGCATTACACAAGAAGAACGAATACTATTCGATATTTAGCATGCATAATGGTGTTTCTTATTAGTATATCAGTTACCGCATCAATCTCATTTAGTGCTTTCCACCTTTCTTGAGGTGCATTCACGTCGCTTGCTGTCTGTATGGTCCTCTTCAGCCAGCTGGTCCACACTCTCAAACCCTACAATAAGAATTTTATTAGTTCTTTTTCAATAGAACATATCTTTCCATGCAATTCTTACCTGTATATCCTGATTAGTAATATAGGTAGCTAACGCTTTGGCATATTCCCAGCCTCTTTCGCTCAACTCCGAGTCTCCGCCTATTTTACCTTCGAGGTTCATCACGCTTTCGCCGTGCCTAGTTAAATAGATTGTACGTGGCACTATATGGATGTTCATAAGATAATAAACTATCCTACTTTGTATATGACCCTCATGCTTGTGAACCAGCACTTTCTCCCCTGTGTTGTAGATTTTCATAAAGGAGAGATCGCTTTCTTGATTCTCGTCCAGTGGCTGATACTTCTCTTGATAGTGTTCGATTCTTAACATGAAATCAGCCAGTACTTCTTCCTTGTTCATATTTGCGTAATCTGGACTGCTCACTTTCACCTGTGCGAACAGAAATTACATCTCATTAGTGGACTATTTCTCCTAATCAAGCTACTAACAAATTCAGTACAAAGTGTTAAGATCAGTCCATAAATTAAGTGGAGTGACTACAAAATTACTTTCTTCGAATCATGTACTGTTTGAACGTAACATAAAATCTTATTAAGTCTCTACATGTTTCATGTTCTCCTGCGACTCAGATATATGGACTAATCTAAAATTACGTCGGTACTACAGTAATTATTACGATTTTGCAGGTGCATTTAGAAGAATTTCCATACTTCCATGATATTCTGTTCAACGATTTCCGGGTCGTTACAGACGGACTCGACGAAGAACAGCTTGAAACCCATTTTCTCGACAACGATGTTTCTTATTAGCTGACGCCTTTCTATGGTGGAATTAGTGGCGTCGAAAACGGCTACCTCGCCGTCCCCGCTCTCCAGCCATTGACAGACATCATTGAGAGCATCCATCGCACACTGGGTACGTATCGCCATTGCTTTTATATTATCAGGACGGAAAAACTCATGGCACTGATACGCGGTGGTCGCATGCCGCCTATACTCTCCTAAGTTGAAAACTTTCGTATTTATTCCAATCCAGTTCAAATATCTGCATAATTTCTTGGATATGTAAGTCTTGCCACGTGCCGGCAGTCCAACCATCGCGATCACATGTGGCTTATTTACGAAATTAGCTCGTTCGCCTGAAATAAAACCACACAAAATTTTGATAAAGCCTCCACTACGAATGCATTTTGTTCCTTAAATTCTGATCCTTTCATTCTTAAACTGATATCAATTGGTGTGCCTAATAAACGAAACAACAATTTCTAATATTGCAGACAAAAATACGTTATCGAAAACACGATACTCACTTTGATATTTAAAGTTCATGTTAATTTGAAATTTTGATCTAATCGATTATATCGATGTCCGATATGTATCGTTCGATTTCCGCACAACACCACGATTAACCGATCCATACCAATGTGAGCTCGTATCTCGTCGTATCGCGTGCACACAACGTGTTTTTTATTTATCTTTATATTATGTACGTATATAGATACACTTCTTTTTATATTTATCTTTATTGGATTTTTTGCTATATTGATAGTCCCTTCCTTTGCGGGTACACTTGCTCTCAGCACGAAAAAACTTCGCCGAGATATTGCACACTGAATTTCTTAATTTCGAACAAACACAGTAAATTTAAATTTACGTTTATGTTGCAACTTACTTGACATGCTCGAGATTTATGCGAGATCAGAATAAATTAGCTATTCAAAGAAATTTACGATTCTTCATAGATGCTATTGCCAATGTTTGCTAATTTAGACCTTGCGATTAATCGAATTCGATTCTCGCGTAAATAAATTCGGTGAGAATCGAATCGAATGTTACATCGAATGCGCGCGTAGATCTTTATCAGATAAAACAGCATTAATCGCAGCAGGCGTTCAAATGTTTTTGTAACGCAAACAGTTCATTATTTATTATTTTATAAATAATCATGCAAAATGACCGTCATACAAACAATCGTCAACGCTTTTAACTGCAGTCTAATCGTTCGAGATTAATTTTATCGCTTGGTTGGTGGTAATAATCGAGCAAAGACCAAGGTACAACTTCTGTAAAAACATTAATGTGAACCGGAAAAATAAATTCTACATTTCTTATGCAAGTTAGCATTTTAATTCGTACCCTTTATAATGTGCGTAATATATAAAGATTTGTTTCTGTACGATGCACAACGTACGAACAATACTATTAATACTAAAGATTAATCGTATATAATCAAGGTCAACAATAAAGCTAATTTTTATGGTTTCAGATACAATTTTGTTCCTGCTTCAATTACTTTCATATTATTATAAAAATCAATCATTTCAGATAATCCTTTAATACATGTTCTTTCAATCATGCCATTTGCGAGAACAGGTTACGGGCAATCTAAAGATGTTTCGCTTTTACAGGTTATGTTTCTAAACCGTGATTGCAGATGCAATAGCGCGCGTAAAGGAAAACTACATTTTTATAAATCAAAATAAACATATATCAACGATTCCGTATTGTTAGTAATATTCCTTCGTGTGCAGAACCTCAGGGAAGTGTAAAAAGGAACAGAAGAATATTGATGGTACAGGAATCAAATATTTAAACTTAACTTTTATTCTTTCCAGAGACTTTGCATAAACATTTATGAGGGTAGTTGTATTTATGGTTATGAATGTCTTACCTCGAATGGGAAAAGGTTTTGTTTGAATGGTGTCCGAGCTTGGTGGTGTGTAATGCATTTCGATTTTCGGATCAGTCATTCTACGACACTACGTAAATGTACTTTGTTTTTATAGTCAAACAGCTATTTCACTAAACTCCGCTTACGAAGTAAATGAACACAAATTCTTAAGTCTCACTAGCCTCGCACGCACCACGTATCTGTCAGTCATTGAACACGCATGGGAATTCGTTGCGGTAATCTCACTGTCACTGCGGTCCTATCCTACAATTCATATTTACGGTATATCATTGTGTTAATTTGGCATTATCGTAAAATCCCCGAAAGAGCCAAGAAAAATATTATAGTCGTCGATAAGCTCCACAGAAGTAAGATAAAAGAAGACAGAAAAAAACTGAAGCGGAGACGGAAGAGTAACGCGCACCTACCGTTCCGCCGGAAAAATCCGAACTTTAGTACGCGCCACGCTACGTATAGGCCTCGAATCTTAAAACGATTATTATTGCGTACGGATTGTGGTGCGGGGAAATCTTTTCGGCAGTAACTCTCATTGTGTGGCTCCGTTTTGTCCTTCAAAAGAAGCTTCGAAAGATTTCCGACTTTTGTAAAAATTGTCGGAATCTCATTCTATCGACCCAACGCGTTTCCCCTCGGTAGAGGTTATCCTTTCGGAAAACAACATTCGTATTTGATTAACAAAAATAGATCACTAGTTCGAACCAGATTTTTAACGAACACCACTGTTTATATGAAATACCTTCAACCAGTCCGTAGCCTCGAGAATGATCACGCGACTTCTCTTGACGTCACTTTATTCTTTTTTAACCAATTCCTTATGCTTTCATGCACAAAAGTGCAAAGAAACATCAACGAAGATGTTCTTTACTTTGATATGTTTGTTATAAGTTCAATTTGATTCAAATACTCATCAGTGTAGAGGTAATCTGTAAAAATCGAAAACACGAATGAAACCCCGCTAATTTTGTCATTTATTTTAACAGCCAATAAGAAATGTCCGTAAATAAAAAGTGACGAATAGGGTTGCGCGATTCTGAGAGGTTAACAAGTTATTTATGCATTTTCAAAAGCACTTAAAATAAGATTCAGAGAAAACATCCTTCTTGAAAAGGTATTAAATGTGCAATATATTTATATCATCTGCTATATCTATTAAAGATACAATAAAATATGGCATGCCGTTCTCGAGGGGTCATCGATTTTGGGTTCCTGAAGTACCTAGGATGCAGGAAGAAGACACAGGATTTTAGCTGTACTAATATATTTGCTAATCTTTTTAATATATTATATAAATATTAAGAAACTGTAATCGATTTTGAAAATTATATTTAACATTAAATTAGCAAGATTTTGTCCACATTATTTTAGTAATGAGAAGCATACAACTTCAATTTTGTGTAGATAATACTTATAAAATAATACTTACAAAGTATTTCGAACGATCTATGTGTTTAAAATTCATATTTACGCGCGTTTTCTGAAAAGAATACCACCGACGACACCTTGTGGCAGTAGGCGGAAGCAACAGTGAGTAGCGGACGTTTCACAAGTCCGCCGTCAGATGACGCCGCACGTACCTGTTTTTTTTCGCAATTTGATTAATATTGGCTTTCTTCAAATTAATGAATAGTATAACATAATTATTAACAAATCCGAGAGTCAATAAATTCACAAAACTTATTCAGAATTAATTCCATTAATTTCCACATTTCACCGCTAGATAGCGGTAGCAGTACAATTTCCAGTCGGCGCGCGAAAATTTAAATTTTGAAATACATACAAAAATTAGACTTCCAAAGTACTTACAATTTTTTATATTAATTACTTTATGATACACCACTGTCTCCTATATCTGTTTACATACTAAATCACCGAGGTAATTTAATGTAGAATCCAGTTATAGAACATTTTTTTTTATCCTGTTGCAATTCCTAAAATTACCTTGTAGATACGTAAAATATGTAATAAAACAACTTGCTGTTAAATGTAAGATTATGTTTGCGGAAATTTTATTATTTATCGTGTTCGAAAATGGGCTTTGTAAACTAGACATAATGCGTACCAATGCACGGATGTTATTGCCGGCATTAGGGAGTTATTCCCCTTGGCTGCCATTTTTCCAGAGAAGTCATATTTGCAATTGAATGTACGTATTACACTTGATTGTAAAGTGTAATCGAACCAATCAGGGCTGACGTGTGTAAGATGAACAAACACTGATGAAATATAATTTGTTGTGAAGTAAATAATATAAAAATATAGTAATAGGGTGCAGTGTATAACTAAACATAATTTCCTTGTTTAACATTAATAAAAAAAATGTGATGGATGTAGTGTCATCTATGCGTACTGTAAATAATTGTAAATTTTAAGTTTTGTTCTATAATAACGAGTACCTGATCGCTGTAAAAATATAACAACGTAGCGTGTAACATCATGCCTTCGTTAAGAAAAAAATCTAGCCGAAAAGTAAATGGGGAAAATGGCAATGACAATTTGATTGGAGGTTAATCATTATGTTACATTATTGTTATGCTATAGTTACATTTCCGCAAATTTCCATGTTTGTAATTAAATTCATTAACTATTTTATTGTTCCATGAAAGATGTAACCATTGACGATTTTGCAAATTCATCACGGACTCACGCCAGATTTAAAAAGGCTGTGACAAATGTTTCCTCTGAAGGTTATTTTTTCAATACATTTCAATCAACTTTTTATTGTGCCATTTCTGTTTTGAAAAAGAAATGTAATACATGTTTGTGTATAAGCAAACCAATAATGTTTAATGTCATATTCTTGCCTTTCTTTTACAGTGAAACAAGAAGTAACCAGACAAAAAGAAGATACATACTTCTTGAAAGAAATGGATGAGAACGATCAAAACTTACCTGATACAAATAAGTCAAAGAAAAACGGTAAATCTATTTGCTTAAAAAGAAACTACCTTTTCTGTTCGAATTACATTAATTCAATTCAATGGATATAATAAGGTATATCCCATGTGTAGGTATCTTAGTAAGGCAGAGGAGAAACAGAGAAACTAGTTCTTCCAGGAAGGATATAATAGAAGATGAAGGTAAACATAAATACTGATCAAAATATATTCATAGATTTATATGAAAAACAACTGTTTCAACCATTTAATAGGCATAGACTATCCATTGGATATATGGTTCATTATATCTGAATATATTAGCCCAGAGGCTGTTGGAAAATTTGCTCGAATATGTAGAAGTTCTTACCATGTAACAACCACTGGCAAATTTTGGTTTCATTTATATAAATCGTAAGTTTACCTTGGAGTGAATGATTATAATTTTCTAAACATTAGTAATACAATAGTAAATTGAATATGATTGTAGGTATTATAAATTTATTCCTGGTTTGCCAGAACGTTTGCAACCACATTGTATGGTCCGCACACATGGACTACGCGCGTGTGTTATTCGAACATTACATTATACTTATTTTGCCTTAAAAAGAGAAGTTGATGATATATCTTACTTAAGACAAGATGAACCTCACTCCCTTGTGAAAAGACGATGTTGTCTTATGTGGCACAAGGTAAGTATTACAAAAATGTTTATAAATGTTATTTTCAATAATTACTGAAATCTGCTTTCAGGAAGGAAAAATGCGATGGTATTTTTACTTTAAATTGAAGGAAATTCCGAAATCAACCGGCTCGTTAAAGCGGAAACCCCAAATGAATGTTAAAAAAACAGATTTTCTTGAAATGTTGGAAGATGTAGCTGTAAATCCAGAAGAGGGCTGTAAAGTACTTAGGGTATTTATTGTATTATTATATAACTAAGTGTGATACGTTCTCGTCAAACGTTGTATTTATTTTATCATATAATTTATAGGTAACTTGCTTAAAGTATAGTATGCTGCCACCTGTAATTGGTTTGGTTCTGCAGTCTGTATCAATGACTTTAATGCCAGGTTTTAAAGATCATCGACTGCAGCTCGGATTTGGAACGTCAGATATTCCTAGTACACTGACAAATCAAGTTATTTTAAATGATGTTGTTAATTGTCAAATTTTAGATTGGTGGCATCCACTTTATCCCCATCAAGATGCTATCACTACAATTGAATTACCGCAGAGTGATTGGTGGGATACTTGTTAGGAGATTCCATGTTTTGCAAACGAGCAGTTAAAATATAAATACGACTTTTGTAATATAAATATTTATGTAAATAATACATTAAATGTCTGTTATGTAAATCATTTGGAAATTATTCTGAGAAATTTCATATAACTTCTAAAATTTAAAAATAAACAGAAAACTTGCTGACCATTCAACATTAAAAGATACGATAATGTTTTATTACAAATGTAGTTTAGAAAATATATATGTACACTTACATGCTTGAGTAGACCATTTAAAAACAAAGAAAAAACATTATCTTTTGATAATTGCTTCAACAGCGTGCAGTAATTCATCCACATGAATCACGTTTGAAGTTGAAATTTGCATTTGTGTAATCTGAAATAAGTTGAACGAACTTTCCATGGTAAGGAGTTGATAGTTTCATAAAATTTTTCACCATATTAGCGTAAGCTTGTACGTCAACTTGTAATTGAATGCGTATTTTTTCGTCGTCGCTGATTCCCTGGACTTCAGAAGAAAAGGAACCGGTCGATTTGTCACGAATTTTTTTCAATCTCCTCAAGCTTTCTTCAGTTTTTTGTACCGAAGTTAAAACATCTGTTACAGAAGCTAAATAACTGTAATCACAAAATATGATACATTTAAACAATTACCACAATATTTAAAACCATCGTGTATTATTTCTTCTTACTGTTCAGTTAATGATGAAAGAGCTAATTCCAACCAATGATTAACGTCATCTAATATCACATTTTTATATTCCGCATGGAAATTTATGAGAAATGTAAGACTATTCTTCACATAAGCACATGGTTTCGTTGGTATATCCCTTTTCGTACGTCTAAACAATCTTGGTATATCACTGACTTGTTTTAAATGTACTATACCTTGTTTCAAAAGTTCATTCACAATTTCTTCTGTGATTTGTGGCAAAATAGTTCTTAAATTATTTATTGTTTCGTTGAGAGAATCTGTAAAGCAAAATATAATAACAATTCAATTATAAGCTGTAAAGTATGTTAATATTTTTTATCACAACCTTCTAATAATTTCAATACTCTTGGGGTTCCCTGTTTAAGTTTTGATTGGGTGATCTCTAAACAAGACGGAAGTCTGGCTATAAATTTTTGTACATCTTTGTACAAACAAATAAGAAAGTTCAATCTCGTGGAATGTTCTGCTTTGTTTAAATTATTTGTTTCGCTTTCTATTGTCCATACCTTTATATAAAAAAAAAATTAAAATTAATTATTTTATTGTGTTTCATAATCTAGAAAAGTGTTATATTTTATACTTCTTTAAGTGCTTCTTGAATCCATGTTTGATATCTGGCACATATCTGAAGACTGAATTTCCAAAATCTACATGTGAAATATAACAAATTATTACTACCTTTTATCTTTTTCAAAAGTAGCATATTAACTGTATAATACTTAATATGAATAATTACCGATGGAATAGCTGATACAAATATATGTCATTAGACCAAATTTTTTGTAGATTGTCCCATGTAATAGTGGTTGCATGAAGAGAAAAATCATTTTGTGCAAGGGTTTCCAATGTTCCTTTCACACATGATGGTGATATTGGTTCGGTTAATACCGCTTCAATTGCACTGGTTATTTCTTGAAATCGTATTTGAAAATAGACTGGCAAATTCCACTTTTTTAAGAAGTGTTTGTATTGTGAATTTGCTTTTAATGCTGCTAAAGATTCAGTTGTAACACACTCTGCTTCCAATTTTTCTAAGAACTCCAAAGTTGCTATGTATCTCTGAAATTGTATGTCACAGTATGATATATTGCTATAAAGATAAAAGTATTATTCATTTTATTTGCTAACCGAATGAAATAATATTGGATCTCCAGGAGCAAAAATACATTTAATGTATTGCTCAATCTTTTCTTCCACATCAACCCAAAAACTGTTTACCAAAAAATTGAAACCTTTCACAGAATATCTGAAATATACGTAACAAATTGTAGTGCTACACATAGCTGAAATTTATCAGAAGTAGTATACATACCTATCAGGATATAGTGTGATATCTAAAAGTTGCTTGAGTTCTACATTCAAAATATTCAACAGCATATTATAAATATTTTGTAGGCCAAGTAAATTGGTTTGTAAATTTTCTATATTAATTGCGTTATGAACCAATGGACTGACAACTTCATTTCTTATTAAATTTTCTGCATTACTAATTTTATCAAGCATAATGTAAATTCTTAAACATCGAATTAAAAAGGTAGAATTTTTTTCTTGCACACATGCTAAGAAAAACTCATTGAGATATTTCATGTACAATTGTTCAAGTTTTTCACACTCCTATAACAATATAAGTTTTCTGTGACTAATACAAATAAGAAACAGATAAATTTATTTTCAACTATTTGTCAAGTACATGCATACTTTTTGTTTGTCGTTGATAGTATCCAATTTGCATCTAGACAGGTAAAATTGTAATTGACTGAATTCTGCTGCAGCTTGTTCCAAAATGTCTATTTTAACAGAACTTTCAAGAAATGTATTCAAACATAAGATTTTGGATAATTTATTTGAAGAGTTGTAAATATGCTGCAAACTAAATATACTTTTCTTGTACTCTCTAATTTTTTTACTATCATTCATGTTATTTGAGATTACAGTAATTTCATCATCTAAAGTCTGTCGTATTTGCTATTATGGAAAAGATTAAATTTTAGTAAAATATGTTGTGCAACTTCAAATTTTTTTTGATACTTTACCATTACTTCTTCCTTCAATTGACCCAACGGTGTTTGCAAATTATTAATAGCTTTATCCAAACCAATGAGATTACTTGATAAATTAACAAAATCTGTATAATCTCTATTGATTAAATCGATCATAGCAGACCTTAATAATTTCAAATATATTCCCAAATCATCTCGCATTGTTTCCAGCTTTGAATTTTTTCTGTGTTCTTGTAGAAAAGTATCCACATTAAAATTTGGCTAAAATTGATAAGGTATTAAATTAAAAAATCTGATACAATGTAGTAATTTGTTAGCTTGAAATATACAAAAATTATCACCTGAATGAAATCAAGATCTGTGAAACACAGATCTTTTGGGACTTTTGGTAAATTAATTTCTTTCGACATGGTGTCTTTTGTTTATTGATCTTCTTATAAAAAATTTTTTTCTTCAGTGAATTTATTTATATATTTATAAATGTCATACTTTCATCATTTTTAGTTTATAGAGTGCAGTATCTAAAAAAAATTATTAAGAACTTATTCTAGTATCATAAACACAATGACAAGTATCAGCTGGCAAATTAAAAAAACAAGTGATAGTTTGATGACGTAAAAATAATATTGTATAACAATGAATTTTTATTGCAATTATTTAGCAGACAAAAATGTGTTTTATATTACAATTATAAAATATATTTCAACTCGAAAGCACAGTACTTTTTGACCTAACTCAATCCATGAACATGACGTATGCATGTATTTGTACATAAGTACTCGAAGTTAGGAGAAAATATTATCGCCTCGCGCAGCTCGAATGGGTTTAGAACTTCTGAACTGTATCAGAAAGCTCCCCTACTACTTGTACTGCCTTTTCATGACAGGCTTGTTTGCTGTGCTGTTCATACGTTCGATAGACAGAAATATTGAAATAGAAAAAGATGACGATACATAGAATAAATAAGAGGTAAAACGGCGTAATAAATAGATAAAAGATAGGTAGTATGCACAAACGGCGTCGCAGTCATCCTAAGAACGCATGTTCGTTACCGTTGGTTACGAAAAGCGCTAAACCAATCAGAGTTAAGATGCGCAGAATGAACGAAAACTCGTCGTTCGACGCTTTCATGAATTTCACTATATGCGTGTATACCACGCATGCACGCACGCACGCGTACAGCCAAACGAATGGATGGTTTGCAATTCACATTTGTGACCAATAATAAATATCTACTTATACTTTCATTAATGAGAAAGTTGTGTTATAAATTATAAAAGAAAATACAACAAACAGAAATTTCTACAACTTCGTTTTCTAAAGATTTTTATCGAAAATACTAGGGTATTTTTAAAGGCGAAATAGCCGTGAAGCCATCGAGGACTTGACAAGTTTTGCTACTTTTAGTGAAATTTATTTTCAAAATGGCAGCTACGAAAAGATTGCAAAAGGTAAATCAAAGCTTTTGACAGTCGAATAAAAATTATCTAATCGATTTGATTCGTGATAGAGACTATAAAACATGATTTATAATTGCAGTGCGTTTACCATGTAGAATGTAGGTGATTAACAAAAGTAGTTCCTTGCAGTATCTTCTTCAGCGATGCTGAACTTTTTTATTATAATATAGAACGTTAATATTTCTATCGTTATTTATACAAAATATTTTATTACGATTCTAATCCTTTCAAACTACTAAAAAATACTTTGTCATTAAATCTTAAAACATTCGATTCGGTAATTAGTTTTCTGCTAGCTATCTGGGTAATTATCACTTTCTTCTTTCAGGAACTTGGTGATTTAAGAGCTTCGGCAATGAAAAATTTTACAAATATTCAAGTAGACGAGTCAAATATTCTTACTTGGCAAGGCCTTATATTGCCGGTATGTTGCAGTGTATCGTTCAGTTTTACCGATGTAATTTAATCTAACCTAACCTAATCTAATCACATTTGTAAAGATATCTACAGTTAATTGTATACAATGAAGCATAATATTTTGCTTGTGGATGTATTAAATGATCCTATGTTTTATTTTTAAAGTTATGTGGAAACATAACAATACCAATTTTAAGTGCATACAGTATGTGTTCTATGATAATGTTAAGTAGAAAATTTTCGTGTATATGTATTTTAATACATTTTAGGATAATCCGCCATATAATAAGGGAGCGTTTCGCATTGAAATAAATTTCCCTGCAGAATATCCTTTTAAACCTCCAAAGATAAACTTTAAAACTAAAATATATCATCCGAATGTTGATGAAAAAGGACAGGTATGCTTGCCGATTATTAGTGCTGAAAATTGGAAACCAGCTACGAAAACGGATCAAGGTAAATTTCCCTTAAGTTTATTATTATAAGGTATAAAGGATAAACAATAAATTTTAATTTATTTCCACAGTCGTACAAGCTTTAATAGCGTTAGTGAATGATCCAGAACCAGAGCATCCATTAAGGGCAGACCTTGCTGAAGAGTTTTTGAAGGATAGAAAAAAATTTTTAAAAAATGCTGAAGAGTTCACAAAGAAGCATGCAGAAAAGAGGAGGGAGTCATCATCGTCTAACGAATAACCATGGGTGACCAATTCTTTTCACCGAGATGCCTGCCACCGGTCAGATAATTTAATTGAAGCCAGCATAGACTTAACTGTTACATGAAAAACAAGTTGAGATACATGTGTACAGTATTGGTTAATTACCGACAATGATATAAATATGTGCAAATTGTAATGTTTATAAAGCGGATGAACAGATTTTTCAGAACAAAGTAAAATATAATAAACTAATTGTATGATATTGTATACAATTTGTATTTTGAAGCTATGTGATTACGATCCATACAATTCAAAAAGGTGTCATCTATTCTTTTTGTGTTACAGCAAAACAGTTATAATTGTAAGTAAGCGTAACTTATTAAAGTAACGCATTTACTTCCAGCGTTGTGGATGCATTATCATAATGTTAATTTTTTGAAGGAGTTCTAGACGAATTTTTATGCGTATCATTTAAGCCCATAAACGAATATAAATGTACATAAGTTTATGTAATTACTAAAAAACAATACTAATATCCTTTCTGTTTAGTGTTATTTTGAACATTTAATTCAATTTTTATATACGTATATAAAATACAAACTATTTGTATTCAAATTATAATACATTATGTATGTAGCTGTTCTTCTTAGATGTAATATTAAAGCATTTAATAGAAATTAGATTTAGAAGAAATCAAGTTTATATCTTTATTAATTTGTTACTTTACACAATATGGTATGCGTAGAAAAAACAATGTGAAAATTCTCAATTATGAATGGTGTGACGCTTGAACAATTTATGAACAAGTCTTGAGCTTACCTTGGTATACCATTACATACAAATAGATATTCGAATACGGGAAACTCGAGTGTATTCAATTTTGCGAGATCCAACGTCGAATGGGATAAAAAGGATAGGATGGAGTCAATGTGACACCTTGTATTTAAAGCGTATTGAAACGAAGGGCTACTTTTACAGGGTTTTATTTTTATTCAGTTTGCGTAAGAAAGGGTAAAACCGTTTGTTTAAATATTAAATCTCTATATTAATAAATAAAGATATAAATGAAAATAAAAATATGATGCATTTCACATTTTTTTCCATCTTTCAACACACGAGCCCATAATAATAGTTTTTAATCATAACTTTCATTCTTTTATTACGTTCTTCGTCTTTATATAAGCTCATCCGCGCACTTTTTTTACTTTTTTAATTTCGTCAATAAATTCCGCATCTGTTATAGACTCGTAGGTTCCACTTTTGGCATACTACAATAAATATTCTGCGATTTAACGAAGAATTGGATTAATTTGTATGTAACAATATAATTGATGAGTCAGGTGGAAGAGGTGAAACTTGCAAAAAATGTACTAAATTTTTTCCGCAATTTTATTTATTTCATTGTCAATTAAATTTTAATTGTTGTTATAAAGTAGTTATTCTTATTCGAAGATAAGAGTCCGGATGAAGGAATCCAATTTGAACAAGGACATGGAAAATATTTAAAATAAAATAATCGAATATTGAAAATGGGGCAAATATATTCTTAGATATACACTCACGCTACTTATATACACATATAATAGATAACCACGAGTATAAATAAAATCGCTGTATAACATCGATATTTTTATGAAATTTATGGTGTATTTCTCTAAACTGTATATGATTGTAGTTAATCGCAGTTTTGCAAGTGTAAAAAAATGCCTTAATCGTATCGCGCCCGATGAGTGAATCAATTTTAACTATTATTACTTGCTCTCCAATTCACTATTAATAAATGTGTTTGACTAAACATTAGTAAATTTAAATTACAATTTTCTATTATAGTCGATGTATGCACACAATTCGACCATATGTGACATAAATTAAAAGAAGAACGTGCTAATGATATTATAGAACATATTCTTATAAACCTTCATTTTATACTTGAAAGTATAAATTTTAAATAGTTCGATCACCTTTACATTAACCTTTTCCACCGAACTAGTCAATTATTAAACGTATCTAGGTATATATTCTCTTTGAATTTTGAGGCAATCAACATCAATTAATCTCAATTTACTTTATAAGATTGCTGAATCTTCCTGTCAAGTTTTTCCATCAAATTTCGTCTGTTGACAAGTAGAAATTTTTTCAACGATAATTCATACTATAAATATGGTAAATGATATAAGATAGAAATTTATTTATAAAAAAAAAGGAAAAAAAAACAATCATGAGGAATCGAGGGGAATGTAAAGTTATCAATCTGTTCCAGTAATATGGCAGTTGATGCAGAATGCCTCATATACGATAATTTTAACCGTATTTATAAAATAACAATTCTTACTCGATGATAACTCATGGTACAACACACAACTTAGCAGAATATAATGAAACATTGAAATACAATTAACGAAATACGCATTATTACAAATTACTTACATGTTTGTACAGATCCAATATTTGAATTCGAACATTAAGCAACATACGTGTACACCTTTCTGTAATCAAATAAATATAATCAATATTGACATTAAAATAATAATACCATAATCGAACTAAAAATGGAATAAATAACTGTAACGTGTACCTATCTTCTGGCGTGCGTGCCAAATACTCTCGCTCGATTAAACCTTCAATACGTTTTTTAATTATTACGGGTGAAGGTAAAAATCTGCCTCTTAATTGTTCTGTGACTTCTGTTACAAGTATATTGTGCTATAAAAGTTAAAAATATAAATAATGAGATTAAAACACGTAAACGTTCAAACGATTGTATACAAAGAAACACGTATTTATATATTGTTACGTACAGGCATACGCTTCCTATCTTTCATAATACGAACAATAGCTGCTTCTATCTCGTGTTTTCTGTCTTCGTCGACTTTATTACGCGTTTCTCTCCTCTCCGGTTCCGATTCACCTTTTGCTGCCACCGTTTGAATCTTTACTCTTTGTAAAATTATATAAAATTTATAAAAAAAATGTATTAAAATAAAAGGCTTATTAAAAAAAAAGAAGAAAAGAAATATGTTTGTATGATTTCACTTCAGCGCAGAAACAGTACCTGTGTAATTTACTACTAAAGCTGTCATTGACGCAAAAACAGTGTGAAGGTTCTATTTCTTTTGTACGAGGATGTTTCAATAATACTCTTTGCGTAGCTTTGCCCATTGCGAGAGATTGCAATGCTCTAACCAAGTCTCTCTCTGGAATATCGGTTTCACCTTGAATTTCCTACGCAACGTTTCATACATTGTATAGATAATCTTAAAACATTGAAATTTCATTATAAAAGTACCGACGATAGACTGGCTGTTAAAACTGACCTCATACGTCAATTTGTCTCTTTTGTTGAACAACATCAAAACGCACATTTGATAAGTTGATACTTGTATTATATGTTTCCTTGTGTTGCCGCAACCGCTACTACGTTGACTTAAAATACTACCATTAGTACTTCCACTTCCGTTACCAATGGAACTTGAAGACGATGGTGTATCCAACCCGCCGCAGCTGTTTTCTTCCCTTCGTGGTCCATAAAATACGGCATTTAAATCCGCCGACCCTAAAAAGTTGATATTCAATTGTAAACTACTAAATCATTCAAAAATATTAAGCAAACAAAAACACAAGGAATGAATTTATCATTGAAACTAATTTATTATTAACCTAATTGTGGTTGTAACGTTAACTGTCGTCCACTATGTTTAGCAAGATAAAAACGTCGGAAGGCATCGAAAGCATCTCGTGGTGCTACTGGTATACTACACTTTGGAGTTGCAGATTGTGTTGGCCAAAAACCAGTTGTCAAAACTCTTACGCTTATATCCACTCCGTGCAGATTTGTCTGTGGTACAAAAGAATGAAAGAATCAATTATCTATAATTACTTAAATGTATCGACTATTTACTTACAATAGATGTAAGGACATGATCCTTAAATTTATCCATGATGGTATTGCTGACTGTTATGTCTTTAAACATTCCTTCTAATTTTGACGTGAATTGACACCCGCATTCAGTCTAAGTGGAAGTACAAATGTTAATAAATCTTGCCAGAGTATGACAAAGTATAACAAAGTAAATTTTACCTTAAGTTTGGATATCATATTTTTTTCACTATCGTCGGACACAGATTTATTCAAGAGAAGACGTTTAGCTAAATGTTGTTTATAATATCGTTCAAATACGTCTTTTTCTTGAAGAAATCGGAACAAAACCATGGTTTTGTCTAAAATACCTTCAATTTCTTGTTCCGTCATCTGTAATGAGTAAACAAAATACTAATATCTTTAAAGGTAATTGGTAATTAACAAGTGTAAGTGAAAATTTCAAGGAAAATTGTTTCGATATACATTAATCCTTTGTAGAATACAATAGATTTAGTAAAATTTCGCGTTATTACCTACCGTAAGTACTTATCTATAGGAATACAGTTAACAGAACTAACCCCTTTAACACCCTTTTTCAGCTTGTCATCAATGAAGAGCGATAAGTATTCTGGACTCTTTGTATTTAAATTTAAAAAATATTCAAAGTCAGATGCGATCATTTGTTTATAATTTTTATCGTTGTTAAATGAATAATGAAGAAAATGGTCGAAACGGTCTTTCAAATCCAATAAATTCTGAATAAAAAGAACGGCATTTGTCGTTGATTCGTGTTCTTCTTGAACCATGGCACGTCCTTGTTCCTTGAGAAACTGAGAAACGCAATCACACACTGTACGCAAACCGTCCGAAACCCTTGAAAATAATTTATACATGCAAGCGAGATCTTCAGTTTTCTGATTTTTGAGCATATGTACTACACCACTATTTTCCATCTGAAATAAAAAAAATAGTAGCGCTATATCATGAAATCAAGATCCTTAGAATAAACTAAAAGTATCATAGACATTTGGGATGTGAACAAAACATGACTTTAAGAATAATGCTATATGTATTATAATACAAATATTACTTTATGTTGTAAATTACATAAATATAATACCTCAACAATGGTTCTCATATGAATTTTAATTAATTCTTCTTCTACAACTTCCACTATTCGTGGTTCAGTAGATTCATCTAAATAATGTTTTGCTCTTTCTGATTCTTCACAAATTCTAGCTTCAACTTTTTTTATATATACTGATGCACTATTTTCTGCCAAAAATTTTTGAGATTCCATCTAAACACATAACAAATAAAATAAATAATTATATGAAGATTTTATTAAAAATATGTATAACTTCCTTACTCTATAAAATTCAGCACTCTGTTGTAAAAAAGGCCTTTCAAAATCTTCTTCATACACTTGACGGCTGTTAATGCCAAGTAACATTAACATTTGACAAGCATTTTTTATCGCTATGCGATCTACTACTTCTCCCCTTCTTTCTCTTGCTACCATACCTAGTAATGTTTCTCGTAAATGATCTCTAACACATCCATATCTAACCACCTAAAAGTAAACCAGTTATTTTTACTTGCTATTAATCTGAAATCTATTACCATGTTCATTTCACTGATACTTACTTGATCTCTAAATATGATAAGTCCCAAATTGTAAACATTGTCTACATCATTCTGTTGAACATACACTCTATCCATGTACATCAAAATATCTCTGATCATTACCATCGATGTTTGATGATCATTCCAAGCCTGATTCAAAGTTTGAAGAAAATTATTGTGGAGAGATCTTAGTACATCTTCTCGTACTTTATTTTCCAAGTGGTGTGTTACTACTTCCTTTAAACCTGTATATAAACGTTCTCCATACTTATGAAGAACCATAGTATAAGCATTCCGATAAAGTTCTTCAAAACTAAGACCCGAATTATTTTTCTTCTGAATTTCTTGAATAGCATTTTTCAATAGTGCCCAAATACTTTCTACATACTTTTCATCCATAGTAGTCTAAAAAAGTGGAAATATGATCTTAATCATTACTAATGCATATGATTATAAAAGAGTAAAATTAAGTTTAAATCATAAAATACTTAAACAATCAAATATCTAACTTGGAAACAAGATAATTGGAATTCAAGCAAGAATATTGGAACCATTTAAAAACTGACCTTATTGAAAAAAAGGGAAGGAAAGTATATTAGACTCAAAATAATCCATAATAGGTACAGTATTAAAAGATACATTATGTATACATTTACATATAAATACAATTGTATGTTAACCTTATGAAATTTGTTTCCATTTAAATTATTTCAAACTTTATACTTGTCTATCATTTTCATGAAACAAGAATCAAAAAGACATTGATAAAAAATGTTAAATACACAATGTATACTGCTTCAATGACAAATATAACCAATAAAATTTAAATACCATTTTAACAAATTACATACAGAGTAAAACATCATCACAAACAGATACACAAATGTTTAATGTGACGGGTGTTGAAAGTTTTTTAACAAATTTTTAATATCATCTTATTTAACACAAAATTTAAATAGGAGCATCTTATAATTACAAATTTTCTATACAAAAATCACAGATTTAAATCTTTATTGACAAAATAATCCAAAAGTCATCAATAAACATAGTAACGTTACAATATTTATATTTCATTACTTGTCTTTTATGCCTCTATAGTAACTGTGCCAATGAAATATCTGCTGATATATTCATCCTTATGACAGAACATATGATACCATTGTGTACAATTTTCAAAATATCAAAAACAAATGGAGCCTGAATACCGATATGAAATTAATCATAGTGCTACACGTTAATGTGTACTAAAGCATTAAATTTATATTCATGATAAATAATGAAATAACAAAAGCATATTTACTTCCACATTTAACTAACACTTTTTATCAATTGACATACAATTTAAAAGAATAGGTTATCGATATATACGTGTGTGTAAGAAGATTCAAATAGAACATATATTAACAAGTTTGTAAGATAAATAAAAAGGAACGAAGAAAAAGAAATAAGAAATAAATAGATTTTAAGAAATAAAACGAACGAAAGTGAAAGAAGCTGTACTCACCGGAAAAGCACGTATGCGCATTTTGCTTTCTTTCTTAATCATATTACTGCTCTTCATCATGTCGAATTCTAGTTAGACGAAGAATCTTTTAGAAATACTTTCTGGCTAATCCTAGGATAACGTTACACCGTGTATACATTGACACCAGTTAAACGTAGAGAGCATTCACTCGCGTAAAGGAAGTATTAGCCGATGATCGGCTCCCGCTCAAAAATACAATCACTCATCCACGTTTACGATATACGAGAGTACCAAAAATTGTATTGTTATCGTGAACATTTAATAAAAGAAAGAAAAATACGCGATATTGGAAGAGGGGGAAAAAATGAGAGACTTGGTAAGAGACAGAGCGAAAGGGGGCGACAGGGAGGGGGGAGGAAGGATGAACAGTGCTCTTTTTTGGGGGATAATATGCTTAAGGGTTGAAAAGTAAAGGGGAGATGAACGTGAGAGAAAAACAGGAAAAAAGGATGAATAGAGATGAAACGAAACAAAAAATATCACGCTTCTGTCACGAAACAACGAATCTGTCAGATCTCAAAAATACACCTTGATATCGTTAGGTTTTTGAATAGGTCAACGTGATTGTTGATACGTTTCTAGCGTTTTTCGAGGCATAGTGAATTTAGATTGTGATAACTCGAGTTTCCATCCTACGGTTCGATGTTGGATACACAATATATCACTGAAAACGATACGCTACATGGACACGAATCACGAACATTGGTAAGAGCGTATACTTCGTTTAACGAGGGAGACCATATTCATCATTCGACGAATGTTCCTTCCTTCTGCGCATATCAGTTTTGATTGGTTCGCGTATGCTTCGTAACCAACAGCAACGCACGTGCGCCATTATGACGTTCTTGACACCAAACACACATACTTGGTGATCCAAATCCTAAAATTCTAAAATTCTCAAATTTACAAATCCCCGAGATACCAGATTTCCAAATTTACAATATTTCAAGATTCTACATAAATTTCTAAACTTAAATTAAGAAATTTTTAAATGAGATTATACTCGCTGTGTGCCACTTATCACTATTTCTATATTTTGCTCACTACGTATATGTGACCAACAAATAGAAATGTATGTTTTAGTGGACAACACGAAGGAGGGAACCTACTGAAATTAGCTATGTTGTACGATTCAGTATTGTCTCCCGCAGAACAGTAAATCCACAAAGAATTCTGTAACTATATCGATTGCGCACCTCTTATTCGCAATTGCGATGGTCCTCTATAGCCTATTTCTGATTTCGTGATCATATACACAGCGGAGAAAAATAAACGAAAAACGATAACCAATGATAATGTGAAAAATATATAAAATTGAAAACGTTATATTCAATTTTTTCCACATATTCTTCAAGTATATGAATATAAAACAAAAAGAATTTCGTATAAGGAGTAAAATATACTGCAATTCTCGAGATGTAACAAGCACAGAACTTTATGTCACTGTGTATATACTTTCCGCGTCATAATCTTCATGAAAACGCATGCGCAACGCCATAGATTATAAGATATATAGAACTGAAAGTGAGGATATGCGCAAAGATACGAATTCTCATTATCTAGTTACTAAATTTATGAAAATCAGATACGTAAAATTTACGTTACATGAAAACAGTCATTAAATGTTTCTTTATGCTTATGAGTCTATCTTATTTATTCGTAATCATCGGCGTAAGAATGTAGAATCATGATAATGTCGAGTAAGGAATCGATGAAATTAATCAAAATTTCGATACATAAGAGATACTCGACGTTACATTAATCCTTAAGAATTAATGAAATTTATGTCAAGTTGTTTCAACATAAATTGTATGAACATGCATGTTTATAGAAGTATAAACAGTGTCTAATGAAGTTCACACGCTTGTTTCTGCTGACCTTGTATTTATTAAAATTCACGATACTTATGAAATGCAAATTCGAAGGACGTGTCAAGTTGCTGTTCACTAATAGATTTTTACTTTTTTGCATGTAGTTTGTCAACAATGATCTTTATTAAATGTACGAATAACCAATCATTTTTATGAAACTATTCTTATGTTACAAGTACTAGAATTATACTATCACAAATATACAGTTTAAGTTATCATCTGTAAATATTGTTTACTGAAGACAGTACAAATTCCATAGATAACTGAACAATTTTTAACAGATACGTGGCATCAACGCAATAATTTATTACCATCTTCTATTAATGTTCATTATTAACGGCACCATCTACCGATTAAATCACATCCGAATACGCTCCTGTCATTTTCTTGATTAATATTTTGTAAGATATAAAAGATTTTGTAACAAAAAGATATTTTGTAACTGTGAAATTATGTACATATAATGTACACGTTAAGATAAACAATACATGTTAAAATTAATTTCAATAAATAAGAAAAAATAAACGTCATTAAATTTTACGATTAAAACAATTTGTTTAAAGAATTGTTCGTGAAATAACAGAGAAAAATAGCAGAAATACGAAAGTGAACAACATTCGATAAAGCTGCCATGTTTTCGCCCCACCGTCTCATCAGCAGGAATCTGCAATTTATAAGTGCAGTATGTACTGAAACAGTCAGTAGTAACGTCGTCACGTCACCGATACTCTCGTTCAAAGTTAGCCAATCGATACATCCACTTGTCAGAACATTTAGCATTTCCGCTGCAACAATGGCTAAAATAAAGGTAAATTAATTATGTCACTGGTATCTGCAAATTAGTAATCATATTGTTATTATTTACTTATATATGTAAATTTTAATTGATTTTAATATTGTCAAGATTAACATATTTGTAAGTCATCTAGAGAACTGTTATATGATAAATGGATAAAAACAATGACAATTATAATTTTTTGTAATTATATTGGTTTTACATTTTTGATCCAATTTATTCTAGGCTGGTCCCGTTGTTGATATTTTGGGCGATGAAATGACACGTATCATATGGGATGCCATCAAGCAAAAGCTTATTTTACCTTATTTAGATGTTGAATTGCATACTTATGATTTGGGCATTGAAAATCGAGATGCAACCAATGATCAGGTAACTGTAGATTGTGCAAATGCTATCAAGAAATATAATGTAGGTATAAAATGTGCTACTATTACGCCTGATGAGAAACGAGTAGAAGAATTTAAGTTGAAACAAATGTGGAAGAGTCCCAATGGTACTATTAGAAATATGTTAGGTGGTACAGTTTTTCGTGAACCAATTATTTGTAAGAATATACCACGTCTAGTGACAGGCTGGAACAAACCTATCATTATTGGTAGACATGCCCATGCAGATCAATATAAAGCTACAGACTTTATAGTACCTGGCCCAGGTAAACTTGAAATTACATGGACTGGAAATAACGGAGAAAAAATTCACCATACAGTCCACACCTTCCAAGGTCCAGGTATTGCTCAAGCACAATACAATACAGATGAGAGTATTACTGCCTTTGCTCATAGTTCTATGCAATATGCGCTTTCAAGAAATTATCCTCTGTACCTTTCTACAAAGAATACAATTCTTAAAAAATACGATGGCAGATTCAAAGATATTTTCCAAGAAGTATATGAAAAGGATTACAAAGACAAGTTTGAAGCTAAGAAAGTTTGGTACGAACACCGCTTAATAGACGATATGGTAGCGTTTGCAATGAAGGCAGAAGGTGGTTTTGTATGGGCTTGTAAAAATTACGACGGAGATGTGCAATCCGATTCCGTGGCACAAGGATACGGATCCCTAGGTTTAATGACTTCGGTTCTAATTTGTCCAGATGGACGAACCGTAGAAACAGAAGCCGCACACGGTACCGTAACAAGACACTATCGTATGTATCAGCAAGGAAAAGAAACTTCAACGAATCCAATCGCTTCGATATTCGCATGGACGCAAGGATTGCTTCATCGCGCAAAATTAGATAGTAATCAAGAACTTGAACACTTCGCAAAAACCTTAGAATCAGTATGCATCAATACTATCGAATCAGGTCATATGACAAAGGACCTTGCAATTTGCATCAAAGGCATGGCAAATGTTACAAGATCTGATTATTTAGAAACATTTGAATTCCTCGATAAATTGGCAGAAAACCTGCAGAAACAACTTAAAAAGTGACTACATTACAGTTGTTCTGATGTGATGCAATCAAAGTATTAAATGTATGCCACAAGAACAATATTACTGGTTATGGGAAATAAAACTGCATTTAATTTATATGAAGCCTTTTAAAGGCATATTTGCAGAGAAATGCATGAAGATAACACAAAATATTGTAATTAAAATTGTAAAAACATGTTTAAAGTTTTCTTTTTAATATTAAATTTTTAAGGATTTGTTAAATAAAAGTGAAATTGTGTAAACTGGTTTATCATTCCCTTCCTTATTCCTGCTATTTTGAATAATGAGAAGAACAATATTTAATCAAATCGTTTTTGTAGTCTACAAAAACCATTTTAATTATGTCTGCATATTCCAATGTTTTATCTCATTTATATCGAATACTTATGTAAAAAAGTAGGTCGACGCGGTATCTTCCAAAAAAACTACATAAGCATATTTTTTTTGTCGGACAGTACTTTCTTATTTCCTTTTTTCTTGGGCTGAAAGAAATTATAAAAAATTTGTAGAATATTATATTAATATTTAATATTATTTTGGAAATAAGCATACCTATTTATACACGTCTAGGCAGTCCTTAAATTGTTACAATATTGACGTCACAATAAACGGTAAATGTTGCATAATCTGTAAATGCTTTCTTTCTGGGTCATTTATTTCTATTTCTATATATCTTACGTAATATCATGACTACGTAATTTTTTCTACTTATTAAATTAATTTTTTCATAATTTTGTAAATGAAATATTTATGCTTCGAATGTTACTAGATATGTACACTAACGTTCGGTATTTATACATCGTATACAACATGGCTCGCATATTTTTCATATCATACTTTGCATTTGTACATTTAGGGAGACTCTTCACTCGTAAGAGGAGATACTTGACCCGCTATCTAAAAGTAATTATTAATCTCCTGTGATAATATAAAATAAGTATAAATAGCACGATTAAAAACCGGTATCTTTTATATTATACGAGTAGCTTGTAAGTCAATTTCTCCTCTGAATAAGTGACTCGTCATGATCTTAATCACGATTCTATTGATCATGAAGTATTGCTTTATGCTTGAAAAAGTACATAAATTATGTACGCAATGTAGTTCATTTGAGGGCTGCAGGAGAAAAGGAAGCAAAGATGTGCGAGAACTGCGTGGATACCAGAATCAGAATTGGCATTGCAGATGGCGCCTAACCTGCGCCACTTTCCATCACCATCGTTCGGTCTCACAATCAGTCTATCAAAGAGGAGGGAGAGACTGTTTGCGCTTTCATCGTCTCCGCACGGTTGTTGTCCTTCGGCCCGGCAGTTACTGCTGGTGCCGATAAAGGAAATAAATCATGCTATCGGGTTGAAAAGAACAAATTCGTAAAAGAAAGAAGAAAGAGAAAGAGGTGCAGAGAACGTACCTGATGGTTTGAAGTATCGAAATTCATAAAATACGTTAAATTGTTGCTTGTTGTACGATGAGACAGGTTTATGGATTTATTGATATGCAATCAGAAACTCGGGTGCAATGTAAATATAAGCTTCTTTCTGATAACTTTTTGTATAAAGCAAGCATCCCACCATTTGCCTTCGATTGAATACATGAATTTAAAATTTTCGAATTAAAAAATTTACAAATCCCCAAATTATTCAAATTCCCGATTAAATCCCCAAAATCTGAAATTTCTAAAATTCTAAATTTGAGGACGGAAATTAATAAATTTTTGGATTTGTAAATTTTTAAGTTTACATATTTGATCCCCTAAAATTGAAGAGCCAAAGAAAATATACTTTACGTTCACCTCACCTTACGTCAGCTATTCTAGAACCATTAGAAGCGCAGGATACGACTGTATTCATTTATAAGTTCTTTAATAAAATAGTAAGTGATTCTTGTTAACTTAACTGCTGGATGTTTGTACTGAATCAATAAATTGAAATTAATTTTCCTCCCTATTGTCCTTGGTTTCACCATGCATATACGTACTGGCTCTAAACTTTTACAGGATGTCACTTGACTATGAACCGGAAGTTGGTTGAAAAAGAGGATATTGAACATGTTCGTTAAAAACCGGAATTTCCGTTATTTCTGTTGTATTAGAATTGTTAAGATTATTTGTGTAAATATAATTTTTCTATTATTGATCAAAGTATATATTTTATTATGTATTGATACATACATGTATATATTCGTCTGTCATAATTGACCTGCATGTAAAAAACATCGGAAGTTGAAAAGACAATCTACGGAAGGTAACATGCTACGAATTAATTGTAAGCAGAAACAGAAACTGAGATGATCCTTCCTATACTATTGAAATAATTAAGTAAAGAACTGTTTAGTTCTGCGGAGAAGTTTGATTTTTAATTGATCGCTCTGAGCAGGAATAAAAATTAAAGTTACAAGGTATTTCGTATGATCGATGTACTTGAACATGGTAAAACAAAGTTATAAGATTTATTGTTATCTTGATAATATCGTGAGTATCTATTTAAAACGATAAATGGAATGTAATTGAATTGCATTGCTTTATTTCTGCTATTAATTTCAGTGAACGTTCTCGTAGAAGTAAGGCTTTTTTGTGGAAAATACTTTGACACCTTCCTCGTCAGCAGTTTTGCTAGCAAAGAAAAAATGGCGCCCACAGCCTCTAGATCGCGCGACCACCGAGTATGCTCTACTTGTGTACTTCCGTAACGTGCACCAATCTTCGATCATACTTACTTTGATAAATCAACTAATGAGTATATTAAGAGAAATTCTTTGTGAAAAACATGCTCAGAACGGGGATGTATTATTATTCAGTAATTTGAATCGTTGTAATTTACGTGAAAAATGAATGTACGAGGTAAAGTGGCTTGACGTTAATGTCATTTAGAAGGAGAGGACGGTGCAAACCGATGAAGAAGTGAACGTCGTTCTCCTTTCTTTCTCTTTTCTTTTTTGTTTTTTACCCTGATACGCGGACGAGGAGGAGCTCGAGGGGAAATAAAAAGGTATCTCGATGCACAATACGAATACCAAAGAACGTACGTGGGACAAAATAAATCTTGTCCAAGATGTCAGGAAGGCTACCTCGATTGCGTGCACTTCGTCCGCGGCCTCAACAATCGAAAACTGAACTGCACAAGGAAAGTAACCTTAAAGAGGCTAGACAGGAAGTCGCGATGAGGGAACATGAGTTACGGGACAATAGCGAAGAAATTTCGTACGACGTTAAGGACAATAACTCTATGAGGAACAATTTAAAACGTGAACACGAGGCATTCGATTGTTCAGGAACTTCTCAAAATTACGAATGCAAAACTTGTAAACCTCCAAAGTCTCTCTCCAGTCTAAAAGCGTATCTCGATCATTTGAAAAAAGAACATAAACAAAAGGTACAGTATCTTAAATTCATTTAAACGAAATTAGATAAAGAAATTAATTAAAATATTTTTTTTATTAAAGACTTTATCGGATTTTTATAAATGGCTCATTTATTATAAATTGTGAATAATTTTAAACAAGACACAAGAATAGAATTATTATTATTATTATTAAAGAAAAAACAGTACAATTTTATTTAGCAATATTATGGTCTTACACGTGTGTACGTTAAGAAAGGTATATAATAAATTTATAGGGAAAATTTATACGTGATAGTGGAAATCGATGTTCCATGTGTTCGTACGTTTCAATAAATTCAAGGGATCTTGAAACTCACCAGAGAGTTCATCATTTGAAAAGAAGATTCTTTAGATGCGCCAAATGTTCTTATGTAACCCACGTACGTGCTCGTTACACGAAGCATGTAAAATACCATTCTATGCCGATGATTAAATGTGATGCTTGTGACTTTCGTACTCCATACAAGGTCAATAGAATTATAAAAAGAAGAAAATGATAAATTAAATTCATATTTATTAAGTGAAATAATAATAATTATAACAACATATGTTTACAGTGGAATTTGGACAGGCACACCAGGAATCACGGGGGAGGAGGAGCTTTCCAATGCCGTGCTTGCAATTTTACAGCTGATATTAGGCAGAGTTTAACAGTACACGAAACTAATCATCATGAACCTCCTGTGAGTCAAACAAACCGCAAATCTAATGCACCTTATGAGCGTAAACCAAGAAATAGTCCTAAGCGTTACAATCAGGTATAAACACAATAAGCAAATAACATTAAATAAATGTTGTTTCATGTTTAAATATTTTTAAAAATCCATATGATTTTATTTAGGTCGGTGCAAGTGATTTTCGGGATTCGTTACGAATATCTGGAAGTACAACTGTATCAATCAGTCCTGGAGATTCGTACGTTTCCGATCAATCTCTAGAAGATAAAAGAAACGCGATGGCCAGCGCCGAATGTATAGCGTTAAAATGCGAAGAAAAAGGGTGTCAATTTATTACAGCATGGGATTCTGAAATGCAACGACATTTAGCAGAATGTCATGCTCCAGTTACACCAAATAAATCTAAAAAGCCACTGCCAATGTTAATTCCTTTAAGTCCTGCTAAATCTGGCAGCTGCAGTACCAGTGGATCTTCAACGACATTATTAAAAGTTCCGCGTGTGAGGGTAAGACCGGAACTTGCACAAATCGCAAGAGACACGGAACTAGCCAAATTATACGGAAATAAAGAAGTTAGTTATTTTTCCTTGTCTACTGAATATTTACAAATACATTTGTAAATAGATTGTAATTAGATTGTACAATTATTTAATTACCCGAATGAATCGTTCACAGGTCAGAAATTTAAAGAAGGATGCAAATAATGCGGCAGATTTATTTGAAAAAAAAAATGCGTCCTTCTTTGATAAGCTAAAGGAAAAGCTTACAACGTCGGCGTCAATTAATAATGGAGTACCAGAGGTAGCTGTAAGTACTACGAACGATTTGAAATGCTGGTGTACTTTTAAAGCTAGTAGCATGGAAGAGCTGGCTTGTCACAAACAAACACACCACACCGCTCTCAGTGTATCTGTGGGTACAACGCGTTGTCCCAAGTGCAGAAGACGTTGCAAAAGTTCGACTGATCTACAAGTGCATATGCAGTGTTGTCACTCGACAAGCAACAATACGTCCATTCACAATAGCTTAGAAAAATTATCAAATTGTTCAGAACTCCGTGTGACCTCGTATCGCGGTGAATATGCATTACCTGCGCAAACGGATTGGGACATTAATCTCAGCGGACTGAATTCTTCTGGATCATCGGTATGGTGTTTCACAGAAATAATACATCTACTTAACACGTGCATATGACCAATATGAACGTACGCACACGAACGATTAAATTGTAACGATTGCAATACGAGAGTCAACAGATCTGACTATCTTTTTTTGTTTGTTTTTTTGCTGTATTCACCCAACTTGTAATTGTTCAATACTTCTGATTGCTAGCATCCCGTACGGCCATTAGAATAATGTGTTTAAAGTACGTTTCGATATTTAACTTGAGACCACAAATTTTTCATTCGAGTATGCAACACTATTTTATAACAAATTATTGTTATGTTGAAATATATGTATATATATATACACAAAATATATATACATATAATATATATGTACACACACATATGTATTTATTTTTTGTCTATTTATATTTTCCTTTATTATTAAGAATGTGCTTTAAATGTTACTTATGGCAGTCGAGACCGTAGACCGTTGTGTTCCAAAATATGTTAACGCTTTATTTTGATAAAGGTAGACAAATCTTTTATCAGGTTGAAGGCTCCTCGACGCATCCATGTGGCCGACGGGTATTTAAATGCCCGCACTGTCCATTTTGGGCATCCACCGCAAGTCGTTTTCATGTTCATATTGTCGGTCATTTAAATCGGAAGCCATTCGAGTGTTCCCTATGCGCGTATCGCTCTAACTGGCGATGGGACATCACAAAACATATTAAACTTAAAGCAGCTAAAGATCCAGTTCATATGACTGCCACGGTACTTATGACGGATGAAACAGGTCGACGGAATTATTCCAAATATAACAAATACCTTGCACAGGTGAAAGCACTAATTTCACTTACATTAAACGATTCTTTTATATTAGTAACAGTGCTCGTCGATATTCTTAGGCGCACTGACTTTTTTATACTTTTTAGTCAATCTTTTTTTTGAGACAAGTGATGATCCTTCTACTTAATTAAGAAAGATGGATAAATAAAATGATAAAAACCGAAGGAAGGAAAATTTGAACAAATTCAAAACGTTATTTCTTGTATCAGAGCGCTTGGACACTTGATTGGTGTTATGATGTTCGTTCGATTGAAATTACAAGCATATTCTTAGTAATTATAACCGACACGATGATGATATTTCAAACGTTCTATACCTTGAAGATGATTTTTATTTTATGGGAAATTATTTTATACTATGAAAGAAATTTTCAGTGTGCCGAGTAGTTGTTTTTACGTTGAACATAAATTTGATTTTTTTTGTTGCGTATACATATATGTACATGATGCAGAAATTATTATGTTAATTATAAATTCTCGATTTCCTTTTCTTTTCTTAGGTCGAGCAACAGTCGTGGGACGATCAAACCATGGAGGAACATAATACAGAAGACACACAGTCTGACGAGCCACCGACTAAGTTGTTGATAATGAACTCCAATGAATATCTGCAAACATCAGAACTTACGTCTACTCCCGTTTCAATTATGTCTGCAAGCGATACAAGTCATAACGTTAACGCTATAAATGCCGCGTTGAGACCACCTCCGCCTCTCAAAGCCGCTGCTAGAAATCGTGGGCAATCGTTGCTTAAAAATAATTTGATTTCTCCGAATGCACAAAGTGGAGCAGGCACGTCTACCTCTACTACGGTCACGGAAGAAAATAAACGCACCATGTGGAAGTGTAAGCGTTGCAATTTTCGACATTCCAATAGAGAAACCGTATCGTTGCACGTTAAGTCCCACAACGAGTCAGAACAACGTTACGAGGAAGAAAAGGTACATATTGTAGCAAGGTACATATTCTAACAGGTTCATTTCATTGATCATTGTTTGTTCACAGAATGCATTTAATTGCGGAGATTGTCCGTACTCTGCATCCGATGCCGCTAGTTTATCTATGCACAGAGTTCATCATCGTCCAAATCTGGAAGCAATTTTCAAATGTTATTTATGTCCATATTACGTTAGCACAAAAGCGTATGTATACCATCCTACGTTTACGATATCTTTCGACAGACACTTATTTATCGTACTATTGTAGAGAGCTTTTGGATCATGTTAGACTCCACGGGGAAGAACTCGCTGTCGTACATCAACAAAATATGGATTACAATTTTTCACCTACTAAATCTAAAACACAAACTTTAAGTATTGATAATAGTAAGTGAAAGAAATAATACACATCTAAATATACATATATATATACATCTACACATCATCTACATCTACATTTACATTAACATTTACATTTACATTTACATTTACATCTACATCTACATCTATATATTCATATACATACACATACACATATCATGTACGCCTACATCTACATATACATATACATATAGTTATACGTGTAATGTTGCTAGAAATATCTACATATCTCTACATATACATACTACATCTACATCTACATATACATATACATATAGTTATATATATAATGTTGTTAGAAGTGTAGAAATTAATTAAGTTCTCGTTTCAGATACAAATCGTACAAAAACAGAGAAGTGTGTCGAACAAGTTATACATATAACAACGCAGAACAACGTGACTTGTGTCAGCGGTGCCTCAAAGAGTTCCAGCGCACCGCCGCCATTACTGCTGGACACTCGAGCGTTGCCCGAAGCTCCGTTAGTGTGGGTGTCCCGACCGGATGGTACGCTTACAAAGATGTTAAAATGCCGCCACTGCCCGTTCGTGTGTTCGCGACGTGCCGAAGTCCGGGATCACGAAACCATGCATCTCGATTCTCCAAGCAGTGGTCCTGTGATCGCCTGTACGGATTGTAGTTTCACTTGCACTCGAAGAGAAGTGATGGTTGCCCACATAGACATGCATTCCGGTTCTCTAGGTACCGTTCATTGTTTAGTAGACGATTCTAGGCCAGATTCGCAGCAATTAATCGATCTGACCGCGCTTCTCGGATTTACGCATTCCCCTGTATTGGGTTCGGAGCCCGATTTGCGAGACTCGAGACTCGTGCATTGCTGCAGTAAATGCCCAGCACGATTTCTGTGTGAGAAAGAACTGAGGATTCATTTGCGATATCATTCCACGGAATTGGCTTACTCTTGCCAGTGGTGTTCTTACGCTGCTCGACAACCGGCTCACCTTCTGGCTCATCAGAAAGCGCACTCCACCGAGTATCAAGAACGCACTAAATATTTGTTGTCGTTGTACGGTCATTCGCAACGGTACCCACCTCCTACTACAGCCTGCGTCGAAACAAATGGCCAGGGTGCGAATAACTCGTCGCCTACCGTCGCGTGGATCGTTGTCGAAATTACCGAAAGTTCAAGCAACAGTTTCAATGATAGCTCGAGCAGCACGAATCAACGAACCGGGAATCAAGTGTTCACCTGTGCCAAATGCCCGGCCCGTTACTTCAAGATGGACGCTTTGGAGTATCACATGACTCTGCACGGCTCGAACAACAGATTCAAGTGTACCGAATGCGACTACTCGTCGAAAACTGCTCAGAATCTGGTGAAGCATCAGGTGGTTCATCGTCGTCAGAACGAAACGGGTGAAACGACTTCGAATTTATCGACGTCAATGCCGCCGCAGCCGCCTCCGCCTCCTCCTGATCCCCAATTCGGAATCTTCATGCGTGGCAATCCAAACTTCGTGTATCCTGGTTATCTAAGGAACGGCCGTTTGAAAGAGAAACGTTACAAATGTCACAAATGTCCCTCGGCCTTCGAGAAACGAGAGCAATACAGAGTACACTTAACGCTACACGGAGCGAAACAGAGATATCGTTGCGACACTTGCGACTACTCCGTTAAATATTACGCTAACTATATTCAACATCTGAAGAAACATCAAGCGAACGCCGAAGCGCAAGCCTCGCGTAGGCAATTCGAGGACGATACGATTACCATTGACAGCGATACGATTTCCGACAACAGAGAATCTGTATCCCGTTCAGGAAAGACTCTAAAGTCGTCGAGTAACTCGTCTGCATCGGTGTCCACGAATGGCATGTCGATATTGAATTATGGCGGAGTTCAAGCATCGAATCAAGACAAGCAGTCTTTAATGTTGTTGCAGAAGAAAGGTATACTCGTGTCTTCCAACGACGAAGTCGAAACGTTACGCTGCCAGAGCTGCCCATTCTCCACCTGTGACAAAGACGCGATGGATGCTCACAAGCGTCGTCACGGTATCGAGAGAATGACTCCATCCTGTCCCCACTGCGATTACATCCCTCGAAAGGACGAGAACGTCGGAGAGCACATAAGACTACATTTCACAAGACTTTATAAACCGGAATCCTATCTTATAATAGAGCTTCTAACTTTAACCATGAAAAAGATAGCGTCGAACGGGAAGGAAGAGAAGCAGAAGGCTGCCGAATTACTTTTTAAAGAGTACGCGGACGGGAGATTTTTTCCATTCGCTGACACCAATTCTTTTGGTAGTCCGTCGACCGTCAACAGCCACAAGGAGAAGGTTATAGTAGATCCAAATACTGGAGAAACGAAACACCGTTTTGCCGTTTAAATTGAACGTTCGATAACGGTGTCATGTACATTTTTCTGTATATAATATTAATTATACATATAGCACGTATTAGATGTCTATAAACGTTCTCTAGGTTGTTCAATTTATCAAATTATATCGGAATCATTGACGGATTATTACGTTCAAGTAATAGGTTATAGAAAAGTCTGCATGAAAATAAACATAAATTTTGTTCTTAGAAACTCGTGTGCTACGAAACTAAGAAAATTGTGTGCATGTGTGCGTGGTTTACACGCGTAAGTGAAACTTTTTTTGTATTTATTACGAATAGAAAATTGGGGATTCGAACGATGAATCGTGCCCATAGAAGTTTCGCTTGAAAAGTCGCTACTGCTATAACGCCAACGTAATCGTGATCATTGTTTGTAGCTCGATATTCTTTTTGAGCTTCATAATCGAACGCGACGTAATCGATTATTAATATGCCATATTTTATTCGTTTGTTAAGTATTCCTCCAGACAAGTTAATGTTATTGTATATAAAATTTAAAACGATCTTGTATAATACGATAATAAACAAGTGCTATATAAATTGACGTTTATTTTATAATACCCTTTAAATTATTTTTCCACGACGTCGTATTTTCTGTATTCTTTATAATTTGTGTTGGTACATGCGGGGGTGGAATTTTATTTACAAATAAGTTTTTTAAACTTGAAACTACAAGATCTTTCATAACTTTATCTGAGGTTTTAAAGATTATTCGATGAAAGAAGACAATAAAGGACGCGTGCGATTTTGTGTAGGCGGAGACGATACGTTATCCCTACTGGCACGGAATTTCGAAGCAAGAGAAACGAGAGAAAAGGGGATCAATAAAATCCTGTAGTTTCGCGCATGACGGAATTTATTTTACAAATTTCTGAAGGTTATGAGAAGAATCCATGCTAGAAAACCGTGTTGCACCGAATGCGGTAAGTAAACAACGTTACAGACCCAGTTATACGCGGACACGATGTTCGAAGGTGCCATAGCGGCGTTCTTGAACCGGCTTCTGGGAAAGTACGTCGAGGATTTAGATACCGAACAGTTCAACGTAGGTATATTTTCTGGCGACACTTGCCTCACCGATCTTAAATTGAAACCTGAAGCTCTGGTAAGCTTACTTTTCTTCTATTTCAAATTCTTCATGTAAATGTACAATTGTCATATTGATTAAAATGCTGTCACCTTCTGGTTTGCAGTATCAACTTGGTTTACCAATTAAAGTAGAAGTAGGACTTATAGGGAAGATCATTTTAAAAATACCATGGGCAGGACTATTTTCTCAACCAATTGTGCTTTGTCTGGAGGTAAGGATCACTCGCTTACTGGTAGAATGCTTATATTATGACTTTCATGTATCTGTGGGGTTCGTGAAGTCCATTGCACCTTCAAGGATTTATTTCTGAAACATGCTTGCTGTTAAGTCAGTTATTAATTATTTTATAAAATATTTTTATGTAATTTTATCTTTCAGTAATGTCACATATTAGCCAAAAAGTTTTAGGTCAATTCTGTAAATTTTATTTTATGTGCAGTCAACACTATTTGTACATATAATTTGAATTTATACTTTTAAGGATATATATATAGTGGCAGTACCTGCTACGTATGGCCCATATGATGCAGAAATACAAAAAAAATTGACAAGAGCTGAGAAAAAGAAAATATTAGAAGATTTAAAGGAAGATGTGACATACACGTCAGAATTATTTGACAATTTGTTGACATCGGTGACGAAGAATTTTCAAATCACTATAAATAATGTACATATTAGATATGAAGAAAAGCTAAATGAATCTCTGTGTGCTTGCGGTATTTGTATTCAAAGTGTGTCTGTAATGACTACGAATAGGTAATTACTTTTATTTATCTTCTTAATCTTCAATATTTTGATAATGTTCATTTTTAGCAAATGGAAACCTGGTATTTGTACGAGTAATTCGAGCACAATTTATCAACTAGTACGAGCAGAATCTTTGAGCATATACATGGATAATGATACAGAATCTGCTCTTATAAACAATGGATACTGTTGGGATATATCTGCTATTTTTGCATGGAAAAGTATTATGCACAAAGCCTTGCAAACACTTGGTATGAGGAATAAAGAGTTTCAATTTCGTAAGTCAATAATTTTATATTAACATTTAGTATTCTTAAACATTTAAACGTCGAAAGTTAATAATAATTATTCCACAGTTTTAAAACCTTTCACCGCAAAAATAAAAGTAATCATATATAAAGGAAATGAAGCTCAAACATCTCGTATGTTGGTTGATATTGTTCTTCATGATATAGCAATGCAAATATCCGAAGCGCAATACGTTACATTCTGTCACCTGTATGATTCGTTATTGCGTACAATTATAAAAAAGTATGTATGTTTATTGTTGTAAATTAAATGTCGGTGTCCTCACATTGCGATATTATTTCAGACAATATATTAAATATCGCCCGAATGAAATTATAAAGAAGAATCCGTCAGCTTGGTGGAGATACGCTTATAATTTGGTTCTGGAATATAACATAAGACCTTATACTTGGAAAAGGATTGTTGAACATAGAAAAAATTACAGAAGATACAAAGAAGCATGTCTGGAGTGTTTACTTCGACCAAATGACACAGAATTGAAGCTAGACTTACAAAAATATGAAGATTATTTATCAATTTTTAATATAGTTATAGCTAGAGAACATGCTAGACAGGAATTGAAAAATAGGATGATTAAGGAGAAACGACAAAGTGTGGATAGCAGTGTTTTAAGACAAAAATATGCAAGAAGTAAATCTTCGACTCAAGAGGATGTGCAGAATGCAGATGTAAAAAATAATGACACGAATGGGCAGGAAATGAATACTGATGATACTAGTAACAGTACAGAAAAACAAATAAAAATAGACAGGCTACTACAACCAATTGGTATAACTTTAAATAGCTACAAATAATAATGACAAATGAGTGAATATTTATGGAATTATATGAATAAATTTTTATATTCTATTTTAGATTATAAATTGAATTTTACGTTAGCAAATTCTTGTTTAACTCTTTTAAACAATGATAGAGAAATTCTTGTTGTAACTGTAACTCAATTCTTAACAAGTATCGAAATACGACCTGCACTGTCTGCCTTTAAGATATCCACTCGGGCTGAGAGTTTTGTAATTGAAGGTGTTTCTCTGGAAGGTGATTTAGTGCCCTTAATTACTGTCGACAATGTTTTAACAGGTATGAAAGTAATTATTTCAAGATATTGAAGTTCGGTGTTCCATTCTAATTCGTTTTTGTAGGAAATGTATCCACAAATTTTTTGGCAATAGATTTTGAAAAGAATGGAGAAAACATTGATCCAACTTTTGATATATCTATAACTTTGGAAACTATCGAAGTGACTTATTATCATGTAATAACAATCTTCTTCAAATATCCACAGATGTTTTTATATAAATAAGTAGTAATAATTTTACTGCATTTCAGCATGCTATGATAGAAATTATTCAATTTTTCAAACTGAATGATATTAATGCTCAAACTGCAATTCTATGGGCATCCAAATTCTATAATTGCCTGAAAAAAAATTTCTTTATTTTGGTGGATAATATGGTATCTCAAACACTTAGGATCAGTTTTAAAATAGATATCAAAGGTCCATATATTGTATTTCCAGAACATGGATCAATGCAAAAGTATGTATAACATGAAATATTTATAAATTTTCAAAGCTGATTGAATTTAAGTATAAGGAGAAAAATATTTTAGAGATGGACACATTCTTTTGATTGATTTTGGTAATGTGAATCTATCCAATGAACTTCAGAATATAACTAATTTACAACTTGAAGATGCCACACTCATGGAGTTGGAGGAATTACTTTATGATAGAGTTCATATTGTATTCTCTGGAGCACAGATATTATTTTGTCACTCAGGTTTGTCCCTTTTATATGTCGAAAGCTAAGTTTGTTTACTTTAAATGTTTTTTGTTATATAACAGGAGATGATTGGCGGACAGTCAGAAAGAAAAAAGATTCTGAATATCATTTCATACCAAAGATACAGGCAAATACCACTATTTCGTACAGCGTAAAACCAGAATACCACCAATTACCAAGGTACATTCCAACTTTAAGATATCAAACTAGACATCACATTATAATCATTTTATTTTATAGGACCAAAGTGAATGTTTCTATTTCGGGTATTAAATTCAATTTATCAGAAAATAAGATACAATTGATTGTTCACTTTCTAAACTTATTATTATTGATGTATCAAAAGAATATAAAAAAATGTGAGGGAGAGTTTAAACCACATCTACCGAAGAAAATATGTAATGAGCTTTGCGCGTCAATAAAGCAGCTTAAAAGTGTGCGAAGCTCTATATGTCTATCGTCGATTGAAAAATCCGAAACCACATTTACTAATGTTGCTAAAGAATTCTGGACGAATAGCGTACAAAAACTTGATAGGTAACGAAGTAAGATTAAATATTGATATGTAAATTGTTTTTTAATATTTTAATAAGGTAAACAAATATTTATTCTAAAACAAGCAAGAGTAATGTTTGAAAGTAATTTATTTTATATGCCAACAGCATCGTGTCTTCTGAAGTTAGTGAAGAAGATTTGGAACTATTGTCAAAGACTATCAGTTTATCTGGATTTGATGACAGTGTATCTCCATGTAATCATATCAATCTATTGTTGAGATTTGCTATTGGAGAGGTGATATACACATACTCATATTTTTTCTTTAATGTCATTTAATACATTTATTATTTTAATGCTTTTGTGTATATAGTTATCGATTCACTTGGGAAGCATGAATTGTGGAAGAGAAGAACCTTACTTAAATTTGAGATTGCATGCGTTATACATTGAAACTGCAATAATGCAATATGGATCTGCTGTTCAGTTTGGTATAGGATCTATTCTGTTGGTAGATAAAACCAATGCAGGAGTAACTGGGTCATATTTAGAATTATTATCTACTGAAGAACCTTATGAAGTTCTTGTAATATCATTCCGTAAGGTACTTTGTAAAAGAATTAGTATTTTTGCTTCTACATTTCATTATTTTAAACATGCATATATTTTCCTAGGTCAGATCAAATTGTCCTGATTTCAAGTCTCATTTCAAGAGCATTGAAAGATCTCTTGTCATTAACATACTTAATGTTAATGTAAATCTTCATAGACCTGCGTTACTAAAAATAAGGGAATACTGGTATAGCTTGTTTGGGTGAGTATTGTGTAATTTGTTACTGGGTAAAATACATATTGAAAATAATGGACGATGTACTTTCAGCATTATTGAAAACAATGATATTATTAATGTTTTGAAAAATGTATGCCAGAGTGTTGGACAATGGAGAGTGAAAGAAAATGATCCACCTATCCCACCAGGTATAACAAAATATCCTTATATTGTCATCTTTACATTTCAAGTTTTCATCTTTATATTTATGTTCTAGGTGCAATTAAATTAAATTATTCTGCAAGACTTCATTCGCTCGTCATCAGATTTTGCGACAGAGATTTAGACTTAATGGAAATACAGATTCAGGGACTAGAAAACGACTGCATTTACAACGCTAATGAAAGAATGGTCTTGCGTGCTCATCTTACACACTTATCAGTTGAAGACTTGAACGAGGATACACTTTATTCGAAAGTAAATTTTTCATCTCACCTAACATAAAGTGCAAACTGCATATGTAACTAAATGTATTTCTTTACTAGCTTCTGATAACAGAGGAGGATAAAGTTCTCGATCTGAAATACGTAAGGCATACGCCGAGACTGTATAAATGTTCTGATATTGATACCAATCGAGATGACGTAATGTCGGATGGAACATTTAAGTTTTCTATAGGGAGGATCAGCTGTGTACTTATTTATAAGATATTACATGATTTAAAGGTAAACATTTAGTTATTATAGTACCAATATTATACAGACTAGTACCCTAAAATATTCAAATACTTTTACAGTACTTTTTAACTCCATTTACTTCAACATATTGTTTGCGCTTTAAAAATTATTTCACCGATAAACTTCTAAGTGGTATCAAGGAATTTAAGAGAACCGCGACGAAGCTGCATATCTTCATTGATATTCAAGGCCCAGTATTTCTTTTACCACAACGGAAAGATGTCCCGACTCTTCTAGTATTAAACACAGGTTGTCTAAGAATATTTATAACAAATAATTAGTGACTAAAATTTTTAATAAGTAATTTGATATTTTTAGGTATATTGTCTGTGGAAAATTTTTTCAAAAAAGTTGAAAATAATAAAATTGGTAACGAAGCAAATCAGTTAACAATCGACAACATTTTAATTAAACTGAACAACGTAACTGTATCCAGAGCAATTATGACACTTAATCAAGACTTGGAAATTCAAGAACCGATCATCGAGCCCGTTCATATCCACTTTGATATTAAAAGAAAAGCAGATTATCGTAGTGCAATGGAATTCCAGACATATGGTTTATTTAATTTACAAGGTTCCATGGATTTTGTGAACATTAATTTAAGCCAAAGAGATCTAAAGTCTTGTATACTGGTATGGAAAGATAACATCTCGAAAATTATACTATTTAAAAATGCCTACAATAGTCAAGTACAGTCTGCGATAGAAGAACAATTAAAGAAAGCTGATGAGAATGATGTAATGGTGAAGAAATTGGAAGATTTCCTTACACATAATGAAAATACAGTCTGTGAAGTTAATATGAAACTAACTTTAGAGGGATTGCAATTAAATTTGTTCTTAGATTCTGAAGAGGTATAACAAACTTAATTTATTCTTCAAATTATTCAAGATTTCAAGTGTTTCATTATTGATATGTTTTAGGTATTAAGTTCGCCAGTTCGTGACTTGAATCACGGTTTATGCAGACTAACATTTGGAGAAATAATCAACACCTATGCATTTTATAGCGACAAAAGTCTGAAGATGAAATTCTCCCTTCAGAGTTGTGTCCTGCAAGATACTCGAAAGGAGTCACAAGTTATAAGAAAGTTTGTATTGCTAAATGAAATTTGAACCATTTATTTTAAAAGTAGTGTAAGTCTTAATACTGTTAACCTATTTTTTCATGGACATATATGCTAACATTTAATTTTCTCAAAATAAATGAAAATGGTCTTACACCACTTTTAAAATAAATAATCCATTTATTGCTTGTGTTTGCCAGATAACTCTTGGTAATGTTCTTTATTCTGATCGAAGGATAATTCAGTCACCAGCAAGATTAATTGGAGTGCAACCTGAATCTTATATATTTATCTCCATGTCACCAATCGTTGACATAACGTACACATGTGGCCCAGTAGGAGAAAAATGTTTCGATGCACTTATCCAAGAAGTTAGAGTAAATCTGTCTGTTCCATTCGTAATGCATCTTACTCGATACATCATGGAGTCGTTTCCAGTCGTTCAGGTCGAGAAAGGAATTGTCAATCACGGATATGAAAATAACAATTCAACAACAGTAAGTAATATTTATTTAGAAATAAAGTTTCTATCCGTTGCTACATTTGGGTGTACCGAGTGTTTATACACGGTTGAAATTCTTTTTCAATGTGTGTTTATTTTAAATCAAGAGCAGGGATAATATCACTGCAGAAAGAAATAAATTAAAATACGCACAATATTTTAAAGAAGAACCAGGTATTTATATATATGTTTACTTGCTGTTTCTCGCTTCGTTCTTACTCAAAGTATAATGCTTTGTGTATCAAAGTAAAATAATGTTAATAATGAACAATCAAAGTACTCTTTTTTTTTTTCTGACATATAGATGCTTCAATATCTGTGAGAATACATAAACCGGAGATCTTATTCTTTGGAGATTTAAAAGCAAACAACGCACATGTAATTCTGTTGCAAGCTGAAATATCCATTGAAAGTAGCAGGCATAGCTGTTCGTCGTCGATTGTCTGTACACTCTCTGATGTACGTGCTAAATCAAAGAGACAAGGAAATTATTCTCATTACACACCTTACTGGTTATTGTGCCCCTGTGACATTGAGATTTGTCGGAAAGAAGAGCCACCAGAATTTAATGTTGACTACACTGTCACCGTAAACAAAATTAATGTTCATCTTTCCGCAGAAATAATACACACATTTATTGATGTACGTATTAGTAAAACGATTGAAACATTTAAATAAATCTTATGAAAGATTTATGACACTATTGGTTACAGATATTGAGTGAAACAACAAATTTAATGAATAGCATAAATTTAAAATTGGAGGACAAGTCTTTCCATCATGACTCTATGCATGCAAATCTGTGGACACCGGTCAAAATTTCAAATGTGCCATATAAGAAATTAATGGACGGTGAGTGATCCAGTGATGGATAAGTGATGGATAATTCTTTTGAATTATGTTTCTATCAACTTGTAATTTACAGATGATTCGCATTTAAATTATGAGTGCAACGACAGAGTAGTAACACTTAATTTAAAACCACTAGTAATTTGCTTGTTATTGGAAATCGAATATTTAACAGAGAGGCTTCCTGTTATACAAATGCACAGCACAGTTGCAGCATCGATAAATGATTGGTTCAATGACTTTAATTTTGAGTCTACTATAAAGGTCCATGCATTCTGTTATAATGTGGACTACAAAAGTTGGGAGCCCTTAATTGATCTTTGCTCTGAAGACGACGCAACCTGTAGACCATGGGAATTAATGATAAAAGTATCTGTTCTATCTTAATTAAAAGCTGCATTAATCTTAAAATCTTAATATCTTTCTAATACTTTAAATTGGCATTATAGATGCGTCACGGTGAAGCTTTCATGATAAATTCAAACTGGACCGACTCGTACCAGCATATCAGACAAGATACATTAAAAGGTAAAAAACGAAACATGAAAAGTATCGATCAAGACGTTACGGACATGGTGTTCATAACTCCGGATCATTTGACGGTACCAAAAACGAACGGTATGTGAATCAAAATAAGCGATAAACCAAGATGGAGAATAAACCAATAACTGAGAATAATAATTGTTGTAGAGACAGAATTGTATTCGACGTACGAAGAAGATTCTGACACGGACGACGACCATGATCGTATGAAAATAGTAAAAACTTCCAATTACTTGTTCAACAGCAACAGCAGTGGAGAGGAAGATAGTGACAGCGACGATTCCAGTACAAACGAGGATGAAGGATTAGAGTTGACTCCCGAATGCAACGTGGATTCCTGTAAGGATTTACTATAATATAATAAATTAAGTTAATTATTAAACTTAATTAAATTAAGCTCAATAAATATTTGATTTCAGTTGGACCCGTTGGCCGTGAATCCATAAAATCAAACGACGTCGCAGTCTACGTTAACATATGTGCAGAAGACAAACTGAATATTGTGATCACCTCGAATTTAATTGCTGTGATGGATATTATTATAAACGCGTTTCAACAAGCTGCTAGTGGAATACCCATAATACCTACTCCTATGAAGAAGTTAAATCTTCAGAACTGCATCGGTCATGAAAGTCGAATAGAACTTGTTGCTTCGGTAGAAGTTAGTACATTCATAATGTAACGCGTTGTTCATCTTCTAATTACCTGCCTATTACAGGAAGATAATAAAACTGTAAGTCGTGTGATTGCCAGTCAAGAGTATCATGAGATCAACTCGCCAGCAAGTGTTCCAAGTAGCCCGGAAGCGGAAACTCATTCTGGTCTTGCTAGTCCCCATGAAAATGAGATGGACTTTACCGACCCAGATGTAACGTTAAAAAATTACTCTGTGCCAATGGAGGAAATACTTCATGATGATTCTCCCATTAATATATATAAGACAATCACTGGGGAGGTGCTACATGTCGTTTTTAAAGGTATGTTTCACAAAATATGGTATAAGAAATGTATTTTCAACGGGTTCTTATTTTTAGGGTTCGATGACGTATTAGTGTACTGCCCCAAAAAACAGGGTTGTAATCTGGTTCCACTTCGACCTATCAGACACGAGGTTCGTTACCATTTAGTCATAGAGGCTACAATAAACAATTGTCTGCATCGTACAATTACTGTACGATCACCTCTTCAGGTAAAATATTAAACATTTTCGATTAGAAACGATTTCGTTGAATTTTATTGGAATATTGATTTCAGTTTCGAAATGAAACCTCCTACGCCTTAGGCCTCTACTACAAAAAGTCGTTGCTAGATAAATTGGGGCTCACATGCATCGGTGAACCCACGAACCCTTTCGACGACAACATTAGGATGACAATAATTGAACCTGACTCTACTTACAGCGTTCCTTTATACATAGCTTATCACTTTCCTATATACATATTACCTGCCTATTTAGAGTAAGTAAAATGAATGTACTGTGCAATTTAATTTCACGTTACAAACATAAATTTGTTCTAGAAAATATCAGGTGAGCGAAGAAGGAATTTATTGGAAGGAGCTTAGTACAATGATGAATGTTGTTAAGGATATATGTTGTAAGATGAAAACGGACGAGGGTAGCTCTGTATTTTGCGTTAAAGTCGCTTGCAATGAAGTCTCATTAACCACAAGACCTAGTTGCCAAGTGCCGAGTTATTTGATAAGCATTCATTCCCCTCTAATTTTCAACAATCAGCTACCCTTCGTTGTGGATGTTCACATACCTGCTATTAATTATGAAGTGAAAATTGAACCTGGAGAAAAAATAAACATGCATTCTTTGAATTGTAATACAGACATTCAGTTTGTTTTCAAGGTATGTACATCTACACTTATCTAAGGTATGTACATATACAACCTGAAATTAAAATAATTGTGATTTTACAGATCCAAAATTATTTGGGTATACATTGGACTGGTATGGTTAAACTGAACACTAATTTAGAGAGGAAGTTTGTTGTAATGAATGTGGATAGCGAGGCAGATTCAGCAAAGTCCTTCTTACTGTGCATAGAATTGTGCAAAGTTAAAAGCTGGCACGTTGTCATTCAGTCTCAGTACTGGATGATAAACAAGTCTGGATTACCTTTATTCATTCAGGTAATTATTTCTATATTTCCAAATGTATACTTATGTTAATGTCTAATATTTGTAGGAATGTTACTCCCACATAATTAATGAGATACCTGAAGAAGAGTTGATGATATTTTCTCAGAAAAATAATAAGAAGAGTATGGTTAGATTAAGAGCTCATCAGTCTGAATGGTCACAGCCATTCGGTTTAGAAGGAATTACCTCTATGTCCTTAATAGTGTGCAAGGACACCGAACGTGGAAGGAAATACAGAATTTTAACAGAAATCGAAAGTTCTCGTCTCTCCCCTAATTTTACGAAGATCATAACATTTCTTCCTTACTTTTATATTATTAACAAGACAAAGAGAACTTTGAGATTTATGGAAGAGAACGATCAGGCTGATTTGTGGAACGACCTTTTACCAGGACAAAGTATACCCTTCTGGCCAGTCACAGAATCGATGAAGATGAAAATAAAATGGAGGAACAGTCAGTTGGTGTCTCAACACTTCAACATTACACATGTAGGGAAAACTGTTCTGAGAATGGATAACGGCGTAAGTAGTCATTAATCGCGAAGAAATATTTGATCATATATTTCAAGAGAATGAACTTTTCAGTCAGCGATCACCGTGCAAATCAAGGGCGGAATTAATTCACCGTATTACGTCACGTTTCAAAAATACGTGACTGGTGATATACCCATAAGAATAGACAATTTCTGCGATAATTTATTTTTGAAAATTAGTCAATGTAATTTAGGTCAAGTAGCTTTAATAAATCCATTTCAAAGTCTACTGTACACTTGGGATGATCCTACAAAGACCAGGGAACTCGTTTGGAATGTATATAACAATAAAAAGGCGGGATATAATGCAAGATTTAAAAAGGTATAAGCATTATTAAATTGAATGTATTGAACTATTGTATTAAACTGTAATTAACGTTTGTTAAGGATGGATATGGACAAGAACTTGTTCCACTTGTGATCATAGAAAAGTGTAGCAGTGGATCTGCGAACGCAGTCAAACCACAAAATAACAAATCAATGTGGTCGGAGACAAAACCAGACAGTGTCAGTAGTGAATATAATTGTGACGATGATGATAAATCCACAGATAAAACAACTGTTTACTGGGTTAGCTACATGGAAATCAATCAACGAGTATTACTGTTTACTCAACATGAAACAGTGTTCTTAAAAGCAAAAAGTATCATTGATCCTGAACCTAGTAAAAAGGAAATATTTTTATCCTTTGCTGGTATTGGTGTCAGCGTTGTAAGTAGATGGAAAAGAATGAAACAGAAACAAATGTTTCTTTGATGCATTTAATATTGTTACAGGTAACAAGATGTAATGAAGTTCCAAAAGAATTAGTGTATGCAAACATAACAGATTCTGCGGCTCACTGGGAGCTTTATTTTGACAGAAAGTGGAAGAGTTTATCGTTGGAATTGAGTGCATGGATAGAAAGCAAATATGTAGATTCTTGTAAAAAGGCACAGTTAGAGAATTTTATTGATGTAAGTATATTCTAAAATATTCTATATTTGAATGTAAACTTAAATGGCAATTTTTTTAGGTTGATCTTGTTAAAATGCATATGACTAAACCATTCTTTGGAAAATTAAGAAGGACTTATTCTCCAGGAATTTGGTTGCACTACAGGAAATCAATGTCGTTGACTCATTTGCAGGGTTATATTCATAAAATACAGGTACAAGTATAATTCTATTCGTTTGATGTTCTGCGACAACTTAATAAAATAACAACTATTTTAGGTGGATGATCTAAGTCGTAATACAACCTTTCCAGTGATCTTGTACCCTAACTTCCAGAAAAGTGTTATCAAGTATGCAGGAAATCATAAATTGAAGCACTGTATAGAATTTGCGTGTTTGAAACAGAGAAAACTGAATTATGATGTTTACAAGTATGTTACTCAAACTTTTGTATTTGTATAGATGTATGTTTTTACATAATCTTATATATTTTACAGGGGTGTTTGTGTTATAGTTAGAGAATTTAATCTGAATCTACAGGAAAGTTTGCTGCTTTCTTTAATCGATTTGATTCCAAAGAAACCAGAAACTAAATATTCCATCGCTGTAAAACTGAGAAAGGATGTTTCAAGTGTTCGTATTTTACCTTTTAGCAAAACTAACGTACGTACATTTTATTCCTTATTTGTACATATATATTCGTGTGTCATAACAGCGATAAACAAATTTCAGGGTACAATTGTTAAAAGAAGAAATATGATAGAGCACATGTATATTTCTCCCATCATGATACGTTTAACGTTGTTAGCCGATACGGAGAGACCTAATATTTATAACATTGGCGATATAGCGGATTATAAGAATGTTGTCAGATTTATTTTTGAATATTCTGAAAAGGGAGGATTTGAGAAACACACTGAACTTAGGTATTGAAATATTTGATCCATGCGTAACTGGTTAACACGTACTGACTTTATATTTTTCACACATAGACTTCCTTGCTATCAAAAGAATTTTATCGTGGTTGAAAACGAAGAACTTTTACTAGATTTATCACGATCTTACGTGACTCAAACTATGCAGCAGTTTCATGTTTTAATCCGTTCGACTACCGTCTTAGGAAATCAATGTGGTTATAATTTTAAGTCACCAGGAGATAATTTTTATGATTCCAATATGGTAAGTTTTATTATTCTGATATGACCTTTTATATTCTACAGAACATGTTTTTTCAGTTGATTTTATGTGGGGATGAAATAGCAGAAAAGCTGAGTCAAGAAATAATGTGTCAGTTGGGATACAGTACACCGGATATTACACAAACTTCTATCTTTAATTTCGATATTGAACCACGCGTAATGCAATCTAAAGTACGTTAACAAGTTACAAACTTTATGAGTTAACAATTAGTAACTGAATTCTTATTTCAGACAAAAGAGTCATGTTTCCAAAATAAGGATGTGCCTCCTTTAAGTCTTACGTTATGTACTTCGTTTTCTACGGAACTCGAGTTAGAAACATTCAGCATAGTAACTGCATGTAGAAGTAGTAAGTATAAAGATTGTTCTTCTTGAAAACAAAGATTAATATGATGGAATTTTCAGGTATCCATCAAGAAGAATTAAAATACTTCTTCAAAACTCTGGGAAAGAAAACGTCAATATTTTTTCATACTGAAAGTTCCTCTATAAAAGCTTATTCAAAAGTAATAGCGGATATTATAAAAAGGTATGTATTAAAGTTACCACGATTAATTTCAGTGTATATACATTTAAATATATTATTTTAGGGCACAAGAAATAGGTCATAAGTTTATATCTCGGGTACGCTTATCGCGCTACGTGAATCCATACAAGGTAATGTATTATGAAAACACTAAAGAATGCTTGCAAAAATATAACTTCTAAATATTTCTTTTTCGTCAGGGAGTCGAAGTATTTTCAATGCATAAAGCTAGAGGAATGCATCTCTTAAGTATGATAAGCAAGAATCCTGGTATCGAAACAGAAACATACTGGGCACATACTGCTCTTTCTAACGATGGCAAACACATAGCTCTAGTTTCGTTGCAGTAAGTGCATACAAGTTACATATTTTACTTATTTCTTCAAAAAGAAGAAATGTTAAACCAATATTTACTTCAGGCGATTATATTTCATCGAGAAGGGATGTACATGGGGATCTTGGAACGTAAAGTGGACCTTAAATACGCAGCAGTTACTGTCACCTCCAACGGTGCTTAACAATAAGCTTATTTTACATGTGAACAAGGTAATATCTATTACATATTTTTAAAAAAATTGAAAAATAATGGATGAATCTTACCCGTAGAACGAAGATACTTTGTCACCCATTATGGATTGGTACTTGGAAAGCGACGCAGTAGATATTCTGGAGTGGCTGTGCCAGAAAATAAATATAGCCATGATCTTGAACATGGAGAACAGTATATGTTCAAAGCAAGTTGTATAACTGGAATCCAAACTATAAAAAAGAGTTATTGTATATTTAAATTACTCAGGCACAATAAATTCTCTGACAAACGCAACATTTTGTTTACGTTAGAAATCTATATATAAAAACAATATTATTTCCTACAAGTATAGTTCTTTCATCGTGGACTATAAAGTTCACAAATGATATATGTATATGTAGTTTAGAAACTTTCTATAGCTCTTTTAGTTTGTTCAGATCACTATATAGTTTCAAAGAGATAGATATCTGCATACAATAGCCATTTGGATAAAGTACGTCTAGTTTATTTCATAATTTATTTACAAAAAGTCTTAGTAAATTACACTTACAGGCATCTCCACTCGAACTAAAGTAAATAATTTAAGAACTACACGTATTTAGATATCTATAGAGTAGGATATTTTGGGGTCAGGGAGAAGCAGGGATCAGGGAAAGTGTTCTGTTTTAACTTATTTACCTCATGTTTTTTTTCCCATTTGCCTTCATCTTCTTCATCTAATTATTTCTTAAATAAAGTCAAATCTGATTAGTTTCTTTACATATGCTACTTTTACGAGAATGGAAACACTGTTCTTGAAATTCACTTCTAAATGAAAAAGGAAGTATCCGCATGGAAGGTGTGCGATGACAAAGTAGATATAAATATCTTCATTTCATCAAACATTATAAATTAGAGTGGTTTTCCTCCGTTTTCTTTTCACTCTATTACATTAGATAAATGTATATGTAAGAACTGTCGAAATATGTGCAAAAGCTGACAATAGGGGGAATAGTACTTAGTTTTGTTTTTACAATAACATATACACTTTTCAAAATCATAAAGTTTCATAATCAATAAATATATCCCATTGGAATTGCTTAATGGCACGATCGAGAGCTTAGGTTAAAAACTTCACGTTTTACCCATCGTTTTCTTACATTTGCAAAAACATACCATAAACTCTGTCTTTCCCTCTATCTATTTTCTCTCTTCTCCCTTTGTTCGTAGCATTTAAATTCCTTCGAAATCATTATCGATAACGTTATTTTCCTCGATTAAATAATTCTTGTTACGCGTTTCAATTTGATCACAATGGCTTTTAGTTACATTTACAAATACATTTATCCCGAGAACAAACATTATATCGCTACCATTTTAAAAATCTCCTCTGTCTAGAAAATTGAAACAAAAAGTAATAATAATTAGACATAGAAAAAAAAAAAAAATAAAACTTAATCCATCAAAGCTCATGAAATACATATGCTTGATAGTTTCATTCAAACGCAATCGCACTAGTCGATACGCGCGTTTTACTTGATCATCGATTACTTTGCTCTCGATCTCGTAAGCTCTTATACATACATACATATATATATATTTATATATGCGTGTATGCACGTATATATATACACTATTTTCTTTATTTGACAGACACTATTCCCCAGCCCATTTTCTACCAAAACCCCCATCCTTCGTGCACGCAACCGAGACATTCGTTCGTTCTTACTTCCACTATACAACACGGGTAAATTTTGACACACAAGGACAGAACGTGCATACATCAAATGCAAGCAGTTTTTAAATTCTATTCTGTCCTGTTCTCGTTTGTCCAACGTATGCACATCTTGAAACGAATCTGTAAATTTGTAATTCCATTTGTATTTTTAACTTTCTATTCCCGTTTAATAGGGATGCGCAGATAATCGAACGTGGGTACCTGAACTGAGATACGATTCCGAATCGAGATACCAATCGAGTAACTCGATTGCGATCTGATCAGGTCGGTGAAAAAATCGAACCCGGTCGAACCTTGAGAATTTATTTTAGAAATTTAGAAATTTCAAATTTGGAAGTCGACCGATGCTAGAATGCGATCCCAGTTGATTTTTACCGACCTGACCGAAAATAATCGAGCTAATCGAGGGAGTACGTTTCGGATGTTCATCCGAATCTGCCGCGCTTTTTTGGTTCGATCCGAACCAAGCCCAAAATGTCGGGTACCATCACATCCCTATATCGTTTAGCATTCGTACACGCGCCATTAGTATTCTGTTTTTAACGTAACCCTTTCGGCAAAAGGATCACGCTCTGTATTTCGATCATTTCCTTCGGTAATTTGTTCCTCCGTGTCATTTTAACTTTCATGCTCACCACGTTTGCTCGTCGTTTCTCTCACACACGCATACGAATGTGCACACTGCACACACACACATACACACCCACTCACTCATTCACCCCTCAACTAGCAATGTCTTTCTTCAGTTCTAGTTCTGCCTGTGCTTCTAAAGTCGAGACTTTCGGTGGCCTATTTTTCTTTTACTTTTTGCAAGGGAGACCACCGTCGGCGTTTGCATCGTATCGTATCTTTTTTTTTCTTTTGTTATTTTTACGATGCAACGCGGTTCGAATAAGATTCAATGGAAGTGTGTGTTATCTACAAAATATCTTAATTACTCGCTAATTACAGCACAAAACATGCAAATATAAAAATTTGCATTATATTATCGTTAATATTTATATATATAATCGTCACCCTATATTATCATTCCACATCGCACCATTTTAGGTTCGTCAAACAGATTTTTTAGTTTTGTTTCAATCGTCATTTCATTTCATTTCATTTCATTTTTTTGTTTTAATATATTATTATGCTGCTAATCATTTGTTTTTTTTCTTTCTCTCTCTGTCATCGTTTCAACATCTTTGTTTTCTCCCTCTCTTCTCCCTCTACCCTCTCCAACACTATCACTACCCCTCTATTCTCTCTCCTGAACGTTATATCTCTTTTCTTCAGCAGTCCTTTTCTTCATTAACTATGAAATATCTTACACTATCGATATTATTCCAATTCACGAAGTAGGAAAGGTACACTCGACAGGTACGACGGTCGTGTCGCAGCATACCTTAACTCGCTAACACCGATAATTAACTTTCTTATACTTCTCCGGTTTACTCGATATAAAACTACAACCACACTGCGATGGCGTCATATATCGACACTTTGTTCCTTCTCCGCACTCTAATCCCGCGTTTTTTCTTCTTCTCTTGCTGTGCTCTCGTTGCTAATATATCATCTCTTTCTGTTTCCTTTCTCTCTCCCTCTCGCTCGCTCGTTCGCTCTCTATCTCTCTCTCTTTCTCGCGCGCGCGCTCACCCGCACTCGTTCTACTTTTCTACATATCGGTCTCTCTTGTATTCTCTACCGAATAGCAGCTCGTATTAGCTGTCTGTCTCGTTTAAAAAAGAAAAAAGATCATTTTGCACAAGGGGGCTAAACAAACAAACACCCGCGGATCAAAAAGGAAATACCGTCTTAACAAAGTTACGTGCCCCTGGAACACTGGAACAATACACGAGCAACGATCGCAGCCACCTGCTGATCCAATATTTGACTCATCACCAAGGCGAGTAATCGTGATTCGTGCTGTAACAGCAGAGTTCTGTTATCAGGATGCCTGGCGAGGTTAAGCAGCGTGCCGGCGGCGCGTCGCAGCATATCCAAGCTGGTGCCCATCGATTCAGGGTTATCGCGCAATGCGGCCAATCCGTGCTGATTCGCTACACCCAACGCGCTCGATTCCGCTTGCTCGATGAATGCCACCAACAGAGCCACGCACGGCGTTTGCAGAGCGATCGTACGGGCTACGCCACTGTCCGCCGCGGACAAGAAGTGCAGTAGATTCACGCCAAATTCGCGTAGCACTTGCTCCTCGCTTCGACAAAGTAACCTGGTGAGTACGGAGCAAAGTCTCTGTAGTCTCGAGTAGGGAGGCGTTGCAACGACCAAGTCCACGTTGCATTCCGTCACGCAAAGCTTGCATAAAGCCTCCAGCGCTAATCTTTGCGGCGACAAAGAAGAGTTAGGTCCAACCGTTGGGAAAGGATCTTGACCATGCGCGGCTGGGCATACCGCCCAATGTAATAAACCGTCCAGAACCGGCCGGGATATTTCTTCCGGATGTTGACTTAGATCCATGTGTCCGGCTATGTTCGCTGCCATCACAAGCACATTTTCTCTTATGTGATGCAAGAAATCCCACCACCATTCACTTTCGCCTTGCAAGCTACTGCAAGAATCGGCGAAATCTGCGTCCTCCTCTCGGTCGTAATTGCGGGTTTTTTGTGTCCTGACTGGATGCTCGTGGTGTAGCAACAACAGTTTCCCAAGAAGACTTAAAAATGTTATGTTCTTCGCGAACTCGGCTTCGTTGCCTGGGATAAACGTGAGATTCCTTAAAATAGTAGACAAACAAACGCAACGTCGAGCCAGGTTATCTTGCGTCTCTGTAACGAGATACAAACTCGCCTCGTCCCTTGAGTAACTTTCGTCCTCGTAATCGCTTACCCGTCTTCTTTTCAACGTTCCTGCCGGATCTCTTATGTTTAATCTTGGTCCCTCCTTATTATCGTCATTCGTTACTGGCTCTTGCTCCTCGTTCTCCACTTTAATTTCGACCTTCTCTAACTCGATGTTAGTCCCTGACTCGCTCAGCCCGTTTTGTGTCGGAACAACTTCTTCTTCAGATTTCTGTACATCCGCGAAGTGCTCGCCCACGTTATTGTTTACTTTCGCTTCTATCTCGCACTCCTTCTTGAATCCGTCGTTTTTCTTCTCGAACAGTTCCCTCGTAAGATCGTTCATCTCTACCGGTTCCTTTTTAATCCTCGATAAAACATCGCTTAAGGTCTTCGTCTTTTTCTTTTTGTCTAACTGCTTTTTCTCGTTGTTGGTTTCTTTTGGTTTTTCGTCTGTTTGTTCGGCAGTTTTATGCGGAAACTCGGATGCTTCTAGGGTACCAGGCTCTGCTTTGGTTTCATCCTTTGAATCCGTGCATTCTACTTCCTTCTGAAGTAAAGGTGGTTTTTCGTCTCTGAGAAGACGGGCGAACGGTACTGATCCTATTTCGGACTGAAAACAAGTGACGATGTACTTGGTGGTGGCGCTGTCGACCTGCCAAGGTTCAGTTTCTGGCTCGCAGTCTTGATGATCCCAACTCCTCCGTGTGTCTAGCACGAACAAGTCGTCGTCTCTTGGAACGATTTTTACCGGACGACCACGTCTCGATAAAAACGTATAGTTTGCCGATGAAAGTAATTTGGTTCGATCTTCGGGATCAACGGGACGAGTCACGGCGCCAAGATCAACTTCGGGACCATCCGCCGCTTGATTCCAAATTCGGTCGTCCTCGTTCACCGATGATTCGAACATATCGGACAAAGAACGTGAAAAATGTTCCAGCAAAACATCCAACAGCCCGGGCAAGTGCGCCAACCCAAAATAACTTACCTGCAGAATCGTTTATTACCTTTAATAACTTACGTTGATTGATCTTTATAAATTAAGAAGATTATCAAAGAACCCGAAACTCACAGAAGAATCATCGAATAATAAAATGTTTAGTACGTCAAGAGCCCAGCAGCTTTCAGCCAATAAACCTGATCGCAACGCCATCATGATGCGCCAAGCTTCCACGGGAGCAACGTCGGTGCGTGTAAGTTTCCGCCGTTTGTAAAGAAGCGGAGTTACCGCTTCCACGCTGTCAGGAGGGAATGTCATTTCTCTTTTCGAAGTAGGTTGTTGGCTAATCATAGGATTTATTCCAAGTTGATTCTGTAAATAAACATGTCGATGTAACTTTCTGTAAATAAACGTTCTAAGTAAACTTGGGAGTAGAAAGAACTACCTGGTGATTCCCAGGTGCAGGATAAAGAGGAGATGGTTGATTCGCGTAACGATGATCCCACGGTGGAGGAGCATGCGCTATAGCGTTCAATGTTGGTTGAGGCGTTGCTCTATTTGGTTGTTGACTACCCCACTGTTGACTACTAGCAAGTGCGGATGAAGATGTGGAGGAAGCAGACGGCGGCGTTGGTTGCTGTGCCTGTTGCTGTTGCTGCGGTGTTTGGGATTGTGGCTGCTGAGTTGGATATTGAACCCTATTATTTCCACTATTACTATTGTATTGATTAGTTGTATTTGGCCATCCTGTAACGAATTAAATATTTGATACTTCTATTAAGTATCCGAAGAAAAGAGGTACTTGAATCAGTGGATTTGTACAGCATTAATTTACCTGGATACGCTGGTCGTTGTTGATTATATTGAGGATACTGTTGATCTTTGGCAAAATCAGGATGACGTCTAGGTGGGTTTGGACCTGGAGGTGGTGGTGGCATGTTTTTATTTCCACTCGTACCACCTGAATATATCTGTGTCCCTCCAGGAGCTCCGTATCCACCCTTTAACATGGATTGAGATATTTAGTTGAACGATATAATGAAAAAACCTTCAATAAAAAGTAAATACGTCACCTGTTCCTGTCGATAATAGTCTTGGGGGCAAGAATAGGACGAAGCAGCAGAAGGTTGCGAAGGTGAAGAAGGCTGGCTAGTCGCCGCTTGTTGAGGTACAGTAGCTGGATGTGCTTGTGGCGTAGATGGATAGCTGTTACTTCTTGCATTAGGTGGAGTTCCTGCTGGATAATTTGCGGGTTGCTGACTACTGCTATATCTATTATATAAATCCTGTCCACTAGCATTGTTTGGTGGCATATTTCCGCCGGGGTATCCTCTATAAAATCCTTCAAATTAATCTCCATATCTTTTTAAATAAATTAATTAGTGTTCTTTTTTATTTCTAACCTATCAACATCCGGTACGTAAGGTGAATAATGTGATCTCGGCGAATAAGGTTGATTAAATTCTCCTTGTTGGGATAATGTGTTTCCTTGGGGTCGAATATACTGATCCTGAGGGTAATTTTGGTAGGAACCTGTATTCTGGTAACTGCCTTGTTGCATGCCTTAAATATAAACAGGTTTTTTGTTCCAAAAAAGGGAGTTGAAAAATGTAATAGTGATCAGTAAGCGGTGAGAAAAATAAAGTTTATTACAAATCATGAAAGGAAATAACGAAGAGAGAAATACCTGGGGCTCGTAATTGACCAGGGTAGGGCGTTGCGTTCGACTTGCGAGAAAAGTGTCCAAAAGCGTCGTCGAACAGATTCGATATGTTTACTGCATTATTCTGCCCGCCCTGGTTCAAACCACCTGCCAGAATATATTCTCTCAACCTCACTTCCTTTTACATTTACCAATTGATATTTTAATATATACATTCTGTTAACACTATATTATATTTACTAAAAAGATCTTAACTGTCATGATAAAAATTATAAACAGTATTTACCTTGATGAGGCGAAGGAGCGCTACTCTGGCTAGGTGGCCTGGGTGGAGGAGGTGTATAGTCTGATGAAGGTCCTCCAGGTGTACCACCCGTGTAACCGCTCTGATAGCTTCCATAACCATCCATGGAAGCATTACTCGATCCAGCAGCAGGGAAGGAATCTTGTGAATTGGAAGACCCTGAACAAAAGAAAATATGTTTAATATTTTTCTATATGGAAACAGAGATAAAACAAGTATTTAGAAAATCTACCTGGTGAGGGTACGGAGGCAGTTCCTTTGGATCCTTTCTTTTTGGAACCAGCTTCAACTTGGTTTATGATAGGCTGAGGATCCACACCACCACGGTCAAAATGACATTCGTATGCCAACAAATGCTTTGTATAATGTTTCCTTAGTGTATACGCTGCACTACTGCTTGCACCGATGCCCAATAAACCAGCTATGTCTTTCCACGTTTTATTCTTTGTTACCTATAGGAAATTAACGTCAGTTCTTTCCATTAGTTTCTGATTAAACTTTTCAGTGTAAAATCCAAACAGACAAAAATCTGCACTTCGAAAACGCAAAAGAAAAAATACGTGAAAAATATACTATAGCGGCTAATCTAACAGAAATCATATACCGACTTGACAAGATAGTCACTTCTTTTCCTTTTATATACAGACTCTCTTCGATTCCTGATCATGCAAGAGTGTTAAAAATGAAACGAATAAACAACAGTACAATCGAAACGAATTACCGTTATTACATCGATATTAAAAGTTTATCTTCGTTGATTATTAGAATAATTCCATATAGCACCAAGGTTTGTAGATCAGGGAGTATTCCGTACGCGTTGAATGACAACTTTAAGAAAAGACGTGTTAAGCTTCCTTTTTTCCTCATATTTTATATAATATACAAGAAAAAGAAAACACTGATAGCAAAAAATATATGACCATGCACAATTCAGCGCACACAGAAACAAAGCGTGTTTTATGATTATACAAAAAAAAAAATAAAAAACTTCAAGAATTGTTGATACTCAAAAATGCCGAAAAAACTTGGACAACTTGATTGAACTATTGACAGAATTCTATGTATATACACATAACGTGTGTGCATATACATATGTACGAACATATACACAATATCAACAGAAAAGAAAAAAATAAATATATATGTAAACACATAGAATCAGTAAAAAAAACTACGTAAAGACACCGAGGGCTAGATGGAACTACACTGCACCTTGCATACCTCCATGAAGCCCCCCCTCTCTTTCACGTAGAGGTATAGCCGAAATAGGTCGAGGGGGTTCTTGGAGATGGTAGGACAGCTTGTAATAGGTGTTCTTCGTTCTTCCATGAAGTTAACTAATTTATCCAGCCATGTCCTTCGTTCCATTGAATCATCCATTTCATACAGCTTAGCTAAGCTATCTGGTTTCTGAAATTGTTATTACAAGATTTGTTAATTTTCTTCATAATAATCATTATTCTTCTTATCCATTGCCATATTATTTTTAAGGATATTTATGTTACATAACTCGTTGCATATTATCATAAAATAATGAACTACTTATAGGTGTTATTTAATGAAATTGTAGACATGCAAAATTTTTAAATATTCTTTCTTAAACATTAATTAAATGTCCAACACATGCACAACATGCTGTTACATCAAGTAAACTAATTTCAGTATCAATGTTTAAAAAAATAAGAAAGTAAATGACTTAAATCTATTGCTTCTTATTCTACAAATTTACTGAAAGAATTACCCTTAAAAACAAATAACTTCTCAATAATTATATCGTTAATATACTTTTTAAGGATGATACATGAATGAAAAAAAAAGAAACTAAAAAATATAGAAATTCATCTCAATTAAAGTTGAAGCTTTTTGAACAAAAGTGAATGTAACTGTATAAGTATACTTATAGTAAATAAACAGTAACCTTAGATCTGTACGGGTCTTGAGGCACATGACTGTTAAATACCTGTAAAATATATTAAATATAGAAATAGATTATGCTATAAAATAATTAACCCGAATTGCATATTACGTTTACAATATTTAAAGCAGAAACATTAAATATGTATGTAGAGATATAAATATACATACGAAATAATAAACGAATATGTCAGATTCCTAAAAATTGTGAGTGAAAAAAAATACATACAGGACTAGCAGGAGTACGCGGCCAACCAGGACTATTCATATCGGGATATTCTTCGTGTATCGAATTAATACTCGCAGCTCCAGGTGATGGAACTGTACTCTGTGGAGTAGTTGGATGACTATGATACCCTCCCATCATTTCTTTCCGGGCCTTTGGTGTAAATGCTGGATCTTCTCCAGAAGCTGCACAAAAACAATATAATGTATTCCTCACAAAATCATAACAATATTGTACACTAACCTGCTGATGCGTTTGATAACGTAGACTGCTGAGAACCTTCGTCTAAAGATGTACCGTCAGGACCAGTTGTTATTACCGATGTAACAGTACCACTCGAAGTAGATGTAACGTTTATCGCTGATGTACCTGCACAAACAACATTTTTGTTATATTAATTTTCAAGAAATATTATTACTTTCATTGCAGAAGTTACGTAATGACATCGATATTATACATTAAGAAATAGAAATACCTGAAGCAGTAGTAGTTATTCCACTGTCATTTGAAGTTTCAGTAAGATCTGCAGAACTGTGACTGGTTGGTGTTGGTACCGAAGTGGGATGCGAATTAGGAGTAGTACTTGGTGGCGGCATGGGACTTCCTTCGTGATTAAGAGGTGGTGTAGCCGAAGGAGTGTGCAAATGTGGCACAGCCGAGCTTGTTGGTGGTGGTTGACTGCTGACATGATTTGGCGATGGTGGCGGAGGGCCCATAGAACTTGCCGGTGGGCCCATGTTACCGATTACAGTCACTCCAGGAGTACCTGGTGGTACCATACCTGCTGTACTACTACCTCCATACACTTGAGGTGGTCCAGGGCTAGGTGGCATTCCAGGTGGTACACTGTTAAATCCCATTTTATGCTAGAGAAAAAATACAGATTTACATGAGTAAAAGATACGAAACTATTTCATTGTTTTATAATCATTTTTAAAGCTTACCGTGTATGGGGGATATTGCACCAAATTATTAGGTCTATTAGGAGCCTGATATTGATTGTTAGGCGGTGGTTGCGAATTGGCTGGCGACGGATATCCTTGTGGAAATTGTACATGTGGGCGTGGAGGAGGATAGGTCGTTTGCGCGTGATAACCCCCAGGCTGACCGGCAGCCGTTCCACCAGCTGCATATCCCATTCCACCACCCATTGGGTTGATTCCACCAAGACTTGCTGAACCAGGCCCTGGTTGAACAACCCCAGGACCAGTGTTATTCATTTTGTAACTGTGCATATGTGGTGAAGGACCCAATGGCTGCTGGTATGCTCCTAAAAATATAAGCAATTTCCATTCTTAATGTTTTTCCTAACAGAAAAATCTTGTTTCTTAATTAATTAATATTTTAAATCTACCTTGAGTTGTCATAGGAGAGTGACTCATTCGTGCTGGTCCACTACCATCTGATTGGCTACTTGACGGACGTGGAGGCATCTGAACGTTTTGTTGACCTGTATAAGAACATACACAGTCAATATCATATAGCTGTGATTATTATAAATTCCATTACAGAATCATCTACAATATAAAGAAATCACAATGATTGTACTTGTTACATTATTTTTATAACTAAGACATGAAATAAAATGAGGTCATAAAGTACACAAACCGACAGCAGGGGACATCGAGCGAGAACCTGTAGATCCGGTAGGAGAAGGGGTTGGTCTCATCCCCTGTGAATTTGGTGTCCCTGGGCAAGCAGGTCCATTCGAACTATCGTTGCTGTTTTGTCCTGACAATTCCTGAAATATATTATAAAAATATTTGTTAAAACTAGGACACATTTTACATGAAAACTTTCATTTAAGTATGTCTGTAATAAAAACAAAGATGTATCAAGAATTGAATCGTTTAATACTTCATTTTTTGCATCGCTTTTCAATAAATTTTCCCAGGTACATATTGCTAACACAGGTATCAAAATAAAACGTCTTTACCAACACCAGAAAAATTCATGATTAGAAATAATCACTCGAAGAGCACACTTTTCAAAACGCAACGCTCACGAGCAATTCAAACGTAATACTGAATTCCTTGTCATATTTTAATCGTAGGAAAATCGGGATATACGCTACACGCGGCATTCACTACTAGTCGTACGATGCAACATAACACGTCATACACACGCACATGTTTCAACGATATTCTTTTGCATGTGCATACGTGCGTATTTATGTGTATATATACATGTATATATATAAAATATACACGCGCACACATACACGCGCGCGCAACACTTCGCACAGGTCGTCACAATGATACATTAAGAGAGCGCGCGGTTACACTAAAAAAAAGAGGGGAGAAAGAGAAAGAGCGAGAGAGCAAGAGAGAGACACATATGGATAGGCAAAAGATAAACGAATAAACGTATAGACAAGAGAAAGAAAGGGACGGAGAGAGAAAGATTGAGAAAGAGAAAGAAAAAGGTTCATCGTTACACCTACCAAACAGTGGACAGTTGATCCGTACAGAAGACGATTAAAGACTTCCTCGGATGTATCACAGAACGTATAGTATATACTGTGTCGAACACAAGAACTCGCGGCATGACGCGAGATTCAGAGAGGCGTTACCCCGCACACTACGACAAAACCCACCATAGATACATATATTCCTCGTACGATTTTCACATGTTTACGGGAATCTCGTGTAACGACGATACACCATATTTGATCATGTGTAATTAACAGAATAGGTGGTTTGGTACACCCACATGAAAACGAGCATAATCCTGTCTATCGCTATAGAACTGCTGGTTCACCGTGTGCTTCGTTCAACCATCGCATGTTGTGTCAATAACTCTAAGTGTTTCGTACCGAAGGAACAATCCTTTGATACAATTCGAAATTGCTACCTTCGATCGTCAAGATTGCGAATTTAATAGGTTAGAATCGTAGCGTTGATCGTCTACGTACGTGTACGTGGCCAAGAGTAACTAAAAACGTGATTCTTTTTATCGAGTGTTCCGTGACTTCGGTTTACAGATTTCGCGTCTAGCTGCTCGTTGGAGGGCGTTCTTTCGTGGCGCGGCAAGCGTTCGGTAACCGTCGGCTATTTCCGTCGCTCTTCGCCGAAGAGTACTCGTGTGCTCCAAAAACCCCGAGAGAGAATATGAGAAAGAATACTTTAAAGTTAAACTATGAGGGTAAACGATTTTTTCCCCGTTTAATAACATCGATCAAAGAAAAATATAATGTATAGATTAAATTTAATTTCCGAATATTTATTCGTATCAACAGCTTTTCATTCAAATCGCGGTCAAATAAAATTTTATTGTAAAATAGGATTTGTAGAATATTTAGTGGTCACTAAACACTTGTAACAGTTGTTATTCTACTAACACTTTTTTTCACTCGTACATAAAAATGTATACGACAAGTATGGTAAGCTTGTCTATGGAAAATAACAGTCTAGGAGAAAAAGTCTGATCATTCTGGTTCATGGTCGGCAAACTTTCAACTTTGAAACTCTGGGGTTTGGAGACTTAGGAATATGAGGATTTGAAAATTTATAATTTTCATGCTTGATCTCTCAAAATCAACCGTCAATGGTAAAAAACATCTTGATCAAATTGAATGTGATAAATTAATGCAAAAAGATGTAAAATAAAATAGTGTAAGTAAATATTTATTTGTTAATTTATACGAAAATTCATTTCTTCGCTTACAACATAAAATTCTAACTTGAAGTAAGGAAATGATCTATGTGCGTTTAAAAAATGTAACATTACGTATCAACAAAATGTTCGATTCGTAAATAAATCTCATTTATTATGAATAAACGATAAATGAAATAAACTATTCGATGAACGTTTAAAATATTCGCCGCTTTCCAGCAGCGTCAGGGGAATACGAGAAGCTCGATAGCATGTCGCAGAGTGACAGTTGCATGATCTAACGAACCGAATATAGCTGAACGATGTAAAATGTCGGTAGTGGGGAGAACTACCTCGGATACTGAGTTTCCTCCCCTCCAAAACCAATTTGAGCGAATCGCACATTCGCTCTTTGCTTACTTCTGTACTCAGGTAACCTATGTTACACATGGATCTTTCGCTAACCCGCCCATCTATATTGGAAGAAGCGAGAGGGATTGAATATACCGACGAAGAGATGTATGTTACATATACACGTATGAATGCATGTATTTGAAACCGATAGAGTGAGAGAGTGAGAGAATAGGCGAATGAGCAAGACAGAGTAGGAGAGACTGAGAGAAGGGAGGAGAAGGGGTAGTCGCTAATATCTGGGGCTCCAGCGGCCGCGCAACTCGCGCCCTAATCGAACTCTACAAGTCACTTATTCTCCATCCCCACTACCCACATCCTGCCCCTCCTACAGTAGGCAACCCATACTTGAGAGGTCTCCCTTTCGCTCACTCATGCTTGCTCTTTTCACGAGAGAAGTATCGAAGTACCTACTACGTCCACTGTATCCAAGATCAAATGGCACTTTATGCACTACGAAATTACAACTGCTTTGTGGCGTCGATTAATGTTGCGTATAAAACCTAACCTTCTATCTCCGTTTGTAAATTTTCAGCAAATCAAATTAAACCGATTGCAACGCGAAATGGTTGTAACATATGTACACACGTGCTTTATAATTACAACCAAAATATGTCTACATCGGTTTTAAACGGATTTTTAAAAAGCACTTTTACATATTATCATTTTATGCAATACATATTTACAAGTCAAATATCTACAAAAAAAAAGCGTTAATTTAAGCCCTGTAATTAATATCCCAGTACTACTGATAAATGTGAAGGTACACCACTGACATGTATCAAACTGTGGTCAAAAGTATAAAACATAAAATTTTAATACTTACCCCTGAATCGATTCCTTGAGTATTTGGTGTTGTTGACCGTTGCTGCAGATTATGGAAACTCTGTAAATAAAATAAACAACAATAAAATACATAACTTGTAAATATAAAAAGTAGTTTGTTTTTGTTATTACAAATTTAACCTCTTAAAAATATTGTATACAATAATTACAAAATTTTTTATCTGTTGTACAAAATATAGAAAATTACAGAATGATACAAATGTACATACAAAGTTACAAATTAGTAAATAAACAGTAAAAAAACACAAAAATTTCATTCTATAACTCTATCTCACATTCTATATACAATTAGTTACTCTCCTGTAAATTTAAAACTTTTAACTTTCTGATTTGAAGTTTAATATCTATTTTTAAAAAATCAACTTATTACATAGAAATAAAAAGATTGGTAACATTTATTATTATTCTAAAGTGTCATAAATAAATTTCATAGAACTTTTTTATTTGTATGCAAACATTTCTGTGAAATTTTGTTAAATATTATCAATGGTAAAAGTACATCCTTGGTATTATGTATAATTCACAATTAATAATACTTCTCTATTTGTTTGTCATGTCTTTTTAATATGTCATTTAAGACAACAAACAAAGCTTTGAGAATAAAAATTAAAAGATACTGTATACTTATAAAAGACTGCAATTTACTTGAGATTGGCCAGTCGATTGTGGTTGTGGTGATGCCGAAGGTGGTGGTGCTGGAGATTGAGAAAGAGCACGCTGTGGCGATTGACTGGAAGGATTAGCTTGATTAGACGGAGGTGGTGGTGGATTCGGAGGTCCACCTTGATTCCAACCCCTCTGTTCTGTGTATAAACTAGAAGGGTGGCTGGTTTGTGTAGTGTATGAATTTAGCTGAAAGATATAAAAAATTAATTAATATTTCTATAATGTTACCAATAATTTTTTAAATATATAAATGTGTGTGTGTATATATACTTGATGATGACTATACGGTGCATGAGGTCTTGTCGGAGAAGAATAACGTTGCGTATATTGTTGATATGGCATAGGAGTTGGAGAACTTGGTCCTCCAGGCCCTGCATGTAATCTTGGTGAACCCTGTTTGTAACGTAACATACATTCAATTACAAAAATAGTTACAAAACATTAAAGGTTACATGTGGTACAAAATAAAAATATACAGGCTAAACTACAAACACAAATTGTAAACTATAATAAAACAATACTTTTAAATAATTATGTTAAAAATTTATTTTATTAAAGCACACTGTCACAGTTACATCAACAAAATTATTTTAATTACCGTCTGTGGAGGTCGTTGGCCAGGTTGTGGATAAACTGGAGGGACAACCGGAGGTCGTTGAATGGGCCAAGGTTGTTGATAAGGTTCTGGTCCCATTCCAGGATAGTTCCCATGGAACCGATGTACAGGTGTCGATGCTTGAAGTAACTGGTTTAACGTAGGCGTTGGTCCAGTAGCTTGCGATATACTTTGTCCTGATAAAAACCTTGGCTGCCCCGGAAAACTACTTGGTGTAGCCCCTACATATGCCAGCCGTGACTCAATCTTGGAGGCTGCATAATGTTCTTCCATTTCTGCCCGATGAACTCTTTCGCTTTCATGTATCAAGTGTTTACTATGATAATCCAACTGTTTTCCTGGAAAGTCTCCATGCTTTCCCACATACTCTGGTACTTGCTTGCCTGGATAATCGGTCAACGACTTGGAGGGAAATTCGTTTGATTTGTTGGTATACTCCTCCGAATAATCACGTATAACATTCGACGTGAACGGATGTCCGGGATGGTTTGGATGCCCGGGTGCATCGAGGGGCTCTTGTTTGCCGACAGATTCTTGAGGAGCTTGACCAGCCTCTCTGGGTGATTTGACTTCACCGGTAGTGTGTCCACCAATGTCCTCGCGGTATTGACTCATCTCGAAACCCGTGTCCCCGCCGCGATTCACATATTTAAGCAGCTGGGCCGCGCCCCGGGGCACTTTATCACCCGGCTCTGGATCCAGCTGCTGCTTCGTATTAACACTCGCACTATTCCCACCGACTTGCGGACGTTTCTGTGCGCATTTCACGGACTCGTTCAGCTTCACATCGTTTTGTTGGCTCTCGGCTTGCGTCGCAGCCATGTTCTCTCCTCACGGAGCCATCGTCGTCTCATAAACTAGCCAATCGCGGGACCTCGTGTGTCTCGCGTACTATGTACTCGAAATTGGAATTCTTTTTAATTGAATCTCTTCTACTGAACTTAACTCTTCCCACCACATCCTCAGTTAAACTATCCAGGACTAAGCACCGTACCAACAATTTTTACTTCCTACCGTTTTCAAAGTAGAAGGAACCAAAAAAAACTCGTACACGAACGTCAAAAGCAGCGTCGCATCTATTATGCCATCTTGCGGCTACATTACTAACAAATAGGGTTCAGCCCCGGTTTCCAATCGGCGACACAGCCTAGTGTTGGGATGATTATATTTCTAAATAAATGTTTTGCAATATATACATGAACCTAGAAATATAGGGACAAAGTATATTCTTCGGTGGGGAAAACCATTGTAAAACAAAGCGATCAAGGTAAACTGATACTCAATTTTAATTGGCCATTATTTAGCACTGTTTCAAAGTGAAAATATATATGTATACAATTTCTAAATTTGAAAATTTGAATACGTTTAAGTCTTCAAAATAGAATATTTGCAAATCTGTTAATTCAAAATTTCTAAGACTTTAAATTTCTAAAATACTGTATACCTGTAGAAACATGACTCACTTGTTTTGTGTTAATTTAAAAATCTGTACTAATAAATGATTTCTTAATTCTAGGAGTTTTCATAATTGGCGGCACACAACATGCGCAGAAAAGCATACAATTAAATTTTATTCGTTCTTATCGTCGATAATCCCATAGATCTATGGTCAAGTCAAGCTTAAATTTGATCCTTATATTCCTAGATCCATGATTGTATATGTTCCATTCGCTTGTGTATATATAACATCTAAATTATGCAAATAAACACATGTTCCACAAAATATGATTGTTTAGGATGAATTTATTTGCTACAATTTATATGTGTATATGTTTTGATACAAATTATTTGAATAAACCAATTTGTATAATTAAACGTTTAATATATACATAAATAAATTTAAAAGAGAGTTGCAAAGTTCATAAAAACGATAATTTTAAAGAAATCTATAATTATTTATATTTTCCTTTTCACTATTTATGTTATCTGTAAAGAATAACAATGAAAAGCAAAATATTAATGAAAAAAGTAGACAACTTATTGCAAGAACTATGTACGTATTTTTATAACATACATTAATTGTGAAAAAATTTTTGCATGCTATTCACGTAATTGTAAAAGAGATGCATTATTTTTTTTCGTTTTAATGTCATTAATTGCCACCCAAAATGTGTTATATGTTGTACATGCAAACAATAAATGAGTGAAAGTATGGCGCTTATTATGATTTACTGTCGTCGATAGGTGACAATGTTTTAACATTAATCATAACAAACTTGATGCGGACGTGAAAGATTTTGATAAGAATAATATTGTAAATATAAAGTATGTAAGAATTAAGGTTGCGCTATTACATCCGTTTAATAATTATGCGTGTATTCTTATCGCGTACATGTGTCATTATGTACACGTCTACGTGATATCTGAATCCTACGTGGCAATGTTCATTAGTAATAATTGTTTTATACCTTGATGCCATTGTGTTGATATGCGAGCGCTACGTATGTAACTGTACATATTTATTAAAGCTTTAAATAACAAATTGCATTTAACAAATAATTACTACATAAATGTGTATTCAATTTTGAAGTGTCATATTTTTAACATAAACTTGTTATATGTGAGTGTCATCATACATTTAAAAACTTATTTGTAAAAATATTGTTTAGATTCAATAGCAAGTACCACACATTAAGTTGTATATAAACAGTAATATCAATAATGTTTCAAATAATCTATTTAATAGTGTTATATTTTCATCTGTTAATTTTTTAAATATTTTTCAGAAGAAAATTTCAGTTTTAATCTATGTTAAAACACATTTAAATTGAATTGTTAGTGGGTAATGCAATCAAAAAAAAAGAAATTGGGAACAATGAGAGCTGTAATTCTTGTTGGTGGATATGGTACTAGATTAAGACCGCTTACATTAAGTCGACCTAAGCCATTGGTTGAATTCGCTAACAAACCGATGCTGTTACATCAGATAGAAGCTTTGGTATGACATATTGTTGCTGTAGTAAACTTGATAAAAATTATTTATTATAATCTTTAATTTCAGGTAGAGACAAATGTAAAAGAAGTAATATTAGCTGTATCTTATCGTGCAGAAGAGATGGAAAAAGATTTGGGTGAAGAAGCTAAAAAGTTAGGAGTACGTTTAATTTTTTCACATGAGCCAGAACCTCTGGGTACTGCAGGACCACTTGCACTTGTACATGATCTTTTGTGTTCAGGGGATGAACCATTCTTTGTATTAAATTCTGATATCATTTGTGATTTTCCATTCAGGCAGTTATTAGAATTTCATAAAAGTCATGGTAAAGAAGGTACCATAATTGTTACTAAAGTAGAAGAACCATCGAAATATGGTGTGGTCGTTTATAAAGATGATGGGAAGATAGAAAGCTTTGTAGAAAAGCCACAAGAATTTATCTCCAATAAAATTAATGCAGGTATTCCCTTCTTAATACAAAACTACAAAATTTATAGTTTTTCAAATGTTGTGTTTCTTTATACCAATTAAGAATCTTGCAGGTATGTATATTTTTAACCCAAGTATCTTAAAAAGAATACAGCTGAAGCCTACAAGTATAGAGAAAGAGGTCTTCCCACATATGGCAAGGGATGGAGAATTATTTGCAATGGAATTAACAGGATTTTGGATGGATGTAGGACAACCAAAAGATTTTCTCAAAGGTACAGATTCATTTCTTTAACATATTTAATGTGTAATAAGTAACTAACATCATCCAAATATAATTCTTCACATTTTAACAGGGATGAGTATGTACTTAACATCTTTAAGACAGAAATCCCCTGAAAAGTTACACTCTGGTCCAGGCATTGTAGGAAACGTTTTGATAGATGAAACAGCAACAATTGGGAAAGATTGTAGAATTGGACCTAATGTTACAATTGGTCCTGGTGTGGTATTATCTGATGGGTGTTGTATCAAACGGAGCACTATTCTTAAAGCAGCTGTAATAAAAGAGCATGCTTGGCTAGATGGGTAAATTTCAAAGCAATACTTCTAGAATTATTATAAGTTAACATTTAATAATGTATATACATTTATATAATATAACATAATGCATGATTGCAGATGCATCGTGGGTTGGAGAAGTGTTGTAGGTCGTTGGGTACGCATGGAAGGCATAACGGTTCTCGGTGAAGATGTAATTGTTAAAGACGAATTGTACATCAACGGAGGTCAAGTTTTACCTCACAAAAATATTTCCAGTTCAGTGCCAGAGCCGCAAATAATTATGTGACTAAAGACAATATTTCTTAATGTACTCGTTGAACATAATCGACGATCAAATTGGGAAACTTCCTACAAACAAAAAAGTTTCTATCAGCTTCATTAGATACATGTAAATTAATGTTGACTATACATTTATTTGTATCATTTTTATATTTACTATTTAAATAAGCTTTATTGGTAGTCCTCGTACTACTATAGCAGCTGCAGTCATGTATTGAGAACAGACATCTTTGGATTTTGCTACTGCCCTCAACATCTCAGGTTCTACAGGCACGTTCTGAGTGCTTTTTTGCGTATTTTTTAAAAATTCTGATCATGAAAATTGAAAGAAACATTAATTACTAATAAAAGTAATCGAAAGATAAAGAAAATACAAATACTTTTGTGATTCTTTATACTAACTTAAAGTACCCGCACACCACATATTGATATCTACATCGGCCCATGGTCTATTCAACGGTGATGGAATCCAGTTACTAATAAAATTTGTAGTCATCTTATCGATATCTGCATCAGTAACTTCCCACAACATACCAAGCACGCATGGACTAAAAACAAAATATAAAATATTTAGTATGTACTCGTTTGTAATTCATAAAAGTTTACATTTTACCTGCTAGCTATCAAGTATTGATTCGAAATGCCATATGGAGGATAACGTCCTCCTACTGTAAGTAATTTTACGCTACTACAGCCGAATAATAGAACAATTGATTTTACTCTAAGCCTTTCAATTTGCTCTCCTGATAAATATTGTATTCCATTACCGTGACCATTATACCTAAAGAAATAATATACATTTGACAATAAAGAAATAATTAAATGATAACGTAAAATAATCTTACATTAATATGTCATGATTAATCAATGCATCTTCAAAAACATCTTCTTGAGGTTCTACATTGTACGAGCTTTTCCAATGTGGTAGCCAATAATCAATGAACAATCTCATACGTTTTTCCATTTTAGTTAAATTACCTGATGGATTAACTATACACGTACCCATATCACTTTTGGCTTTAATTATTTTGCAACCATTTTCCATTGTACTTTCATGTTCTTTAAATAAAGCATATGCAATGTGCAGTGACGGAAAGCGAGTAGCGGGATGACATTTTAATATTTCCATAGATTCAAAAGGTATATAATCCATATGCTGAAAGATATAAAGAGATACAGTATAATCGTAACTATATAATATTTTCATTTACAACAAGCCAGATTACAAACTTCGTCAACGATCAAAACTAATGTTTTCCTAACTGCATCCTTCAATTCTTCTATACAAGGTAATTTTCCATAAATAGATAATATAATATTGCTTGCAAGTCTGTCATTATTAGGAAGCACATATTTCACTGCACGAGCTATTTCTTCTCTCGATAGAAAACACGCTGCTAGCGCAATTTTTTTTAGCAGCCATATAGACCTTTTTGATACGTTTTTGCTGTTGTACATACATGAAAAAATAGGTTGATTAAATATATGAAAGAATTGTTAATTTAATATTATACTCACGACGATCTACTGCCAGATATTAGTTTATCTATCATTTGTAAAATATCCATCACTACATCATGTTTGTTTATTGGATCTGCCATAAATAAAACTCTCCATTCTCGTAACCATGCATATTCTAATGTTTGTATAGCAGTCTTAAACATATAATGTATGTAAAAAATATGAAATTTTATAGAAACCATACTCATTAATGTTACCAAGTACCTTCATGTTTTTGTTCTGCCTTTCTCTCATTTTCCAATATAATTCATTATTTGGATAAGTAGCTTCAAGTTCTGACCTATTATTGGAAAGTAATCTTTGAATTTCATAACAGATATCATACGAAGAATCTAATTTAGGTTTTGGTAATGTTATACATATGGGTTCTATTTCTTTAGTCCCTGTTGGTAATATGGTAAGATGTATCTCGTGCATTGTATTTGATATTTTGTTACATTCAAAGATGCTTGGAGATTTGTACTGGCCAGTAATTTGAATCATATACCATTCTATACATAAACAAAAATTCACACGAGTTTGACATTTTTTGTAACATTTAAATTATATTTTTAGCATTTTACCCTCAGGAAGATCATGGAGCATTGTCCCAAAAGTTTCAATGGCATCTGTATTATTTATGTTAAATTCAACGTAAGATGCTTTTAGTCCATACATCTGTGGTGTATTTAAAACGGACTTGCGCATCTCTGTTTTAATATATCTATGCAATATTTGTTGCCGAAGTATCACTGCATGCGACTCAATTAGGTGACATATGGCCTTGAGTTCATTGTCTGACTGCAAATTGCAAATATGAATTAATTATTTATTAAATTTTCTATTGTATTTCTTCGGTACATAGTATAATAGCAATAGAACAATACCTTTAAGTAACAAACAGCTAACATTTTATGTAAATTTGCATATTCAACGCTTCCTATATTACATTCTATATTTCTAAGTAATTTTTCAATATCTTTCCTCACATCTTCTGTAGAGTTAGTTTCAAACACATCTGATTCTTCTTCCAAACTTTTGTCATACAAATTATGTTCATGCAGAATTTCAAAGATATCATTAATATTATCACACATGATTAATTATTTGCATGATTAACGCTATTTTACATTTCTTTATAAATATGTATTTATTGTACGAAATTATTCACACAGATGGTAACTGTCTTTTCTAACGATTCAAATTCAAATCAACCTATCGCACAATTATCTGCGATACGCGTGATACCAACATAAAATACGAGCGTGGCATATATATAGACATATGTAGCATTAGATAAATATTTGTATAAAATAATTATTTTTATATGTAAATATGACTAAAAAAAATTGTTATTATAAATTAACATTTTATATATTGCATTATGCACCTACGTAAATAATAAAGTCATTTATATAACCGTCAATTGTTTAGCAGTCCTTGAAAGAAATGCGAGCATGAATTTCAAAATTTGTTATACTCATGCATTTCTTATACATTTATATTTATTGGCAGTGATCCATCGTACAACCACTGTACAACTTGGTTCATTACTGTAATTGAATTGAGTAGAGAAAGTACATGTTTGACGTAGCATTTTTCAGTATTTCATCAGTGAACTTATATTTATAAAATTAGTTATTCTAAAGGAATAAAGAGCAGTTATCGAAATGGTTGACATAAAAACCCAAGAAATCAGTGAGGAAAATGATGTTCCGCAAAAAAGTGCGAAACAGTTACAGAAAGAAGCGAAGAAGTTAGCAAAACTCGAAAAGTTTAAACAAAAGCAAGAGAAAAAGGAGACCGAAAAAGTTCCAAAAGTGAAGGAAAAGAATGAAGTACGCACGATATTGTAATAGCTAAAATTTTTCATTGTTTTCTATTTCTTATTGACCATATGGTTTTTAATTCACGGCTGTAAGAATTACTTGTTATAACATCTTATGTTTTTTGTTTTTTCAGAAAATTGAAAAGAAAAAGGAGAGTAAAGAATCTGCAGTGTACACAATAAATACACCTGCAGGAGAGAAAAAAGATGTTGCGTGTACCATGCCTGATACGTATAGTCCAAAGTATGTTGAAGCTGCATGGTATGCATGGTGGAAGAAACAAGGTTTCTTTAAACCTGAATACAGTGTATGTTCTTAAAAGAAATAATTTAAATGCATATTGAAATAGATTTGTGAAATTTTAGGATATTTTACCTTTATTATTAATTATAGAACAAAAATATATTAGAGCCAAATCCTAAAGGAAAATTTATCATGGTGATACCTCCTCCAAATGTAACTGGTTATCTTCACCTTGGTCATGCTTTAACCAATGCCGTAGAAGACGCTATTACAAGATGGTAAAATAAGATTTGAATTTTATTATGCACTACATGGAAATAATATTAAGGTTATCTTGACCTTGAAATTATAATTTAAAAGGAATCGTATGAAAGGCCGTACAACTTTATGGAATCCAGGTTGTGACCACGCAGGTATTGCTACTCAGGTTGTGGTTGAAAAAAAACTTTGGATGGAAGAAAAGAAAACACGTCACGATATAGGGAGAGAAAATTTTATAGAAAAAGTTTGGAAATGGAAAGAGGAGTAAGTTTTAATGATCTGTAAAGCTACAATTTAATATGATATATTTTTTAATGTAATAATTTAACTTTAGGAAAGGAGACAGAATTTACTTACAGCTGCAAAAACTGGGTGCTTCATGCGATTGGGATCGTGCTTGCTTTACTATGGATCCTAAGTTATGTAGAGCTGTTACAGAGGCATTTATAAGGTTACATGATGATGGTATAATTTATAGAAGCAATCGCCTAGTTAATTGGTCTTGTACATTGAAAAGTGCTATTTCTGATATTGAAGTAAGGATTTTTTAGAAAATTTTTGATTGCATATTTCCTAAGCACAGTACTTAAAATATTTATAATGGTTTTCAGGTTGATAAAGTTGAATTAACTGGTCGTACATTACTTTCAATTCCCGGATATCAAGAAAAAGTAGAATTTGGAGTTTTAGTATTATTCAATTATGAAATAGTAGGTTCTAAAGAGAAAATAACAGTAGCTACTACTCGTATTGAAACTATGTTAGGAGATACAGCTGTTGCTGTTCATCCTAAAGATGCTAGATACAACCAGTATATTGGAAAGTATGTACAACATCCGTTTTGTGATAGGAAGTTACCTATCGTAGCCGACGAATTTGTTGAAATGGAATTTGGAACAGGTAAAGAAATCTAATAATATTATTTAGTATCGCCTTCTATAACAGCTATATCATTTTAATAATATTTTTACAGGTGCCGTAAAAATAACCCCAGCTCATGATGCTAATGATTACGAGGTGGGAACAAGACATAACTTACCGTTTATCACGATTTTCGATGACAACGGGAATATTATTGGAGACTGCGGACAATTTACGGTACTTATACTTTTCATTAAAATACAATTTCTTATAATTTAAACAATTTGAGATGTTTTTATGTATAGGGAATGAAACGGTTCCATGCCAGAACAGCCATAATAAAAGAATTGAAAGCAAGAAATTTGTTAGTTGAAATTAAGGATAATCCTATGGTGGTGCCGATATGTAGCAGATCTAAAGATGTTATTGAACCATTAATGAAACCCCAATGGTAATATATTATGGTAACATTAATGTGATGATAACATAAAATAAATTGTAATATCTTATAGGTATGTAAAATGTAACGAAATGGCCGAGAAAGCAATGCATGCAGTGAAAACGGGTGAGCTGAAGATTATTCCGGATCAATATAAAAAAATTTGGTATCATTGGATGGAGAACATAAGAGATTGGTGTATTTCCCGTCAGTTATGGTGGGGTCATCGTATTCCTGCTTATTCTATTAAGACAGTGAATACATTGACGAATTTGAAGGTACTTTTTCAACATGTCACGATGAAAATTAATACACTTTAAACGCACAAATTCACTTTATTTAGCCAGACGATGATTATTGGGTAAGTGCACATTCGCAAAATGAAGCAAAAGAAAAAGCAGCTAAAAAGTTAAATACAACTGTAGATAATATTATCGCTGAACAAGATGTTGATGTATTAGATACGTGGTTTTCTTCTGGTTTATTCCCGCTATCAGTATTTGGATGGCCAGACGAGGTATAGAAATAATACTGAATCAAGTTTTTAAGCGTTATTTAGTTTATTGAAATTTGTCTAATACTACAATTATTATTTTTAGACAGATGAGTTCAAAGCATTTTATCCTGGCACACTGTTAGAAACTGGACACGATATATTATTTTTCTGGGTAGCAAGGATGGTATTCCTGGGTCAAAAGTTGACAGGAAAATTACCATTCAAGTATGTATTTATATCTATATTGGTATGATTAAACTTGTCTATTGAAATTTATACATAAAATTTCCATAGAGAAGTATATTTGCATGCTATGGTACGAGATGCACATGGAAGAAAGATGAGCAAGTCCTTAGGAAATGTCATAGATCCCATGGATGTAATTAACGGAATATCGTTGGAGGTAGGTTTCAGTTTATTGGTGTTATAATTTTGTAATAATATTTAAAATTGAAACTCTTACAGAACCTTCATAAACAACTAATGAATTCCAACTTGGATCCAAAAGAGCTTGAACGTGCTAAAGAGGGACAAAAACGTGATTATCCACAGGGCATACCCGAGTGTGGAACTGATGCTCTAAGATTTGCTCTTTGCGCTTATACAATGCAAGGTCGTGACATTAATCTTGACATCAATCGTGTACAAGGATACCGCTTCTTTTGTAACAAAATATGGAATGCAGCAAAGTTTTGTTTCACGTATTTGAATTCCAATTTAAATTGTAACGAAGACATTCAATCGGTAAAACTCACTCAAAATATTTCCAAGAGATTTAAGACTCTTATGAACCTGTACTCTCTCATTCTTTACAGCAGAATCATTACGACAACAATATAGTAGGCGACAAAGAATGGTATCATAAGACGTTGAAAGAAAGATGCGTACAGGAAGCATTAAATAATTATTTAGAAGATTACTCCTACCTCGACGGATACAGTCCATCACAAATTGATGCGAAGGCTTATCAAGCCATGATGAAATTGGATATTAATTTCATAAAATATCCCCATTTGCAACGGTGGTATAAACATATAGCGTCATTCAGTCAGCAAGAACTATCTGTACTTCGCGTAGAAGAAGGCAAAATATTACCCAACTGTGCCTGCGAAGTACTTAATCACAGTAACAGGACAAAGCAGGTATTTTAGTAAAAATAAAAATTGAGTTATATTCAGAGAGAATATATAGCTATTTTTTATTAGTTGTCAAATGAAACCAATGTCGATTTATGGATGCTCTCCCGTGTGAGTTACGCTGTGAGTACTTGCGACAAAGCTATGGCGCAATATGACTTCCAAACAGCCACCACTGCTTGCTACAACCTTTGGTTATACGATTTATGCGACATTTATTTGGTTCGTATACAATTATAAGGCAGTTGACAATCTGTACGCTGTTTATTGACTAATGTTCATTATTTTAGGAGTATTTGAAACCAATATTTCACAGTAACGATAACGAAAGAAAGTCTGCAGCAAGGAAAACTTTGTTTAGAACGCTAGATATAGGATTAAGATTGTTAAGTCCGTTTATGCCGTTTATAACAGAAGAACTTTATCAACGTTTGCCACGCGAGAAGCAGCTTTATACAAGTATTTGTATTAGTCCATATCCAGAAATTTCCGAGGTGTGTATTCTAATCTATGAAGAAAGAATATGTTTTACAAATATAGTTCAATGACTGATCATTATTTAGTGTCCTTGGAGAAACGAAGAAATAGAGAAAGATATTGATTTTGCTAACAAAGTAATAAAAAACATTCGGTCAACTCGTGCAACTTACAATTTACCAAATAAAGTAAAGACTGAAGCTTTCCTTGTATGCAGCAATGACAGTTCAAAAGAAAAACTTATGGAATATCAATTACTGATAGAAACTCTTGCTTATTCTACGCTTAGCAGTCAGAAACCACCAACAGGATGCGCTATTATTACTGTGACGGATAAAGTACAAGTACATTTACTGTTAAAGGTACGCTATTTCTACAATTAAATTATTTAGTTAATAGAAAATAATTTAATTACAATATTTATGAATGTTCAAGGGTTTAATTGATCCAAAGAAGGAGTTAGAGAAACTTTGTAAAAAGGAAGAACAGTTATTAGATATCATAAACAAAACCAAACAAGCCATGGAAGTTCCTGATTATAATATTAAGGTACCTTTAGATGTACAAAATAGTAACAAAGAAAAATTGCTAAACAGTGAAGGAGAATTGCAGCGAATTACCGACGCAATAGCAGCTCTACGAGCAATGTAATATTTAATTAAAATATTTAAAAATGTTATTTCTGCATTACTTTAGTATTTAAATTATTTTTACTGCCAAAAATTCTTGGTAGTTTTTATAATTTAAAATAATATGCAGTAAAATAATAAATATTTAATATTTATACAATGATGACAATGATGATTAATTTAGATTTGTAAAATTGTAATAATAACATTTTGCACTCGACTGTCCCTTTTGAAGGGACATTTTAAGTGATAAAATAAAATCGAGTGCAGAGTTAAAAGTGTATAGCTTTTTTGGTCATTACCAACATAGTGTTAAAAAATATTTGAGATTAAAAATTTTTAAAAATTAGGTATAGAATATAAATAATCGTAACATTTTAACAGAAAGTATTTTCTACATTCATTTATTATAAAGCATTATTAATAAATGCAACAATTGCTAAAATTAATGTATTTAATATCTAACAAAGGTGAACTAATAATTTTAATAGTCGTACTTAATTTGTTCCGATCGATTACATTTAATCTATCGTTAGATACAATTTATTTATGAAAATAGTATACGAAAATGATTACAGTAGAATAACGGATAGTTGTAGATGTCATACGATCAGTATTATGCATTGTGCTACTATCATTTTGCATGATATTTATTATAGCGTTAATATATGTAAAGAATTTACTTAAATCATACGATACGTATGTTTGTAACTGTTAGCTACACACACATCCCCTTTCGAAATAAAAATATCGATGGAAACAAACCTTGTACGAAATTTGTATAATTAGATCTATTAAAATAATGACAAACATTGCACAGAAAACAAGGATTTGGAAGTATTGTAAATCTTATTAATCATTTTTCGATATAAAAAGTGTATAACGATATAATATTATGGTTGTGCTAGAAAGCCAAATTATTGTATCTCTCTTATGTCATTAATATTAACTATTATCATCGTTTTGTAAAACTCCTGTTGACTACTATTTCCTGCGTATATCGAACGTATATCATTTCGATACTTATTACATACATGATTAACAAAAGAAAAGAGAAACAGTATTAACAGTATTGTATATACAATTATGATATGTGAACAGTAATTCATTCGAATTTTGTCCAATTATTTTGTGATTTAATGGCAGGTGTACTCAGCGTTAAGCTGAACGTGTTATCTATATTAATACTGTTTTCGGATGTATTGCATACGTTAGATTTTTTCGTAGGTGAGTCGTCGTTGCTTATACTAAATTTGTTGAAATCTAAACCGTAGGCTTGTAACAAATCCAAATCACCGATATTATCGGAGGACTTTTGTTGCTTGTCGTTACTTTTGTGCAATGGTTGAAAGTAAGGGTACAGTGGATTGCTCAATCCTTCACCCATTTCAGGAATATGTAACGACTGAGTCATTTGCTTGGAACTGAATTCCGACGATTTAGAAAGCAAAGGATCGAAGTCTTCGCTGCTCGCGGTCGAATCTAATTTAATTAAATCTGGCACTTCGGGAGACTCCTGCAGCACACAAACAAGTAAGAGGTTATAAAATTGCAAGAGACAACATTCATAAAAAAAAATAAAACAAAATTGAATAATACAGTTTTGACTTTGACGAAACAGAAACATTCACAAAATAAAAAAGGAGAAATTATAGGTTTAATGACTGTATGTAATGATTGTTGGCAAGCGAATACAAGTTGATAAATAAATAATGAATGATGACGTTTACCTTCGAATGTGCAGGGTAAGATGTACTATTGTATACATGGGATGGAACGTGACAATTAACAGACAACGATGCATTTGTAGCTTGAAAGATGGGTGGTTGCAAATAGGAAGGTATAAACACTTTACTAGTATCGAAAGGATCATTCTCTTTCGAATGGAAATCTGAATTTTGACATTTGCTAAAAGAATGATTCGTTGCATCCAAATTTGTGAATACATCATCAGTATATATCTCTTTTGAGCAACTTTCAAAACCGTTTTTACATTGCTTTATATCTACATTTTGTGGATACAAAGATGTACTATGTTTTGTTAACTCATTCGTATGGACTTCGTGCAAAGAATTACTCGAATGTGGATCTTCTTTACCCGTTTTATTTCTCGAAGTGAAAGAATCAAATGGAAGTCTATTACTTATACTAGGCTGAGTATTAACATCATCAGTTAACGTATCATTTAATGTAAAATTTGACTGATCTACCAAATTGATTAAGGCGGAATGTGGAGTAGGGGATATTTGCGAGGAGAAATTAACAATCGGGTTCGTGGCAACTGGATTAGGTGGAGGACCGTGCCGCATGTGTCCATTCCATGCAGGTCTCAAGCTGTCTAAGCTGCGCACTGGTTTCAACTGAAAGTGATGCATGAAACATTCTTACATTTATCTAATAAAAGTACTCAATAAACTCTATCAAATAAATGAATAATAATTGCGTATATGTAATACATTCTTGGATTAGTTCATGCTCGTTTAAAGGATATTTCAAAAGTGCATTTCTAAATAGTAAGATAAAATTATAATATTGTGTATAACATAACATATTGAAACAAAGAAGAATCTTTCATAATTGATCGTAGTTTAATAAACTACTCTTCAAAATCTTTGGCTAAATCCACGTATTCCGCGATAGTTTCGATGTTAATTGCATACATGTGTACACTTTGATAAGCAACATTTTAAAACATATTAAAATTGCACATAGAAACATTTCATAAATGGTGCACATTTTGACAAAGTATACTTTATGTACACTACTGACATTGTTACGTTTAAGGATTTTGTGTGAATCTTACGAACATAATTTGTATAATTTTCTATGGGTACGATAAATTAAAACCGAACGTTCACTTACTGTTCTATCGATAGGAGGTGTGTTTGGAAATATCACGTGACGAAGTTCTTGCATAAGATCGATATTTACCCTTTCCGGTGGAGAATCAGATTCTTCCGGGGAGCTAGGACTTAATGGAGAATATTGTTGTCTACTGCAACTTAAAAAGTACATGATAACTATATTGTTTATGCCGTTATACAACAGAGAAATATCAAAGTACCTTGAATCTGTAAAATTACTATTTCGTATTCGAAGATCTTTTCTATAACTAGTAGTAGCTGTAAAACCATTTGGCGATTTTGACGGGGACGTGAAGTCGATAGGCCTTCTATCTATTGTGGGTGAACTAGGCGCAGATCTTGGTTGATGAAATCTCATGCTTGGTTCATTCCTATTCGATCGACCTGAAAGCACAGAAACTGTTAAAACACTATAATCAATAAGTAAAATCTATAGATAAAATCTACTCTACCTTTCCATTTTAATCCTTTGTACGCTGTTTTCATATCTTTACCTTTGTCTTTCACCTACGAATACAATATTTATATCAATTTGAATATATAGTTAAAATGTTCAACGTTAGATTTGTTATGTTTGCTACTATTTTATTATTGTTGTTAAATAATTAATATTGTATATAATTTAGATATGACTATTTGATAAGTATGACTACACTTACTGATTTAACTGCATATTTTACAGCTGGATTGGCCTGCAATCGAAGGCAATCAAAAATACAAAATGACAATTTGTCTTTACTTTATCTTAATTTGAAAACCGATTCGAATACTCTTAATAAAAAAATGAACAATGCAACCCACCTTGTCCTTCACACTGCGAAAAAATGCAGAGCTTTCTTTGCGCATGGTGTAAGTCCATTCCCGGTATTGTTGCATAAATTTGTTACTAGATTTAGTAGAGTAGCTGCAAGCTTCCAACTCGTACTCATCCGTGAAACCATCTCCTGAATTAAGCATATTCAGTCTTTCTTCTATAAACTGAAATTATCATTATTATAAACTTAATCGGATTTAAAATACATTTTATATTACTCTATGTATTTTATCATACTTGTTGAAATATTTGTAATTCCAACATTTTTCGTAAAAAAGGTTGCATCGAAGAAGGTCTACTTTCCACAAATGCATTTTGGTTAAAAGTGATGCTTTGCCCATCCTCCAACGTTAACGCATCCTTGTAGCCAGCTGTTAATTGTACCAATGCTCGTAAAAACGCTCTTGACACTCCGTCACCGAGTAGCGCGGGTCTATTACGTAATGCCTTCATCAAGTTTGACACCTGAGACAAAGAAACTCTTTATTTTATTATTTAAGACGTATTTCGATTCTTAAGAATAACTTCATTGTTCCGAGAATAATATTATATTTTTATACAAACCACATCTTGGGGTAACGATTCCAGGTCTTGAAATGGAGATTCTATAGTATTATTATCAGCATCCAAGATAACTACTTCTCCTAAATCGCTTTTACGCACTCTCTAAAGACAGTAAACAACAATCAGAATATAAATATTAATTACTGATTTATAGTTAATGTGTTGACTAAATACCTGAAGCGTCGGTGCAGGTACTCCGATTAAAAATGGCATCGGGGCTAATAAATAATCTATTAAAGATAATGGTAGCACTGGTATATATATATGTTGCCAAATCATTGGATAAATTAAAGCGTTGCATGCTTGAACGCACGCGCTTAATCTTGAAAGACGTTTCGAAGTGAAAATAATTCGCCGTTCGTACAACATAGAAGCAAATACTATCATCATATTGTGTGCATCGACAGCACTGTAATACTCCATTAAATTTCTCTAAAACAACACAATTTTTATATATGGTTTGTTGACACTTGGATTAATTTGTTATGAACGCTGGAACAAGTTTACGAATACATACATTTTCGGGTATACTCGGTAATTGATACTGTTTTGGACTTTGACACACAAAATTCTGAAAATTATATAAACATGTAACTTGTGTAATATATGGTATGAGATGTAAGTGTACAAAATTCATTACCACTTTAGAATTTGGTATAGGAATTGATATAGAAGTATCATGTGTGGGAACTGGACTTCTATAAACTGTTTCCAGAAATTTCCAAACATCTTCTCCAGTGCCAGTACTCATTAAAGTTGCAATATGATTCAAAAGCCTATTCAAAATATAACACAACTTATTATTGTCTTTTTAAATATCGTACAAAGTGATATACTGACTTGTAAAATATTTCGTGCCATGGTAATGCACTTAAAATTACTAAGGCTGTATCTGTCTTAGGATCGTGTCGACAAAATCCAAATGTCCATTTTGAATCTATACTAGTGAGTACAAATGAAAAATGCTGCACCAACAGGCTGTAATAAATAAATGTATTAGACTTAAATTTTATTTATCTTTATCTTATCCTAAAGTTTAATCTAATCCAATATTTTAAGTGTAATAAATATTTGAACTTACTTTTCAATTTCACAAGGGTATGCAAATTTTGGAACAGATTTAAGTATTTCCTCATCTGAAAAAGAAATAGGATACTTTTGCAGTATCCAAGGTGGTTTTTCTCCTAATGGTGCAGCTATCTCGCAAAAACACTCGAAAAGATGTTGCACATTGTCCCTAGAAATAGTAATATCTTTTTAGTAATATGATATAATATTTTTATAATACAAATAACATGTACCAAAAATATATTCAATTCTGTGACTACAAATATCTTGTGCGTTACTCAAATTGCTTTTATCTTATATAGTATACATTACACAATACATGTGCACAATGCAACCATACGTTTGTTCTACATATTTATGATTCATATGTATGAATATGCAATAACAATTTTTAAGTATTTAACAGATGTGCTTCTACTTAATTTATCATATATTATAAAATGAATTTTAATTAAGAATAATACTTAAACACTAGCCTTTAAGTGACTTTCACCTGCTTTATGTAGCATACAAAAGGAATGCTTTTGTAATACAAAAGAAGGAATTAACAAGTGAAATAAAATATCAGAAATATCATTGATACGATATTCATTGGTGAATATAAAAAGTGAATAATATACTTACCTCAATCTGGAACCCATGATAACAGTGGAAAAAAAAATAAGTACTTGATACTCTCTTGACGTCTATACGTCATTGTACGTACTACATGACAGTAATACATTCCATTCACGTGAATTTTAGTCGCATTGCGTACCCCATTATTACGCCCCACACTAATCTCACAAACAACTTTCTTTTCCCTTTTTGCTGTAGCAATGCGTCCTAAGTGTACTACCAAGTCATGTATCAACTACATCAACTAATCTCTGGATACTGCGAACATCTTATGTCGAAATCACACCTACCACACTAATGTATATTTTCATGCACACGAGGGCGCCATATGAGTTATTCATTCAACGGCATAGACAATGAGACATCTACCATATCTATGTACATCAATATTACATACACGGAACTCTGAAGGTGGTCCATGTTCAGTGGAAGTAACATAAGAAACAGAAAATAGGCATGCTTGTGGTCTCCATCGTCTTTATTGCTTCATTATATTTCATTCACAAGAATTGATGAATAATAAAATTTCTCCAAGTACATATTTTCAAAATCAGATTGGTTCTTTTTGTGAATTGTAAAATAATGAAGTATTGTAAAGTTGGAAGTATAGTGAAGTTTGCACTGTCACATGCGCCCTCTAGTGTACAGTATTTTCTAAAGTGCTAAAGAACACTAAGTACTTTAGTAGACTATTGTATGCAAGTACATTACAGGTAGTAGTAAAAAGTGTAAAACATGGCGCTTAACCTCACTGTAAAAGTTCACCCAGTAGTTTTATTTCAAATTGTCGATGCCTATGAACGTCGAAAAGCCGAATCTCATCGTGTCATCGGAACGTTATTAGGTAATTTAACTGTATATTTTTATGAAAAGTGAAATATCAATTTGACCACGATGTTCTGTTAAATGTGGTGACAGTACTTCATTTCTTCAAAACAATATTTATTATAAATTGACATGCATAGGTACTGTGGAAAAGGGAATGGTTGAAGTTACAAATTGTTTCTGTGTGCCGCACAAAGAATCTGAAAGTCAGGTTGAAGCCGATTTAACATATGGAATTGATTTGTATGAATTGAATCACAGAGTCAATGCACAAGAGAATATTGTTGGGTGGTGGGCAACAGGAAACGAGGTAATTGATATAAAAATTACTTGTGCGTTACACACAGTAAACAATCATTTTTTATAGGTTACCACGCATTCTTCTGTTATTCATGAGTATTATGTTCGTGAATGCAATAATCCAGTGCATTTGACTGTCGATACAACATTAGCAAATACTACCAGGATGGCAATTAAAGCTTATGTGTGTGTTCCACTAGGAGTGCCTAATGGTAAACAAGGTTCTATGTTTACTCCAGTTAAAGTACAGGTATGTAGAATATATTATTTTATACAATGTATTCTATAAAATGTATTGATTGGATTCTTTTATTTTTAGATTACATGCTATGAGCCAGAAATTGTTGGTCTACAGCTTTGTTCTAAAACTCAGTTACCAACTCATGCTCAAATAACTGGTGCAAAAACAGGTGGAGGTATTGAACCAATGATGGATCTTTCCCAAATAGCAGAAGCAAGCGCTAAACTTTCTGCAATGTTAGAACAAGTACTTGCATATGTTGATGATGTATTAAGTGGGAAACAACCACCAGATAATCAGGTATCTTTTTGATTTTGTATTCATCTTCTTTGTGAATATTTGATACAAATATTATGAAAACAATATTATTTCAGGTGGGACGTGCTCTACTAGATATGGTACATTCAGTACCTAAAATGTCAAGTGACCAATTTGATGAAATGTTTAATAGCAATGTAAAAGATTTATTAATGGTTGTTGCACTTTCTCAATTGATAAAGACACAACTCCAACTTAATGAGAAACTTACACTACTTACAACTTTATAAATCTTTTAATATTAATTAAAAAATTGTTTATACAATTTTTATGAATAAAAACTCATTAAATTTTCAGTCATTATTTATTTTTTATGATTTATGTAACACATGTCTCGGTTACATTAATATTAAATGTGAGAAATAAAAAATAAATATTATAATACATATTTTATATACACTTATAAATAATGTAATCAGTATATAGTACGTGTTATAAAAATTATTAGTTTACAAATGAAGCAATGTCTTAAATTTCGCAAATTAATGAATCTTCTTTCTGATTATCAACTAAACTAGCCCAGTCAGGGACTCTATTAGATTTTAAATAATTTTCTTTAGTCAGACATCTTAGTGGTAAATCTATAGTTCCAAATATAGCACCTCCTAGCCATGCTGTGTAGTTTGGTTTACTCGGTGCAGTATGAAATTTAAATGTTCTAATTTTTAATTTTTCTGAATACAAATTACTTTTTATAAGAACTGAAAGTTCAGATTTAAGACGACCCATAAAGCCTTTTGCCATTGTTGTACCACCAATTAATAGTATATTTTCTGCTAAAACTCGTCTAGTATCTATTGGACACTGTAACCACAATTAAAGTTATTAAAACATCAATAAATGTAAAAGACCAGTAAAGTTTTTGTTTGAATTATACCTGTAAGAGAGCATCTAAAATCATTGTAGGTATGCTAAGATTATCATTGTCTCTTTCCCACAATGCCTCATATGCTTTTTCTCTAACTTCACCAGGTATATTAATACTTTTAATTCCAGGATATTTAACTGCAGGAGGAGGATTAGGAGCTTCTGGTGTTCCTAATTTATTAGATCTTTCTAAAGTAGTAACAAAGCATGTTCTTACTTTTATGTCTTCTACAAGTTTCTCTGATATGTCTACATTGGGAGACACTTCTTTCAAAGATTTTATTAAATTCCTAGTCAACAAAAATATATGAAAATCACAATAAAATTATTACAGAATTAATTTGTAGCTAAGCATTGAACTTACTCATGTACAATCTGACTACCTAATGGCAGAGCCTGCCATGCTTTTAAAATTGATACACCTTCAAAAATTGGAATCAATGTAGCTTCTTTATATCCCACGTCTAAAACTAAAGCTGTGTTGACACCCAAGGTGCTGATAGTTGCTAAATGAATTGGTAATAACATTAAGGACCCAATTTCAAAATGTCGAAACAATACTTTAGCCAAGGTGTCTCTAAATAGTGTTGTACATAGCGGTGATTCCAAAACAACAATTCTAGCATCCTTTGGACATATCACAACGTGTCTAAGATAAAAGAGAAAGTTGACATATGACACATATAATGTAAACATTACATGCCCTATAATTACCTGAAAAATAAGGCATGAAGAAAATCAACAAGCAATTGATATAAATCTTCCGCATCTTTGTAATCGTAAATTTTTCTGAGCTCTTTAGTCTCTGAACATTTAATTTCTGTCCTTATTATACCCCGTGGTGTAACTTCGCCCGCGTAACCAAATCTAATGTCAAATCACATGTCAATTTATTAAGCATTCCAAATTTTGTCTGTAAATTTAAACCTACTTTGTATATGCGGAGCCAATGTCAAATATGACCATTTGTTTATCTGATAAAAAACGAAGCATTTTGACAGATTCCTTTTTAACAACAGTAGTGTAACCTAAAAGGATACTAAAATAACTTTATTATTTCAACCGAATGCCTGCTAATGTTTACTAATTATAAACGTTTGAGAAGATCATGAACTTTCAACATGACAATTAGTACATTTAATGTACTTAAACACTTTGACAACGCATTGGTATAATTGAGCGAGCGAATCTGATCCTCATACACTTCAATGTAAAAATTGAATTTGTTCACGTTACAAATAGTGCAGTTTATGGACTAAAATATTGGCGTCCATGTAGCGGCGAAACGGGTGAACTAAACCTGAAAAATGAGGGTCCGAACGCGCATATAAGGAAAATAAAAAAATGAATATTTCGGGACTTTGACGACGTAGTATGGTTCCTGAGGCATTTAGAAACAAATTTCTATTAGGGTTTGATGCGTTTTGATGCCTAATAAAGCCAGAAAATCAATTTTTGTCGAATTTGGTCCAAAACGGTACAGGTGGCGCCATCTAGCGGCGAGCGGTGGAACTACGAAAAACTAAAATCTCGATTTTCTCGAAAACTGGGGACTTTTTCGAAATTCTGAGATATACAAATTATTCCTTGTCGCCTACAGAATCCAACGAATATAATTATAGCCGGCTAGGACAATTATTAAAGAAAATAGAAAAATAGCCCATTTCATGGACTAAAAAATTGCCGTCCATCTAGCGGTGAAAGTTGGAACTACAAAAATAGAGAAACCTAGTTTTCGAGAAAATCGAGATTTTCTATTTTTGTAGTTCCAACTTTCACCGCTAGATGGACGGCAATTTTTTAGTCCATGAAATGGGCTATTTTTCTATTTTCCTTAATAATTGTCCTAGCAGGCTATAATTATATTCGTTGGATTCTGTAGGCGACAAGGAACAATTTGTATATCTCAGAATTTCGAAAAAGT